TACCTGAAACATCGCCTGAGACCGACCTCACTTCGCCTTCGCTGGACGAAAGAGAAGGGAGAAAGAGAACCGACCCATCCAGGCTCCACAGGCGAAGAGCTTGTCCGGCCTTCCCTTGCCCTGCGCCTCGCCTTGCCACCAAAAGAAGAAGAACGACAACAGGGTGACAAAATGGCAGAACAGACTTTCCTAATGCGATATGTCAGTCCCAATCGCCTGATGCAATTACTCCGCGAACGATACCCACAGGGAGATTATCAGATCACTGTGAGTCAGCTCTCTTTTATTTCTTTCTGTTTTCTCTCAAGTCAGCCTACGGTACCACGCGCACTGTGGTGGGTCGGGTAATGTGATTGGACATGATATTCCTCTCATAGGTTGGCCTTGTTGGATATGAGGGGGCATGCGAGTGGCAGTGCTGATAATGCGCCCCATCCTGCAGATCCGATTGGGCGTGTGTTTCCTCAATCTTCCTGTCCCTCTCTCTAAGGTGAGCGTTGATCTATTTCTAGTGTTTTCTTTCTTGTTTCTTCTTTGTTTCTTATTTGATTCTGTGTTTTTGTTTTTCTCTCTTTCAATTCATGTATTTTTTTCCAAAGGAAAAAGAAAAGAAAAGAAAGAAAATCCTGATATCATGTCTGACCACGTCGCCTGTTTTTTATATCATCTCATTACCAGATTACCACGGGGCGGTCTATAGCTTCCCTGTCAAGCAAAAGAAAGAGGGGCTGACCAAGCGACAGGAGGAAATTGCCTCTTGCACGGATGATAATGTGGCACCACCAGGTTAACGCATAAGGCCCTACACCAGTGGTGTGATCGACCCTGGCGACTCGTCCAAAGATGATTTGGTAGCCCGATGGATGACGAGACTAAAATCAGCCTCCAATGGAGAGAGGCGCAGAGGAACTCGCACCAAAGGTGGAGGTGGGGGGCGAGTGAACCCGGGTTTCAAGCAAGGGGGCGGCTGATTGTTACCTGTGAATTCGGCGGGCTTAGCTAGACATAAAAAGAATCTTTGCCCCGCGCGCCCTGTCCCACTTCCCCCCTCTCTGGCGGGTGTGTGAAGTTTGTTTAAGTGTGGTTGTTTCGGTTTATACGTGCTTGTCGTGGAGACTATCGCCTACGAGTGTCTCGTGTGCGATCTATACTATATACGCTTTTTGCTCTTGGAAGAATTCCCATCTTCGACAGGTGGCCTGTTGGCCTACCTAGCGATATCAGATTCCCCGTGAGAATACGTTCTAGAAGTATCTAGAAGTCTCTAAAAGTTTCTAGAGCCCTCCAGGTTTATTCTCGAACGTTTCTCGATTGTTTCTGGGTGTCAGCTTGTCTATCATGAACCGAGTCTACGGCGGTCCGCCCCATCAAGTCATTGACGGGAGGTTCATGGACCCCATGAAGTTGGTGAATGTCCTGCGAAGTGAATACGGACAGTCCAACTTCCGAGTTGAGGTGAGCGCCCCTTCCCCAATTGGTTGTACTTTTGTGGATGCTAAGCGGGCCGTATGATATAGTTACGGCTGGACCAGTACAAAATATACGTGTTTGATCAAGCCATGGCGCGGTCATCTGGGTTGACACAGGCATGTCCATTCATCACGCTCGATTGTGAGATGAAATTAGAGCTAAATCGTGGCCATAGGAAAAAATCAAGTACTGTCAGCTGTTTAGATGAGTCAATCGGTGTTAGCGAGAAAAGACGCATGATTTTCTCGAGTCACGACTTGAAACGGCTGATAATGTGCGGGACACATACACATGCAGACTATTCGTTCGGGTAACGGATGATATTACTACATTAATGCATCGACAGACAAAGATGGCAAGCCATCGGCGCATCCGGGACAGAGGACGGACGGGTGGCGGGGTATGAGAGAGACGGCGTTTAGTGGGGGGCAACGTGTAACGTGTGTATGATGTTTGCTGCGTGTACGCTTTTGGCCAATACAACGCATATACCTGGGTTCTTTGTCTATCAACCGGTCTCTCGTAGATCCGTTTGTTAGTGTATGCATATATTCGGCGGTGTTTCCTTGAAGGATGTCCTGCCCTCTGGCCCTGATTGGCTCCTGTAATCCATACGGGTGAAAGATATGCGGATGCTCCGTGACTCTCGTATTCGAGTACATGAGGATGCTATTCCCTGCAATCATGGTCTGTTATACCTGCAGCGTGACATCACACTACACTAGCGCAAGGTTGACTCGCAAGGCTTTGACCGCCCATGGTGGACTGTGCAGTCCGCTGATCAGACCGCTTTGGTGAGAATGGTGCCAGGTAGTTGTGCCCTCGGCACAAAGCAAGGATCTACAAAGCAGGCGGGACGCACGGCCTACGCGAACGCCATTCTACTATAAAGATCCAAAACCATATATTGTGAGCTGAGTTGATTTGCCACGTGACAAGGAATAAGGCAATGGGCGTTAAAGTCATTCGCTCTGGTCAGTGGCTTAGTTGATGACAGAGCATGGTTGGAAAGGAATCGAGAGCTCATGAGCCACAAGATAGCGGAGCCTCATCGTTTCTAAACCCGGGTTTGGTGCTATATTCGAGTCTTTAAAGAAGGGCGACTCCGCCTGGTGAGTGATTTCAAGGTAGCATACTCAAGATTCGCAAGTCTCGTACATGATGGACCACCTGTCGATGCCTTCAAAACTTGATCACTATCTTACAGAGAGGGTTGAGTCAAAAGCGACCGACCTCTTCAAAGCGCGAAATGACCGGCCTCAACTTGAGGCGTCCTTTTTGTATAGATGTGCAGCCTCGGACAATAGCTGGTCACTGGGAATAAGCCCTACAGTCCAGATCAATAATGCCGAAGAACTGGAAAGAGCGGAATTAGTAAGCGTGCCTCACGATACGTCCTCACTGGTTGATGTCACCTTCTGACGAGAATAACAATAGGCGAGCAGTAACGCATGCGCCCAGATATATACAATTCGCCACCAACGATCCTGGGCAACCTTGAACATCTCCCACAAGCTTTTCCGGGAGCTTTTGGAGAGGCATCGTGTGTTTCACCATTTCTGGCGGTCGATCCTGACTTTTGGAAGGAGAGTCGAGGAAAATGAATATGGATTCCCAGCATTCCGGGCCAAGCGGTCGCAGAGTGGACGGGGAAAAGTTGACGGTCAGTGCCCTTAGGAAGCCAAAGAATGTCAAAAAAAAAGGCGTCTAGAAAGCTGACTGATCTAGTAGAAATCATGTACGTGATTCGGAGAGTTGAGCGCAATAATCGTTCCGTTGAAAACGGGGAGTGTCCATGGTCAATTCGACAGACTGGGATCTATCACCGTCTGGCGTATGAGCCGGATGGATCCCAACATAAATCCACATTCATCCTGGTCGCGCCTTCGAGCATCGTCGATGACGAGATTAACAAAAGTCTCGCCCAGCACCACTGTGCAGACGGCGTCATGAACCCAACGTTCGCCGTGCACGAGCGGCTTGTGCTCGATAGTCTGCGGGGATGGATGGACTATATGGCCTGGCTCGAGAGCGAAGTCAAGCAAGACGTAAGAAAATGACCCGTTCCAGATCTTGGGAGAATTGGCTCTAACCATTGATGTTCTTCGCCCCCAGTCTAACCGAGTCATTGTTTCCAAAATGGGCACACGCGAAATTTACTTCAATGCCAACGATCGCCAACGGCTGAAGCAACTCGAGGATTACATCACAGACATGATGGTCATCCTGCAGACCATGGCTGACACAATAGCGCGCATCAGAACAAGCTGCCAGCGCCATTGTCAAATGAGTTGCGGAGACAGTAATTCTTGTGCCTGCAGCTATACCATCGACGAATTCGAAGAATACGCCACAGAAGCACAGGTCTACTTAAATAGGGCGAAGGTACTCAAGACGCGGGTCAAATCAACCGCTCAGCTGGTTAGTAGATCACTCTTTGATAAACATTAATATAATTTGCATGAAGCTGACCACGCATTGCCGTAACACAGCTGTCGGATCTTCTGGGCTACGAGGAATCAAGGAACCTGAAGCAACTGGCCCAAGCATCCCACCAACTGGCTCAGGCATCCCACGACGAGAGCCATTACCTCATGGAACTTCAAGTGCGTTGAAGCCCCAGCGTGGCTGTGGAAGCAAGCCACTGACAGCGGGTTGGGATAGAGAAAAAGCGTCCAGGATGCGGCGGCTGTCAAAATGCTGACCATCATTGGATTGGTCTTCTTGCCATCCACCATTGTTGCGGTACGCCGACTGACCCTCCGAGTCCGTATCTACGAATTAATCTGACTAGCATAACAGAATTTTTTTTCGACTGAATTTGTGAAGGTCAACGACCAGGGCCGCTTGCATGTCTCGCGAGAAGTCTGGATAATGGCAGTGGTTGCGGTGCCGTTGACTGCGATCACTATTTTCTTCTGGTGGCTGCTGCTGCGGTTGAGCCGTGCTGGGAAGGCACAATGGCTGAGATCTCTGCTCCATGCAAAAGCGCCCGATGACGACGAGGAAAAGGGAGAACCCAGGTACCGGCATGTGAAGAGTAAGGTTGCGTCCTTTGGTATATTCGGAGGCCCGACGACCCCGGTGGAAATAAAGGCCGAGTGAGCATCCATAAGATGGGTTAGCTTGGATAGATTTGTTATACGTGGGGCTAAGTATTTGGCGATGATATGTGATATTGTATCACGTTTAATGAATTCCATACGATTCGACATATTCAACTGTCCACCCTGCTTGACAAGAATGTAGATATTATGTAATTTCGTGCCGCTGAAGCTATCCATAGGAATATTTGCTATGCCTGGATGCTAATAAGACTGTGGAAGAAAAGTCCGTTTAATGTTTAGTGGCTAGCATCAGAGACATACAATTATACCTTCCTGATAGGGGCTTGCGGGAATCTACGCCGCTTTTGCTTGTATATATCGAGTAAAACGTCATGCATAAGCTCTTCCATACTATGCGATACTTCCTTGTTTCGTTGATATTTGATGCTACGGGGTCATTACTTGGTCCAAATTGGTATTGAAGTGAAACATCCGCTATTTCTGTCTTCTGGCCTTTGCCTCATGCCCTGAAGATGACAGCTGCTTCATCGTTGCCAAATCAGTGAGACCTTTAGTTTGCTTTTGCTTTTCTGCGGCAGCCGCAGCTTCATCTCCCGCAATATTCTGCACTGGATTGGTTTCAGGGGACATGGTAGTAAGCTTAGTACGGTCTGCGTTTCATCAGTTACTTTTGAACCAAATCAAGAGCAGGTATATTCACATGAACCCTAGAGCTTTCTTGGATGAGTCCTACTCTATAAAAGAATCGTGGTTTTGGGCAATTTTCCGACCTGTAAAGTCTGCACACTTTATTAGTATTATTTCTCTAATAAAGCATACTAGGAGAAGATACCTACAACAAAAACCTCCTAAGAGCTCCAAATTATCGAGGTACCCTAGAGTGTGTCAGACCTGGTTCGAGAAAGCTTCGAGAAAAAGCACCATGTGGGCAAGAACCTCTCGGGAGTTTTGATCTAGGAAATCCAAGTAGGCTTTATACGTAGGCCTAGATACCAGGGGGATTGGATGGCGGGGTAAAGGTTCAGTCACTATCTAGGTACCTATGTACCAACAGACGTGGTGTGATGGGATTCGATATCACTAGCGTTAATTTACACTGACCTTCATCTACCCCCACATCTTGAAGTCAGTAAACAAGCAATTAGGCTATAAAAAAGGGCTCAACAGCTCAACGAATCCAGTAAATATCCAAGGAGGAGGGTCTGGCCCAGGTGGGGTGAGATGTCTGGCTGCTCGTCAGGTTCGGGAAAACAGCAGTCGTAAATGCAAAGGTTTGTTTCTATGCTAAACTAGGTTTGTGAGCTCTCTCAGCCCTGTCTGGAATAGACCAAATCTAGGAGCCATCTGCCCAAACCACAGATTACTGTTACATATCATGTATAGAGCAACTCTATTGTGATCAAGGCAAATGCTACAAGCGAAGCAAACACCACCCGATCAACATCTGGAGGTAAATAACATAGCGGGAAGTCTCACAATATATCATCTAGATACTTATCAATCCGAAAGTTATACCTGCCGGACATGTGAGAGAGCCTAGAAAAGTAGTGGTTTTTTAGCAGTAGGTAGTTGTAGATACACAGAAAGGCCCTGTCGGTATTGGGGGTTCTATCTTCATGTATGTTCATTTGCACACGCGAACCGCTGACGCAGTGTCTTCTCATACTTCTCCTTATCTCGGAGCTTAGCATCGATCACCTCCTCCATGTCCACAGCCCAATATTTCGAGACAATCCGCGGCAGTTCCGAGGAAACAGAATGAGATGAATCAAAGATGGGGTGAATATGTTGATGAAAAAGATTGAAGAGGCCTTTTGGACTGTTCAAAGCCAGAAAATACCAGAAGCTTCCAGTCTGCCAACCTTTCCTCATAAGGTTTGTTCTATATGAACAACTGTTCTCAATGAGGGGAAATGATTTCTCCTCTTCTTCGAAAAGACCCAAGAATTCATCATATGCCTGGCTGAAGGTGTTGAGGCTCTCGCCAGTTAGGTCGTCTATAGGGCGACCAGTCAACCAATATGGAAGATGCAAAGTTTCTGCTGGTAGAGAACACGCCCACTCGAGATCAACCACGCATTTGACATGCCACTGGCTATCAACAAAAATATTACTTGGATGCATATCTGTAAATTGGTACAAGTAAGGTCCTTGGCAAAGTTGTCTGTCAGTGAACTGTGGCAGTAATGCTCGCATAATAGCCAATCTTGCCATCTGGGCTCGGCCATCTTCCTCATCATTTAAGGAGTTCGGCTGATATCGTAAGCGATTATCATGGCACGATAGCAGATCAAGATAGTATGATACCGCGGTTGAATAAGTCATCCCTCGACTGATGTTGGTTGGTACTCCCCCATTTTCTAGCTGATGGAGCCGGAGAGTGAGGGGACGGTTAGAAAGCCGCAGTACTCCATCGGAGTCTAGTGTCCAAGATCCGATACACGGTAGTGGTGTCCGACTCAAAGAAAGCATAATTTGAGATAGGCCCCTGAAAAGATTGGCTCTTTTGCCTTGATCGTTACGGTCTTCATCCCATGTCTCAGATAGCATTTGTACCTCTGGACTGCCAACGTAGTCCATGACCAAATATCCGTTTTCCAGGATAGTTGAACGGCGATGACAGACATAGGGACAGGGAAGGGTCCAACCAAAGAGCCATGAGACAGATCGCTTGATGTACCAGGGGATCCTGACTATCAATGGGGTATTCTCAGGCCTTGTAAACTACGTAGTTCTCAGGTTAGTTTTACCGAGAGATAGGACGATCAGTGGGGCTCTCATACACTGTGACCACCAGCAAGTCCAAATCCCCATAACTGCGGTATCGAAATGTCCGTACAATTATCCTGCATCCAAATGAAAGTCGCAGCTTCACAGCGGACTTTTTCATCCGCGTTGCCTGGGTATGTGGCTTCCCCTACCTTATATGGTAAGGGGAACCTGATGAGGGCCCGCTTTGCCGGGGGGTCATTGTGTTTGTTGATATAAAGAGGAATGCAGACATTGAAGCTGCCATGTACCCACTCATTTACCCCTCCTATTTGGCAGGTGTCTGATGGATGGAGGCCAAGATGATGAGCCGCAAGATTCTGAATCTCCTTGCGATTGCTGTAGAGTGACACGAAGAAATCTATCCGCTGCTCGGGATAGTCTAGATCAAGGAGCATGTCCTCCTCCTGCTCCACGGCGGATTCAAATGTGGTGGTTCCCCGAAGGAGTGGAAGGGGAAGCCCTTGGCGATTCATTGCGACCTCGTTATCATCATCTGATATATAGTCCAGAGAACGAGGCGAACCATGGATGGGACAGTTTGTTGTTGACGTGGATCCACCGATCGCGCGACCAGACCATGCCCGATTGGACGGTCATGTGACCAGTACTGAACCAGCACCCGTGAGTCTGGGATTGTTCAAAACCTTGACAGAAGTTCTTCTTTCCTTCATAACTAATCATTGCACTCCCCCATCTTGTCAAGCCATCGAAACATGTCGCTACTGAAGGAATGACCTGGCTTGACAGTCAACCCCAGTCGTGAGAATGGATGTCAACGCCAAGCTGGACCAAGTGGACTCGATCGGTGGAGTCGCTGATAATGGTATAGCTCACTGTCCCAACCGTAAGTCTGGACTCTGGAGGACTAGAGAACGCCCAATTCTGACCAGGTCATGCAGGGATAACCAGCAATTCTCCGAGTTTATCCGATACATAAATGGGCCATGTTCGTCACTTTGTTTTGCTGATCATCCGGAGTACCGAGTGACAACATGCCTGTCCAATGAGAAGCCCCGAATGATTATCGTCAATTGAGAGTGATTTCGTTGGATCTTTCTCTGGGTGGGGCTTCCAGAAAGGATCAGGAAAGGTCGTCTGCTTAGGTGAAAGCAGGGCGTTTCGTCGACCGCATGGCCTTAACGCCTCAAGACTGCGCCAACGAGGCAGTGCATTCGCCCTTTCTCCTCCCCCCGCTCTGTCCCTCCTTGTCTATTCCCCCTCAAGTTTGGGTGAAAGTCTCTCCAATTCAGTGACTAATCAATAGTTCACTGGTGAGGTCACACTTTCAACTAGTAATTCTGCTTTGCCCCCGACTCTTCACACGTCCATCATCATGCTCTCTCTTCTGTAGTACTCATCATTGCACAGCCTTGCCTCTTGTCATATTATTTGCATATGTTGCATGTCTGTTACCCTCCAGTCTTCTGGAACATTGCTAATACTACCTCGTCTTCTACTTCTCCTTCCTCTTCTTCTTTGGATCTAATTCTCTGTTCTCTAAATTTCCAGCTGATCGACTGTATGCAGTCACTTTCTTTCATGATCCCCAACATACCCAACAATAGTCCCACACAATTCCAGATCTCCACATGGCATTTCTGAAGGTCCTTTGTTATCCCTTCCGATGTCTCTTTCTGTGTTTCAAGCCCGGTTGGCTACCCGTACGCCACTCCGATCCTGACTCTCCCACCGCTCATATCGTCTCGGACGCCGTTCCCGTTCCGTCGCAGAATGGCAACCCGATCGACCCTGTCCCCGGTTCATGCGATGTGGATAATTCTCCGCGCTGCCCGTCTATTGACACCGTTGCGGGAGATAATCGTTCGGATTCGGCCTTACGGACAGCCCAACTCGCCCTGAGAAATGCCCGCACTGAATGCTATGAGGACTCGACCCAGAACGAATTCGTCCCGATATCAGTCCTCAGAGAGGTGCTCTGCAATACAATTGTTAGCGCCATCATCGAAGACGTACTCCAAACAGACACAAATCATGCCAACCAGTTAACCGCCCGTGTCGTGAAGGATTGTTATCGTCTATTTGCCATTTTGGTGGACCGAGGGGTACCCGAGGAGATACTGGGGTTTCTGGAGGAGGGGATCAACGATGACTGTCTTCCATTCACCCGCAGTTTCATTTCCCAGGGCAGTCAGATTCGGGCCTTAGAAACAAGAGAGGGCAAGCACATCCGAACAATAGCCAAATGGGACACGGCGTCGGTCAAAAATTTTGAGTCCAAACAGTACCGCATGCTGGCCCCGGTCTTTCAGCACAGGAGACACCATGTGCTGTTCAGGTCACAGCCTCTGCCGTTTATTCACCTTGGTTTCCAGGAATTGCAAAATGGCGTCTCGCAGGGAACTTATTCAGAGGTCTTTCGGGCTCGTATTCACCCTGATCACCACACTCTGGGAGGGGGGCTGGGAAAACATGTAAGTGGGATCGTGACCCCCGCTCTCTCCCCCGCGCAAATGCATCGTTCGTTCTGGTGGCTTACTCTTGAACTACCGGCAACAGGGACCCGTGGTTGCTGTAAAACGGTTGTTCAACGTGCAGGCTAATGGGTTCGGAGCTGAACGAGCGATCTTCGATATCCTCGAATCCATCGGCGGCCACCCTCACATGGTCAATCTACTATTCACTTTTAAGAAAGGGGAGAAGTTTCACCTGGTATTCCCCTGGGCGGATGGAACTCTTCGGACGTGTTTGAAGCAGGCCCGTACGCTTCTCGCCACGCGCCAGTCGATGTTTTGGTGTCTGAAGCAAATGGCCGGTATCGCCAGTGGGTTACAGTGGATGCATAATTTCGCCACTCCGGGGAACGCACGTCTTTTCGGACGTCATGGTGATATTAAGGCCGATAACATCCTGTGGTTTCGAGGTGGTGACTGGCGCAGCGATGCTGGGGGGATTTTGAAGATTGCGGACTTGGGGCTTGCTCGGTTCCACACCCTGGCATCTAGGTCCGACATAGACCCTCTCACGGTCCGAGTCCCCACCACCTTTTCACCTCCAGACGCCTTCCGCAGGATTAGGGTCTCCCGAGCCTGGGATCTGTGGGGTCTAGGATGCATGTATCTAGAATTCGTCACCTCGATTTTGCGCGGGTACGAGGCCGTCGAGGAATTCTCCGCCGCTCGCGGAAGAGATGACACTGAAATCCCGGAGCTAAGCATGGATTGTTTCTACACGACTGACTACAACGAGATCAAGCCGTCTGTGCGTAGGTGGGTGGAGGGCCTTCACCGACACCCCCGGTGCACCGGCGTCCTCCATGACCTGCTGGAACTGATTATGTCGGAAATGATCGTTGTGGAGCCCTGTCAGCGCAGTACTTCGGCCCGCGTTCATGTCCGACTGGCAGAAATGATCGACAGGGCTTCCCACGACGACGCATATCTCATGCAACCTGCACCGTGGTTCGAGCCCCTACTTCAATTGACCGAAGAACCATCCACCCTCAGCGAGCCAGCTCCCCAACAGGATCGTACCGATTTCATTCCCGAGCGATCCCCGACGCGCCGTGGTGCTATGCTCGTCCGGACCCGAGGCACCTGGCCTATAGGGCCAACGATAGAACCGCCTCGTCATGTTGTGGCCACCGGAGCCTTCTACTAAAACGGTAATGTTCTTCCCTTGCCACCCTTCTCCCTTCGGGGAAACGGGCTACGTAAATGAGCTATGTCTATTAGGTTATGAGTGATTCCCGGCGGTTTTGGGGCGTTTTTAGCTATACTTTAATTTGGATTTCTTTTGAGGAAAAGTGGAGTTTTTTTTCTTGCTTTGGCATTGTGAGGGTGAGTGGGTTCAGGAGTTTTTGGGTGGTTTGTTTAAGATATAGACGTTGATAACCTGCATGTGTGTCAGACTTGCATCTGCATCTGCACTCTGCAGTCAATCAGCGTCATGGAATTATATAATGAAGCCAGCCACGTGTCAATCAAATTTGAAGGATGTCTGGTTGGCGCTGCAAGCTTAACGTCTGCCAAGGTTGTCAAGTTACTAGTAATAATTTGAGTCCCATATCAATGGCATCAGGGTATTGGTTGAGAGTGTATCACGCCCCGATTATGATCAATTGTGTTTTGCTCATAAGTAACAATGAGATTACCGTCATTTTCGTGGTGGCTTTACCACGGAAGGGGTTTTTTACTGTCACCCTGACATATATATTTGTGGTCAATATGGGTTGCCTTTTGAAGGAGACAAGTAGAACCAATCAACACTGGGTAACTCCTTGTGTACAGTCTGTTCAAGTTTTGTTATCTACCGGCTTGGACCCGTTCGCAACTCATCTCATCATCATACATTTCATTGGATTTCTCAAAAAAGCTAACAGTGTGCAACCTTGCACAGAAAACAGGGGATGCTGGACAAAAAGCCTGTCCTATCCATATCCGTACCGTTTCGTGACAAGAACGTGCGACACAACGAAGGTGAAAGCATCGAGAAACGAAAGTCTTTATACACATAAATCACAGTAAAGCATCTTCCCAAATGTCTGTCAAAGACTCAACTCAACAATCAGGCGCATCCCCTCCCAGACACTACCAACAATCCACCGTCTAAGCACTGTCCAGCCCCTTACTGGATGGCAATATCCGCGCAGTTCAGGTAGATTTGAGGCGTCTGGAAGGAGTTCCACTTGAACGAGAGCAAGGTATGCTCCGACTTGTACTCGGGGAGCTTGATCTTCTTGGTAACGGTGTAGCCTTCGGAGATGGTGGTCTTGCAGGAGCCGGGCTCAGAATTGTCGACACCATGGCACCCGGCGCCATCAAAGCTTTCGCAGGTGAACCAGTCCGTGTTCTTGCAGCTGTCTTCCTGGCAGTCGTCGCTGGCGGGGCACTCCTGGCCTTCGACGTCGCCGCACTTCAGGACACCCTTCTGGAAGCAGTCCTCGGCCTCCTGCTTCTCCGCCTCGGTCGGCGTGTAGTCCGCCTTCAGGAGCTTGTCGACGATCTTCTGGTCCTGGCAGACACGGTAGGTGAACATGCCGCCGTGGTCGCCGTTGTTGTCCAGGCACCACACCACTTCGATCTCCTCGCCCGGCTTGTACGTCTTCACGGGCTTTCCACCCCAGTCCGCCGTCGGCTTGTTGTAGTCAAGACCGTCACGCTGGTTGAACCCGCAGGGTCCCATGCGGCCGACCTCGGCGCCGTCTAGGGTCGGCCAGGCATCGACGGGCTCGAGGATGGTGCATTCGGGGCATGAGTCTTTGCCGGCCTGGTGGGAGAAGTATTTGTTAGTTTGACTTGGTGCAAGTGCGCTGGGGGAGGGGGAATGGAGAGCGAGATACGCACCTCGAAGCCCTGACGGGTTCGGCTCTCCGGGGACCACAAGTACCCGTGGCCGGCGACAGAGGTCACCAGAGTGAGCACGGAAGCTGCGGTGGCGGCTCTCATCTTGAATCCTGCAATGGATGATCTAACGAATAGTAATAGTAGTAGGAATACCGTGACAGGAGGCTTGAAAGATAGTATCAGTCAGGAACAGGTAAAGATCGAGAGCTTGGTGATCCTCTGAAGCCACTGCAGAAACGTCCATCCTTTTATAGATCGTCAGGAGCACCCCTTCTCCCCCTCTTCTAGAAAACAGAAGCGAGTATGTGACGCCGGAAATCGCTCACCCGACTGACAGGGGGCGGACAAATACCATAGTCCGTACTGTTCCCCCGCTCCCCACCCTGCATGGCCAGAATCTCCCCTGCGCATAGACCGGCCCAAGATCGGCACGACTGACGGTGCAATCTGGGGAAGATCGTCGTCTCCTCAACGGCTAACAATGCCGATGCTGGTTAGATACCCTGCGGTGGAGCCACTGCCCTATATTAAACCAGCAGGGGTATGGGAAATTGAAGGACTTGGCGCGCGCAAGCGTTGGCTGAGAAGGCCCGGTGAATCTCCGAGTCCAGGGTGACTTGTGCGGGGCAGCTTCGTCTGAATATTCTGGAATATGGACACTTGCAGCGGGCGGAGGGAAATAGATTAAAATCTCGTTTATGGACTGGGCTGACAGGTTCACTTGATTTATTCATGTTATCATGTTGTTGTTGCCTTGGGGGTGATTAGTTAGGGCACGGCTGGTCGGGTGACGATGACGTCCGGCGTTTGGGTTGTGTCGGCCTGAGGCAACGACGGGGTTGGCACCTCCTGTGCAACAATGCGTCGTCTCCTGGGATAGAGAGAATGATACAATGGGGAAGAAGAAATTGTGGATCACAACGCTGGTAAAGAGCGGTATCATCCATTATCGATCTATTTTTTTCCGCTTAAGGTGGACGCAAAAACTCGTTGCAGGCGCTGTTGTCTATGGTTTGAAGTGTCGATGTACAGCAATAGCAGCGATCATGCCATATTTCTGGCTTCATTAAGTGATTCAAAGATGCTCGCCACCATCCTGTTTTCTCCTCCATTTCTCCGCTCTCACTTCTCGTTCTTACCGTGAGTGGGCTGTATGTGCCTATAACCCCTACCTTTAGCATCCGGAGACGCACATATCTAAATGCCGGGAAGGCTGTTCTCGAACCAAAGCCACGGAGGACAAGTTCCCATGTCCCCGAACCAATATCCATCTCAGCCAGGGACACCCGCTCGAGTGTCCTGGAATGTCTATTGAAAAGCTTACTGATCGATTCTTGATTTCGGAGAATAAACCCAGACAGGCTGCAATCTTCCAGTCGCGGCAGATACACATCGTTAGCCACGGCCACAAAGTATTGTGTCGCTATTGGCCTGATCAGACAAAGATCCTCGCAAGTCCAGATCAAGCTGATGAAGGTAAGGAGTGAACTGGAGAAAACGTGCAAGGCCAGTGGTGTCGTTAATTGTGCGCGAGTCCAGGCCCCTTGCAGCGGTCATGCTCAATTCAAAATCTTTAATTTTGCCCCAATGATCGTCAGCTCAGGCGAATAAAATTAATGCATCTCCCAGACCCCCGAAACAAAAACCTGGGAACGGGGAATCGCGAAAGACTTTCAATGTGGAAACGGGGGTAGTGCTTCGGGCCATGGCCATCATGGCTATAAGATGCTCATCCGGAAGATCCATCCCGATAGAATGTTGGCTGATCACCTGATTTTCTCACACTATAGCTGGCTCTAGTTTGAAAGTGTCGAGATTCTCGAGACGGGACAAAATCGAAGCCAAGCGAATGAAAGTGTCATACCTACGAGCCTCTGGGCTTTCGATCCACCCCTGAGTGAGTAACCAGTTCAAATCGCGTGGCACTGCGGCACGCGCTGGTTTTGCGATGGCCTTCCTCAACACAGCGAGTTTTTCAAACCGCTTTCTCCGCTCCCACTCCAGGGTCTCTTGCAAATTAAGCTCGTACTTGCACGTGGCAAGAATGGTTAGTGTAAGTACGTGCTTGGGGTTATAGTGCAATATCATTTCTTTGAGAGACTCAAGATGGTCGTCGGATAGATCGGTCGTCAGATGAGTGAGGAACCTCAGCCATGGGGGCCATTGCAGGCTTTTTTAAAAGACCGATTAACCAGGTGGAAGTAATTGATACTTTTTCAATCGAGGTAAAGAAGCATGTCCTGAAATAGCTCCAGTGGAAGGTTCATTAAGGACATGGCGATGTTGGATCAACTAGTCAAGTCTGATGCAGGATGTTTTTTGTGGGAAGACTGATAAAACAAGTCGAAAAGATGATAAAATTGATGATCTTGAAACTATCAAGGGTTATTATTGAAGATTGCAAGATATATCACGATACAAATAGTGCAGGAAACTCTGCGTGGAAATGACTGATGAAAACAGCCGAAATGATGATAAAGTCGATGAGTCTGGAGATGTTGAAAAGGTTGCAAAAGGCTGCAAGATTTATAAGGTTGCAGGATTTGATTTTCAGTGGTGTATGCAAAAGACTCTGCAAGTCAGCTGACATCCTGACCGATTGCAGTCACTCAACTGGGCAGGTTACGAAGCTATTCAAATCAAGTAAACGCATAAAAGCATGATACTCTTTTAAAACTCCGGTGTCCTGCCCTCTAGTAGCTGCCAGTCTGTAGTGTCACCGATCTCCCCAAGAGGCTATCTTCAACTCTCCGAATACGTTCAGAGAGAAAAAAATTGGATAGATTGCTGAAATCCACAGAACAGTTTGGTCGGTTGATGGACTGTGGTTTGAGATATCCATGACGGCAGAGTGAAGATCAGCCTGATACGCTATCTACACGTGAGTGTGAGAGAAGCACGGATTACCGCATTGGGAAGAGATCAACAGTGGAGATAGCGTGAGCCATCAACATCGTCCCGATCGCGACGTCGACTTCCACTACACCTATCGGGGTGATATTTTCTTCCCAAAGTCTAGACACTAATAATCTCACCCATGGAACTATTTTCCTCCCTCCGTTTGAGTTTGACCTCCAGACCCCTATCTTTCATCGCACTCTACAAACTCCAACGCACTCCACAAAACATATAGGATGGCAGACGACCGGACCCCTCTACTGCGAGACACCGCAATACAGCCACAACAACAGCTAGCGCGCCCCAAACAACGCTGGTCCCTTCTCACACGCCTTTCCTTCATCGGCAGAATCTGGGTAATCAAAGTCGTCGTGCGCATCGCCGTTTCGCTTGCGCGCAGACTCCGCATTTCCCAATTCCGCCTCCAATCGACCTACAGAAAACACTATCCGGTCGGTCAGCAGATGTGGAACGATGTCTGGATCCCTAGCTCCCACGAAGCGGGGCAGACCCACCCGCTCTACATCGACATCCACGGCGGGGGATTCGCGACGGGGGATCCGAGCCACGATGGCGAGTTCTGCCGGTATCTTGCTGACGAGCACGGCATTTGCGTTGTCAGCGTGAATTACCCCAAGGCGCCCCGGTATCAGTTCCCGTGTCAGACGGATGATCTGGTCCAGACTGTTCGGTGTGTCTTGGCGGATGATAGTTTGCCGGTTGATAGGGACAGGGTTGCGATGGGGGGATTCTCTGCGGGAGGGAACTTATCCTTGTCTGTGGCGCTGAGGGATGAGATTCAGGGGTCGAGCATCAAGGGGGTGCTGGCGTGGTACCCGGTAACCGATTTTTCGGGTCGGTATAAGGGTACGTACAGGCCGGATCAGTACGGGATGCGCGATGTGCTAGAGGGCATGTCTGATGTGTTTTATTATTCCTATGTGCCTGATGGCCAAAACCTGAGGGATCCTTTCCTGAGTCCCGTGTATGCGGATCGAAGGAAGCTTCCACCAAAGATATTCTTCATCGGGGCGGAGCATGATATTCTCTGTCGGGAGGCGGAATGCACAGCTAGGATTTATGCAGAGGGGAAAGAGATACAGCAACCCATCGGCGAGATTAACGACTGGGCTGCCAATGGGATTCGCTGGAAGAGAGTTACTGGGGCACAACACGGTTTCAACTTTGTGCGCCGGTGGGTTCGGGAGAGGGAAGAGTTTCGCCATGCTCTCACGCAGCGGGCTTACGCTGATGCTGCGAAATGGTTGAAGACGGAAATATATGATTGTAAGGATTGAAATGGACATATGGCCCCACTTTTGTTTTGGATATTGGATTACTAGGAAACATATTAAGCCTCCGCTAAAAGTTTCATTGCCCGGTGGACAATCCTAGTCAGAGGTTCAGTCTTGAAGAAAACATGTTCCAGAGAAAAAAAGCGTGGACTCCACTAAGAAAGTGACACGCAATTATGATTCAATAGCACGCCAGCATAGGATTTATCGTCCTTTCCCGGACCTGCAAGTCAATCCAAACACACAGCATGCATATGGCCGATAGCAATATGGTGTTGCCCAAACCCTCGACCAGTTCAATGCACTGAGAGGACCTCACATGTTTCGGTACAGCACAATGCAGCTTGTATCACCAAATACTTTCCCGCATCTATGGTCCTAGTTATAGTGACTGTTGATAGTGAGTGATGGCGTCTACTGTGCAAAGTCTCGCCTCGAGGCGAACCGTAATGGGTGTGAGCGTTGTCTAGCGTTGTCTTGCGTTCTGCGCACAACCTTGCGAGTGTGGATTATTATCAACGATAATACAACTATTCCTCTTGATTACGGTGGTTTCGCCGTAGATTAAGCCAGCATAATTCAGCTTCATGAATGTAAGGACTTGCATATTCTCGTCAATAAGATGTATGTACTGAATATAGGACGACAACAAAAGAGATAGATCGGAGAAACAAACCTACTAAGACATAAAGACACGCTATTAGAAAAAGTATACCCAAACTATTACACTTTCTCGATGATCACATCTTCTCCAGCTTGTTCTTCTCGGGCTATTCCAGAACGCCAGAAATCCTCCCATATGACTGGACGAGCATCTTCCTCATCCCATCCACCAAAATTCTTCAAAAGCTCCGCCGCCGCGTAGTGCGTGCGGCTTTCAGCAAGATTTACGGCCCTGATGTACTGTTCCCTACCAGCCCCGTGCACCGACGCGCCCTCATTGAGGAGTAACTGTAGCATGTCAATATGACCATACTCGGCCGCCCCCTCCAACGCGGTTCTACCACAAAACAGGGCTCTGGCCGCATCAACTTCGGCGCCTTCGGTGAGCAGCTTGTGGGCAATTTCAATGTATCCCAAAATGGAAGCGAATTGGAGCGCTGTCGCCCCCGCTACTTGCGCCGGTCCTTGGTTAGTGTTGGCCCCGGAGATCAAAAGAACGTCGATAAGCTCCATGTTCCTATTGAATACCGCATTCTGTAAAGCAGTCTTTCCATGATGCCAGGAGGCTGGTGCATTGACATCTGCACCTGCCTGTATGAGGGTTTCAACAATCTGCTTGTTCTTAGTACTGACTGCGTGTTGAAGGATGCTGAAGTCTTCCCCAGAAGAGGTCTCTGAGGGAGTCCAGTCAATATCAGCACCGGCCTCAAGTAGGCTGTGGATTATAGAGACATCCTGCGCTTGCACTGCAATGACAAGCGGTGTCACATATCTCTCGCCCATTTTCCCCTGGTAATTCACATCAGCCCCAGCGTCCAATAATTTCGGAACTAGATCATTGCATCTGCCTTCGATGCACATGGCGAGAGCATTTCCCTTGGCTTGACTGTCCCATTTTCTTGAATTGAGTAAACTGCAGAAGAGCTCTCTTTTTCCTGACAGCACTGTTAGATCGAGTACTGACATCGGTGATGGCGTTCTGCAGCGTTTAGGGATGACAGTAGGGACTGTGATCTGGCCTCGTGGGTCTAAACCAACTTCCAGAAAGCGATTAACTAGAACTGAGGATATGGGGCCTTCGATTGCGTGTGCGTATGAGCAGGGGGCTGCACAAGCACGGCCATCAAGTGCACGTAAGAATAAATTGAGAAATTTAAAATCTCTACTGACATTACACCGAGATGTTGCTTCATAGAGCTCTAAATCAGTTATAGAGGCCCCTCGCTTCACCAGAGTGTCTGCCAGCCAAAATTTTCGCTGTCTGGTTGCTCCTCCTAGTGGAGTAGTGCGAATAATTGGAATGCCAGGACTATTCTCTTCTGGAGACCGAGAGTTTTTGCGTCCGATAATCTCTCTGTGCTGATCCGCTCCACGGTCCATCAAAAATTGGACCAAGTCACTGTTATTATATCTTATGGCATTCGCCAAGATAGCCTCCCCATTGGACAGAAGGATGTCTGATAGCATCCCCCGTTGCTCCAAGTATCTTGCAGTCTCAACATTGCCAATGGAGACCAACGTTTTCCCAGTATTCACAGCACCGGCTCGTAGCAGAATCTCCAGTATCTTGCAATTTCCCTGGTGCACAGCTGCTGCGAAAACAGTGTCTGGTGTTTGTTGATAGGTGTCGTTGACTCTCGCTCCACAGTTAATTAAGAGAGTCACAGTTTCAAGATCGTTTACTGCGACTTTTTGCATCAACATTGCAGAATAATGGTTCTGCATGGAACTTGTATCAGCCCTAGCACCATTTGCTATCAGAACATTGCTTAATCTTTGATGACCCCTTGCAAGAGCCCGGTCAACAAGTGTGATTTTTCCGGTGGCATCCCCTAAAGCCACGTCAGCTCCTGACTTGAGAAGATCTAGTGTTATTCTTAGAGAACCACTTTCCACGGCGAGTACGAGGGGTGGTATATATCCATGTTCGTTTGTTTTGTGGTTAATGTCTGCACCGGCAGCCAAGAGAGATTTGAAGATATGATATCTTGGTTGTATGATTGCTAATCCCAAAGTCGTGCTTCGCCGTTTATCAAAGATGTCATCTGGGAAAGAGAAATTCTGATATGCGTCGACCTTTGCGCCCAAGGAAAGAAGCCTTCGCACGAACGGTCCATTATCGCGTATCACGGCAATGCCGAGGATTGAGTTTGAGTAGTCTTTGCCGCGATCCACGTGACTACATATTTTATTGACGTCGCTGTCGGCAGTAAGGAGGACTTCCAAAAGATCAAATTTATTCCTGCGAATGGAAGCTCTCAGTGCACAGCAAGAGACGTATGCCCCTCTCAAAAGAAGCAGCTCCATTAAAGCTTTGTTTTGGGCCTCTGTGGCGTGATATAGAGCTGATTCTAGCGCTTGATGATTTTTGGAACAAGCATTGTGAGAAAAGAGCGAGCGGCTCATCTCCAGCGCGATGGTGGTATCATGAGATTGGGCGGCTATCTCCAAAGGCCAGACTGGGTCATCTTCAAACAGAACTCGAGTGTCTGGATTTATTCCCGCTTTCAAAAGCAACTGAACGGCCTCCAAGTCCTGTGTCCTTACGGCACTTGCCCAGAGTTTCAGAGAAATAGCATGCGCTGTTGCGCTAGGCACGGACAGTAGGTACCTCATGTTCTGGAGCGTAGATAGCCCGCCTAGGTGAAATACTGCCATAATCATTGTGTCTTCATTGCGAATCTCTGTTTCTGACGCACTGGTTGCTGCCACCAAGAGATTGTTAGACATCAAGAACAGAGCAACACGTAGGACTCCGGTAAGTGCTGCCTCATCACCTATTCCGCAGAGGCAATTCGATAAATGCATGTTTTGATCTGCATGTTCTTCCGGCATGATGGAAGTCAAAACAGCGGCCATGCGAGAGCTGCGCTCGGAGGCTTGTAAACCATCGGCGGCTTTGCCGGCCAGAAGGGAACTGAGGCCAATGGTGATGCTCTTGCTGGCGAGCCCACGATGACTGCCCCCCTCGTCGATAGGGGGAAGAGACAAATGAGAGACAGACTCCCTCAGCGGGAGAAGATATTTTTCAATATCGCGAAAAATGGTTTGCGAGAAGGTGAACCATGGCAGATTCGGAGACCATAGTTGCGGTGTCACTAGGCCAGGAGTACAGACTATGACACCATCCGGTGTTCTGGGTGACAGTGCTGGAACAGGTTAGCTATCACCCTGTTACTCCCAGCGAGCCAATCACACCTGTGTTATATATTTCCATTGCTGTTTCGAACCCCTGTCGACGAATCTCGGCCTGAACGACATTGCGAGGACACTGAACACCATCGATAAACACCTCGCTTGCTTTCTCCAGTTTGTTTCTCTTCTCAATTTGTCGCTTCACGTATATCCACTTCTTGGCACCCATGCGATACTTCTTGAATCCCCATTGTTTCAATTTTGCCTGGTACTGGTAATTACTTTGAGCTGTCAGCACCAGATCTCCTGAACGAAACAGGTAATGAAGCATGGGAGACATACGATTTTCGAAACCCACAGGTTCTGATCATGAATTGGCGCAATTCTTTCAACGTTCTGTTTTCCTTGATATAAATCCGATGGATCTCGGCCTTGAAGGGGTCCCAGTCTGACTCGTCCATGTTGATATGGGCTAGAGGGAGGAAAGTATGGTGAAAAAATGGGGTGATGTGAGGTTGGGTTGAGGCTACTATTTGAGCAACTCAGATGAACCACAAGCCACCAGGTGGCTCTGTTAGGCTGCATCAGCCAACCCCTTATTGGTGTCCTTGCGCGCCCCCGCACCAATGGACGTTACTGACGCCTCGTGCCTTGCCATATCGGCCAATCAACACTATAACATCCAGACAGTGATTGGCCTGCGACAAGATCTGCGCGCGTGTGTATAGAGCAGAGCCCGTGGTCATAAATCAGCCTCACATGGAACAAGGCTTGGTTACCCGTAAACATGGACTATCTTGCTGTGCGCGTCGTAACTCTCTCCCGTAGGGTAAAAACTGCTTTTTTCCAATTGCCTAGGGTCACTAGAGAGTTTAGGGCCGTTTCTATAAGACTACAGTGTGATATTTGACGTGCTTGCCCAACATGACAGCCAAGAATCGAGTGGAAACAGATCGGACATACAAGTGGATCTAAAATTATATTATATACTATGTGTGTGATTTGGGAAATCATTTCGAAGAAATTATACTCAAGATTTACGGTTGCAACCAACCTATATAACGGTACCTGTATGATTCTGAGAGCTCCATAACACTACCCTAGCCATGCTCAGATGCCTTACTAAGGTTGGATCCCCATAACTGACTGTGATTCGAGGGTTTTCAATTCTCGGTGCACGGCCCCAGATCAGCAACGTTCGGGTACCATAGGATGGTTCAAGTCCCCGGGTAGGCGCTCATTAAGCATCGATGTGATTTGACCAGGTCAAAATATTTTCTCCACTCACGAGCTCAGCCGTCGGTATATAGTCATGCATATTGGTGGATAGGATAGGAACAGTCAATGATTGGCTAACAGCAAAATATGGAATGAAGATGATTCACCTGCCAGGCGGATTCCATGATTGAGGGATCTATTCCTGGGTTTCTGGGAGTTGTCAGTAGGTCAGGGAGAGGTTTTTCTTTCTATAAAAGACTAGCATTTCCCAGGCCATGAGGTGGTTTCCATATCAATACACTCGCACCTACAGCGCCTGTCTCACACTGTGTTACTTCAACCCTGCATCTTCTCGTTCAATTCTCGGATCACAATCCCCAGCTTCTAGTATGTCGGACTTCAATTCTCAGTCGGGGTGGTACCAGCCCAACGATCGGCCCATCGGATATGATTGGACGGTCATGGTACCTCAGGACGAGTCCACATCCATGGAACAGCGAGGTTTCGGTTCAATCAATCCCGCTTGGAACAATACATCTATGGGAGCGTTCACAGCACCGGTTCCTCTGGGGACCGTTCCACCCTCGGCGACCTCTGATATAGGCTTTGTACCCGGTTCAGTCAGTCAGACTTTCCTCGGAAGGATACCAATTGTCAACAGGGGATCACTTCCAACAATTGATGGTGATAGTGAAGTAGTGTTGGGCGGTCGTTCAAAGACTGTTGGTATTCAGGCGATGCAGACGCCTGTCGATCGTGCCATGTCCAACGCCGAAAGACGCGACGGTCGAGCAAATCTCTCTCCTGAAAGGTACCTTGCTTCTCAGCCAGATTTTGCATGTTGTGTCTTTCTAACGGTGCATGTAGAGGGGATGCGGGTCAGCCGCTGAGATGCGAATGGGATGGCTGCTATGTCGAGTTCGGTCGAAGGGCGGAGTTAAAGCGACACGTTGATACGCTGCACATCTCTCCATCTTCCCACAAGTGTCCAAAGCCGGGGTGCAAAAAGTCATGCAGTCGACGAGACAATCTGAAGGTGCATGTACGAAGAGTGCATGGTCAGAATATTTGATTCGCAGATTTCGGCCGTACTAGGTCTTCCTGTCCGATTTAGCCTTCTTCGGCTGTTTGGTTATCATCTTGTTTCGCTTCTTTTTGTTTATTTGTTTTGTTTTGTTCTCCATTTTTGTGTCGGGTCTCATTATGGAATCATGAAGAGCGTCAGCAGGGTGAATATGGAATATATGCAATAGCACAATGGCATTCTTTGATATATATAATTGATATAGCACTCAGGTGTGACTGACACGATGTATTAGTGCGCCAAGATCATCAAGAACCATATAACAAAGAACAATGAAACAATCAAAGACCAAAGGCCTTCGGTCTGTCCGACCGGAAACCAGCAGATCCATAGACCCACCACGAAGAGCTGAAAAGGCCCCGCACGGCATCCACACAACATCCACACGATGTTCTACACGAACGCCACCGTCAAATTGGTGATACCTAGAAGGCAGCAACATTCCCGTGATATAATCTCACCACACCCATCTCACTTCACCACCCAATTCATCTCACCCACGCCAACCAACCCACTAGGGAAAATAAGGACCTACAACACAATCATCAAATTGCCGATCAACATGTCCAGCAAAATAGCCTCAACCACCCTCTCCACCCCAACTACAACCTCCTCCCCCAACATCACCCGCTCCACCATCACAACCTGCACCTTCCAGTCCCTCAGCTCATCCGACCGCATCCATCGCAGCGACCTCTCCACCGTGGACCTGACCAACCCACCACCACCCGTCGACCCAAAAGACAAAGACAAGGCGAAGAAATCCAAGAAACCCGCCGCGGTGACCGTCTCCCGCACCAAAGCATCCAACTCCACCCTCACCCGCTCCTCCGCCCGCCGCTGCACCCTTGCTGACAGCGAGCTGGTCGACGTCCCGGCGGCCCGGGCCGTCATCGCGGACAGCTCCACCCTGCGCGACGTACCATCTATCCGGCGCACTAGTGCCGAGAAGAGTCTCGTTGAAAAGAGCTCGCTTGCGAGGTGCGACGTGAAGGACTCGACTGTGTCGGAGAGCGTGGTCTGCAGGAGTACGCTGGATAAAGTGCGTCTTTTGCGCTGCAAAGTCAAACGCACGACGCTGGCGGAGTGCGATGTTGAGGATTGTGAGATCTTCCGGACGGAGTTCAAGGGCATGCGCTTGAAGAATGGCGTGTGGAAAAAGGGGAGGCTGATTGGGAAGGTTGCTGAGGGGGAGGTCATTGCTATTGGTGTGCATGGGGAGGTAGGTTTTCTTTCTTTCTCCTTTTTTACTGACAAAATGCTAACCTTTTCAGAAACTCGATATACCCAGCGACATTCCCCTCGCGACAGACCCCAAAGTCCAGGCTATCATCAAGGAGGAACCCGGTAGTACCACTGAAGAAGATCCCTCGGACGAGGACAGTGTGAATTTGGCACCACCACCGTACTCTTCGTCGATGGCGGCGGAGGGGTTCATCATGGGCGACCGCAAGGTGCAGCACTAATGGTGATCTTTACAAAAAAAATGATTGTTCAACTTACGATTTATGATGTTTGTCATTTGGAGCCATACTGCTAATCAGCTCCACTTTTATTCTATTTCACTTGTACATATTCATACTCATAATCAAGCAATATCTAATATAAAACTACACATGCTTTCTCCATCTTGAGCTCGTTCAACGCTCTCCAATTTTCCGTACAATGGACATTTGCAGGCTGTGAATATTGTAAAGTATCAAGCAGTTTCTAATTATAGTCAGATCGCCACTCTCAACCCACACTCCACTTCAGCACCGTTCGGACTTCTCCGAGACCCTGCCGATCTATCCCACCACCAGGCGAGCCGACTACTCTTGGCCACCTCAGCAATTGAATTCTATACCCAAACAAACCAGACTAACCAAACGCGAATCCTCAATGCCATCTTCATACATACCTCCAGGATATGCCACTAGCGTCCTCTCAGCGAACGCATAATATACTATAATACATTAACAACCCCGCAATACAACCCCTTCCGGAGCTAGTCAACTAGGTACCGAGGACCGAAGTATGCACAAGGACCCTTGCATCCCTTTCTGTCACGTCAGAGAAGTGGGTCCTGAATGTAGAGTAGGACTTGGCCCGATGCTCTTGTAATCCCGTCCTGGGAGTCTCGTGATCTAGTAGGCCCTATATGGTTTTTTTTCTTTTGAGGGGGGGGGTTCGAAGACTACCTCGTAGTTATCTAGGCGTGCATGATAAAATAGTATATAGTATCTGTTAGATCTGTAAAAAAGTCTTGTGTCTGCCATGCGCACGATAATATGCTCGAGAGCTTTCTGATAGTACCCTTGTCCCCCCTAACGAAACAAGTATTCTCCGTTAACCAATGTCCAATAAAGCAATTTCAGTTCTCAGCGAGGATGCACTTTGAGTGTAGTGTCCAGTTTCTAACTGTGAGTCAACACTCCTAAGAATCAGTATACATGGAGATATCTATGGATTTATCGTACACAGTATACAGTCCCGACCCCTTTCCCAGCTTCAGGTGAATCCTATGCTTCACCCCCTTCCAGTATCTGACAGAATCCATCAGCCCATGCAAGTTACCTATACATTGTCTGATATCTCAACGGATAAATAATCATCGCACACCAGCAGGAACACGACACACAGCCCTCGCCGTCTCCGGCATAGTCGACCACAAAACCTGCCTAATTTCCTGCCCCACCTGATCCACAGAATCCATAGCCCAAAGAACATCCAAATGCTCATACTCCTCGATAACCTTCGCATGAACAACATTCACATGCGGCTCCCGCCCATTCCGCAACCGCCGGAGGAGCCTGCGACCATCAACAAGATCATCCGACCCCGCGATCCACAGCGCCATCGGGGGCGCCTGGGGCCCGAACCACGCGGTGTCGCTGCGTGAGTCCGCGTCTGCCACGCCCCGCTCTACCCGGTGATCCTCTTCAATTTCGGCGAGGCCAACCTCATGGGTGGACAAGATGCATTTCTGCGTCGCGAAACACTCCCGGCCTAGCCACCAGCGCATGGTTTCCGTGCTTACGTAGACGGGTGCGAATTGGAACATGCGGTCGCGAAGGCCGCGGTCCCAGCGTGTGTCGCTCCAGTTGAAGAGGAAGGAGAAGACGTAGTAGCCCATTGTGCCGTAGATGTTCCCCGGGAGGCAGTCGTGCATGGTGATCATGAAGGGGATGAATGAGTGGATGCCGAAAATGGCGTAGAAGATGGAGGGCGAGATGACGCGCATGAAGCGAAAGTAGGCGCGTTCGACGAGTGGACCTGCGTAGGCGGCTGGTGCAAGGGCACAGAATACTGAGATGCGCTCGCCTAGCTCGGGCCGCTGGTCTCTGGAGAGTGCGACCAATGTCTGCGCGGTGCCTTGCGAGTGGCAGACGAGACCGAGCTTGTCGAAACCGGTCTCGTACAGGACTCGAGAGACGAGGGCCGATACGTCCAGCGTGCCCATCTGCTGGAGGTTCCACGACCACATGCGGGGGTCCGATGGCGATAGAGTCGTATGCTCCGGTCGCAACGCGCATCGGTTATTTCCGAGCCACACATCATACCCCGACTTGGCGAGGTAAAAAGCCAAGCTATCGTCGTCATTAACACAGTAAGCGCCAGCGCTTTGTAGCAGTCCATGGATCAACAGCACGGGATACTTGCGATTCGAGTCCGGATGCGATGCCGGGTCTTTCCGATCGGCAAACACCTCCGGCCCACGATACCGCCTCGCCTGTGCAGACAGCGGGGTGTATTCTTGAGGATTGTAGACATGCCACAACGTAAGGATAAAATTATCCTCTGTCTGCACCTTGAATGTCTCTATGTCGAGGCCGACCCTCCGTGCGTAGTATGCCACGTCACAGACAACTGGATCCTGCCCGCCCTCCAGCGGGGGACACTCATCCGGAACCTCCTCGTCAACTTCGTTCTTCCTCTGTCGCCTTTTCCAGCTCCGATATGCCTTATCCCGTTCTCGTTGTCGCTCTTGCTCTTCCACATGGAATATCCGCCGAACATTGGGGTCCTGGCCACTAGCGCGCAAGCGAAGACCTGTCAGGATTCCGGTCACGCCTTGAATAAGAGCGCCCGCAACCACTGCGCCCAGGAAGACCAGGGAGAGAAAAAACGACACACATCGTACTAGCATATATTGGATATTTGCGGTGAGCGACGGCGGTCCGTAGGACGGCAGCGGGGGGAAAAGCGGGTGCGGCGCGTCGGTCGAACTGGCGGTATGCGGTGTCTGGTGGCCCAGGAGGCTGTCGGTGACGTTGCAGGCGGTTTCTTTTTCCTCGACATCGGTGATGTTATTTAGTTCTCGCAATTCTAAGTCCGAAGAATGGTCGCCCGAAGGCTGTTTGTGGTGCTTCATTTCAGTCGTCATCCTGGTGTGAAGGACGAACCAAGATATCGTGCATTGAGATTCCACTACCAATAGGGGGTGGTCAAAGCGCGCCAGAGAGAAATTCAGGTAACAAAGGTCCTCATCTTATCAGCCCTGGGATTGGCGACCAGCGCGGACAGTCAAGGGGTGGAATAGGAGATACGAGACGGTGGAGAAGATGGAAATAGAAATGCGGGATGATGTTCAGGCAGATCTCCGGGGGTCCGCTGAGTCCCGTGACTTCCCCGTGTTTCGCGTGGTGCATGTGATTTATTATGTAATGCTATATCTGCCTGAGGAAACAGTCAGGCATAACAATGGCGTGTGTTGGACTCAGGCATCAATGTCTCTATAATCCATGGAAAGCGATGTTTTTGATACGGGTATAGAATTTTTGACATAGATACAATATTGATATTAGCAGCTAATTTCGGGCCAGCTACCCCTGTTGTTGTGCCCAGGGGAATGCAGACTATTTAATGCAAGCCACATAAATAGCGTACTCGGCGTACTATTACAGGGACAGCACTCTGTCCATCAATACAAGGATGTTCGAAGCGAATGAGAAACCTCAATCACTTCAAGCGATCCCATGTAGTATTTCATGAGCCATGATTTTGCCTTAAGCCTTCTCCGTGTGTTCCATATCACTTTTCACTTGGGAATCCTCCTCCTCCAACGTATCCAGCTTCGACCTATGATCCAGCGCATCTATGAAATTCGACGAGGGCTTAAAACCAGGCGAATGCCACGCCGAAGTGACTTTCGCATAAAGCTCATCCACCTCCTCGAGACTAAGCCCTTTCGTTTCGTAGATCGACGTGTAGACAAAGATAACGGCCAGGAAGCAGAAACCGCCCCAGATGAAAAACACCTTGGATTGGAGATTGGCATTGCCAGGACCTGCATCCACCAAGTAGGGCGTGGAGTAGGCGATAGCCCAGTTGAGAAGCCAATTCGTGGCCGTGGTGATCGATAGACACCTGGCGCGCGCCTTGAGCGGGAACAGCTCGCCCGTGACGACCCACCCGCAAGGGCCCCAGCTGCTGGCGAAGAAGAAGATATACACGCAAACAAAAGCGATCAGGACTTTGTTGGCCACGTCTGATGAGGTTGCCGTGCCGACTATGGCGACAATGAGCTGCGAGACGCACATGCCGGCTGCGCCATAGAGGAGAAGCGGTCGCCGGCCCCAGCGCTCAACCATGTAGAGACCTGGGAAGGTCGAGCACACGTTGACGATGTTGGTGATGAGTTGGATGGTGAAGGCGTTCTGGATGCCGGAGGCTTGGAAGAAGTGGGTGCCGTAGTAAACTTCGCGTGGTTAGTTTCACCGTTGGGTTACTCCAAGTGGTCTGGTAGACTTACAAATGAAATTACAGCCGGCTAGCTGCTGCAAGGCTTGGACACCACACCCGGTCGCCAGACGCTTCCCCAAGGTGCCACGGAAAATTTCCATGTAGCTGGCCTGGCCCAGACTGAGTTCGTACTCATGGTTGGCCTGGATCTCGGCCAGCTCCTCCACGACGACAGATTCATTGACGTCCATTCTCCGGAGGCGAGCCAGGGATTTGGCGGCCATCTCATGCTTGTCTTTCTTGATGAGGAAGCGGGGGGTTTCTGGAAGCATCAACATCCCAGCGACGAGGATGATAGCCCAGGCAAATTGAAGGGCAACGGGGATGCGGTAGCTCCCGGTGTCCATGCGATCCTTGGTTCCATTGTTGACGATGGCCGCGATCAGCAGTCCGATGGTGATTGCTAGCTGATAAGCGCCGACGATGGTTCCTCGGATCCACTTGGGGGCTGTTTCAGACTGGTAAAGAGGAACTGTCGGGTCAGTACGTCACTGCGAGAAACAGGATAAAACAGAACATACTGGTGGCAGAAAGAAGACCAACCCCGTAGCCAGCAAAGAATCTTCCCGCAACGAACAGCGGGATTGAAGTAGCCACGGTCTGCAGAACCACGCCGAACGAAAAGACCACCGAGTCAATGATCATACCCCACCGTCGACCGAAATGATCCGCAACAGGAGCGGCCGTCAGCGCACCGAAGAACGTGCCCGCTGACAGCAAGGATACAATCATCGAGGACTGGGAAGAGGTCACATCGGGGAAGTTGTCTTTCGGGTTGACGTAGCCGGTGGAGAAGAGCCCTCGCCAGTATTTCATGGCCAGGATTCCACTGATCGTGCCCGTATCATAGCTATCGAGGTTAGTTGGTTCTGGAACAGGGAGTAGTATCGGTAATCACCCGAATAGTAGACCCCCAAATGCCGCGAACAAGCCGATGGCAATAGCTGGGGTGGCAGAGCCTACCGCATCTGCTGGTTTATTTAATAGAAACGGCATTGCAAATTTATGGGCATCAATAACATCAGTCAATCGAAAAGAAGGTGTCAAAATTAACAGACAAGAAGTACAGTATAGCGTGAAATTGAAGAGGGAAAGACATCGAGCGATCTGCCCCACGGGAATGCAAAAGGTTTTGTACTCGTACTGGCAGGTGATGTCGACTTCCAGAAGCGGCATCACGAAGGACTACAAAGATATGAACGGGCATAATGCGCCGGACTGGGGCAGGCGCCAGACCTATCGCAATGATCGCGCACGGGATCGGCCTGGTTGTCTACAATGGCCCCCATCTGGGCTGATTCTTGCGACGTCCCCTGCAGGGTCGGTAAAGTTAACGTTTGGCCGGCGCTCAGGGATTGTGTATATCTAGCAAGCCATTGGATGGGTGGACTATCCAATGGATAGCCGACGGGGGAAAGCACGGGCTCGGCGCACACCGTCCACACAGCAGCGTCGAATCATTCTGGAAGCGGGATGGAAGGCATGCAGCGCAACATGTACAAGGGTAGAGGTGCAGGACGGGATACACCGTCAGACCCGGTCCACCCCTTGCGGGAGAGGCCTCGTTGTTAACGAATGACAATGTAGCTCGAAACTGGGAGTCAGATCCGCATCTGGACATCTTGTTGGGCACCTGCTATTTTGCAGAACAAATGATCGACAGGCCCTCAATACTTGGTGACGCTGAGGGGCCAAGAAACTGGAAAATGCGCCATGCATATTTCATCAGACTCCGTTTCAAGCGGCCCCGCCGTCTCCGGTCAGCCAGCCGGTCCGGTCGCCAGAGTATCCTAATCCGGAAATAGTGGACAGAAAACTTGTAATTCGCACGAAACCCGCGAGCATCTTGGTCATAGCCAGGCTCGCAACATCCATCATAGTGCATTAGTAAATCCGGGATCAAACCAAGGGGCTATCATCTCCGCATCGCCCGGCTCGGGAAGCGTGGAGAATCTGGCAGTCTCACATTCTCCGTGGATCGCGAGGACGATTTGGAATAGCCCCCGTGGGAGTGGCGATCATCGACCTATCTCGGCTCGCTTCGATGCATAGTATATCGTCCTTCAATTTGTTTCAACTCTCGGTGCCAAATCGGGGGGTTGGAAAGCTTAAGTCCAAGATAAATTGCAAGGAGCCGCGTCGAAGCCGTCTAGGGTCGTACCCGATTAGCCCGGTCATCAAGGGCGATAACAACGGTCAAGGAATGGCCGGACTTTAATTTCCGCCCCCAGGCTGTGGCTGTATAGCAACATGCGAGGGAGTAGGCAGAGATGCGATAAGCGATATGCACATCAATGTTGATAAAGATAGAATAGGTGAAGCAAGGCTGGGCACTTATATTGCGTGTGGGCTGAATCTGTCTCAGAGCTTGTTTGAAACGGGGGGGCAATTAGCAAAACCTCGGAAGGCATTCGCATTATGGTACAGAAAGAAGAAAAGATGAAGTAGAATTGATTGAACTTGCGATGGAAATCAAAAAAGAAGAACCGTTAGAAGAAAAGAAATGAGGACAAAAAACGAAGAAAAAAGAAAAAGATAAGCTCCGATACGGGGAATCGAACCCCGATCTGCTGAGTGAAAACCAGCGATGCTAGCCGTTACACCATATCGGATTGTTACTGTAAAACAGATCACAGATATGCTAATATAATTCATAAAAAAATGTTAAAAGATTTCTAAGACACTAACTCGGATATCAGTTACTTGGCATCTCAATACATACGTCTACCCACGCGTCTATGCATCTATACTTATATGTCTAATGAGGCAATATTGACATGAATCCAGTTATACTAGACCCTGGATGGTGTCATATTGCTGAACTAAAAAGACCACTATGTCAAACTTACTTACTCGACGTCCCCGAATGCCAATTATATATATGTTATACTACCTGGCTTGCCCCCAGCGAGGTCGCAAGTCTTTGCAATCCCTCGAGCACTGCCTTCGCTCGACCGGCGTCGTTTTCCCTCAGGTTCTACTACTACGTATGAGACAAGACTATTGTGCCCTTGACCTGGTGCACTGACCTGCGAATTTGTGGCTTTGGGGCTCCAAATGTGTCTCGATGCCCAGTGCCCACACCCTGCATCGGACCTCGTCGACACCAGCTGTTCGCGCATACAAAAACAGCCCAGATTACACCACTCTACAGTGTGGTTGCTTTGGGGAGATTGAGAAAAAATGGAGACATTTCTACTTATTCTTGTTGGCTGTATGATATGGCACGATAGTTACCTGTGCATTGAACAGTCAATACATGGGGGAAAAAACCAACCGGGACAGCCTTGGCCCTCATGTGATGGATAGATACGTTAGGTGGCGGGGACATGGATAGTAAGATAAGCTGGTGACTGGTGACACACTCTAAGGTGGTTTTAATTTAGTAATTCTCAGCCAGTCAATCAAGGCAGCCTTGTTTCTCATGTAAAAAGTACATTTACTAGATCGGGATAGTTGCAGCAAGATGAGCTGGCAACGCACTCCAGTTTAAATCCAGTAATACTCAGCCAGGCGACCGAGTGAAGTGCAGAAGATGGTGTGTGGCTTTTGACGAGGGAGTGAAAGGTATTAATGTGACACTCCCCCATTGCATTAGAAACAGCCAAAGAAAACTTTCTTCTTTCTTCTACAATCGTCTCTATTCTAAGTTCTACTAGCCTAGTCTATTTCATTATATTGCCTTCGATTTTCAACATGCCCGGACAGGACGAGATCTTTCTTCGTGCATGGCGTGTTGAGGATGAAGACTCTATGGCTCAGTTCGACAGGCGCACAAATGCTATTTTGGCAAAATCAAGGAGACGCGTCCCTATGAATGAGAGATGCCGAAGGATATTGCTAAACCACCTCGACTGGTCTAGCAGGAGCCTATCGCCCTTTATTTCAGTAACAAAGAACAAAGCCTGGGCGTTCCGTGAAGCTCAGCGCCGGATTTTGCAAGGAAAGACCGATGTTGTTGTGCACGAGATACGCGTCTCGAAGAGTCGTCTGCGCAGATATGAGAGGAGCGGGAAAGAGCTTGTGTACGGGCGCACCTTGACTTGGTTGCGTAGGGCCTGTACTGACCTTCCTGAATGTGCCAATTACGAATCCACTGACTACGAATCCCTTTTCCGGCATCAAATCCCGGGGATATTCATCGTGAAGTCACTTAGGATGTCATAGGAAGAGGGGGAGATGTTTGCTTCGCAGAATCAAGCGATTCGAGGTACCAAGGCTACGATGTTGCGTTTGACTCGTTGAAACTGAAAAACAAGCGGAGGAGATGGTTGGGCTTGACGGCGATTTCTTGTTCCAGAAAAACCCTATCCGTCCGGGAATTCGATTCGAGGCAGTATGCTATGCGCACTGCTCTCTTTTGGCTTTTGGACAGGTCGGGGAGATGAAGCAATAGTTACCCTGAATTTCAATGTTGGATATCACTATCAAGAGAACCTTGTCTAAAAGTGTGGCCACTCCAAGGAGCCGAAGGTACTAATCTCGACATCACTCGCCCCAAGACACTTCGATACGCCGTTGTAGGCCATGTGACCCTTCTTGTTTTTTTTTTTTTACCAGAACAGGGGACGTAAAGGAGCGTAGTGACTAGGAAGACAGAGCGTGGTAACTATACACCTGCGGGCTTTGAGATACCATGGAAGTGTCAACATAATGTTATTCTTTTCGGCTTTCCAAGCCATACATGTTCACCGTCGTTTCAAAGACGGCCCCCGCCGTTACCACCAATTTGGTGATTTTGGTCATTGGGAGAATCGACCCCGACCTAATTTTCGGCAACTATCTTGCCAAGCTAGCAAAAAGACTAGTCATGGTGAGTTTATTGAATGTCAAACTGGTGACGGCAATTAGCAGGCTGCAAGGGCTTGCGGGGGCTACGCGACTGCCCGATGTGTTTTAACCCCAGTCGGTTCCCAACTGTTCGTCGGTTGATCTCTTGATCTAACATGCTAGGCAAAGATCGGAACTTGCCAAGCCAGGCACCCTTGCGCCGTGTGAGTATCAATCTGAACATTTCATGTCTTCTCTTGGATAATGAGCATAGCACGGACATCCCTGATAAAGATGAGCCCACTCAATTGATGTACGTAGTGGGGATAGGAAATAGCGAAATGGTCGGAATTTTTACCCCTCTATCTCAGATATATACTGGGCCGGGATTTCATCGCATATTTAATACGCACGGAAGCAATCCTCATACTCAGACGAAACGAGACCCTCAATCTTGGGGGTTTGTGGAGGGAGGTTTCAGTATGCCAAGAGCATAAGAATATTAGGCGTCACAACGACACTGACATGTTGGTACATATGGAGAAGGAAAAAATGGAGGGGAAGAAAAAAAGGAAGAAAGAATGACGGATTATTTTCGGCCCCCCGAAGCGCACTCTTCTTGCCTTTTCCCAACTCTCAAGATACCCCTCAAAGAACTATCACCACGCCCCATCCCACAAAGCAACAACAAGAACGGAATGGTCCCCAGCAAAATAAACGCAACAAGCGTAAACGCCCACCCCCTCCCCATGGCAGCAAGCATTGGATCAATAGCAGCCGACGCCCCAGCCGAGAAAAACGACCGCACCATATTATTCGCAGCGGTGGCAGCCGCCGGCTGCGACGTGTGCAGATCAACCAGCAGCGTCGACGTCGAGATAAATCCACCTGTCTGGCCCATGCCGATGAAGAAAAGCAGTACCTCGGGGGCGGGTAGCGGCTCCCCATATTGCAGGACCCAGCCGAAGGCTAGCACCGTGACGCTGCCGGTAATGACGAGCGGGATGGTGATTGCGCTGCGGGCTTTTTCGACGGGAACTTTGTTTTCGTCTTGGGTGGGGGATGATTCTTGGGGGGTGAGTTTTGTGGCGAGACGCCGGTAGTTCCAGTCGAGGAGGCGGCCTGTTACCACGGAGGCGAGGATGGATCCTGTGCCGAGGGTGATGTAGCAGAGGCCGATTTGGAGGGTCGTGAGGTGGTATTGAGCGGTGTAGATTTGGGTGATGGAGGAGAGGACGGTCATGTTGCCGCCCATGATGACGCCTGTGACGATGAGGACGATGATGGAGTTGGCGTGGCAGACGACGGCGAGGGGTTTCAGTGGGTTCGGAAAGCGGAGCTTGTGGCTGGCGGGTTTCTGGGGCGCATCGCAGTCTTGAGATTGGGAGCTCTCGGAGCCAGAAGAGTGAGATAGTGATGATGATCGGTCTTGACGGACCAGATAGTCCATCAGCGGGCGATTCCAGGATTGTGCTGGGCTTGAGCCGTCACCGACGACGTTGCGGGCTGTCTCGGGGAGAAAAAGGAGGAGAGGAAGGAGGAAGACGCCCGATGCGATGGTCAAAAACCAGAAGATGGACCGCCATCCAAGGTACTGGGCCAGCAGACCACCGATGATGGGACCGATGGCCGGACCGCTGAAGTTGCCTGCCATCACGATGCCCATGTATGACCCTCGCTCCTGTTTCGTAGCAACATCTGCCACCGTCGCGGCGGAGAGAGCCACGCTGCTGCTGATTCCAGAGCTCTGCATACATCGCAGCACAATCAGCGCGGCGTAGTTGTCCTGAAGAGCGAGGCCGATGTTGGATGCAATGTAGATGACGAAGCAGATAATGTAGGCGGGTCGACGGCCGGTCTGGTCGGCGAAGCTGCCGAGAAACATGGGTGCGATTCCTTGGAAGATCTGATGCTTTGTTAGGGCATGATCCGTCACGGGATGGGTGCGTATACGGATACTGACCATGTAGCTCGTCACTGTCAAGTTGATCAACGACGCAGACACGCCCAGGTCCTCGGATAGCATGTTCAACGCGGGAAAATAAATCTGCGCCGACAACGATGAAAAGAAACCTGCTCCTGCCGCCGTAAAGATGATGTATCTTTTCTGCAACTGGCTAAAGGAGCTATACGGCTTGGGAGCCGCCTCCGTCGGAGACTTCACGCTCATGGTTTTGGGGTCAGACATGAGGAATGATGGATCAACAGGGCACGAGTTGGTTGCAACATGGATGTAATGAATATACTGACAACCAGACAATGTGCCCGGTAATCTCGTTCTCTTTGCTGATTGACTCGGCTAGCCAGGTCCCAGGTACCGATGGTTCCCGAGAGAATCAGCGAGAAAGAAACAGCCCAACCTCAAGAGTAGCGAGTGTCGCGACACGGCGATGTCGGGTAAGTGGAATAATCCGGTAAGAGTAGACCGCAGAGGGGTGGTGGGGTGGTGGATCCCTCTAAAAAGCTTGTAATGATCTACTTGAGGTTACTTGGAGTAGTGAAGGATCGGCGACTGCTCAACCAACGAGACCCATGAATGATGTATAGAGTATGTGTCCTGAAAATCACTTCTCACAAGGTACGATTGCCAATTTCAAATCCGACTTGCTATGGTACCTAGGTAGAAGATGAGGTGCAACGATTGATAAAAGCATGTAGGACCTTGTGGAATGAGAATTTACCATCACGGTAAGCAGAACTGTTCAGGTTCTTGGGAGAGAATAGAGGTTAGCCCTAAGTTCACCCTGATATCCCCTGCGTCATCATGCTTTGACATCCACATCAGCGTGGGGGATAGTGGGCAATGAGCTCATGGTCGCTCATTATCAGATTGATCGATAAAAATTTGCTTGGTTAGTGGGCTCCGCTGTGAGGACTGGTGGAGATATCCTGGATGGAAACACGGTGGATCTGCACCCTGATCGTCCAATTAGCAAGGGTGCTGGATCTAGCTGTGATGGTTGACCAGGAAAAGGGGAAGCACGGAAGAAGGGAAGTAATGTCAGTTTATTACTGAGAAATCATGAGCCAATATTGAAAACACAATATTCGAATCCTTTGGGCAATTTATAATTGCCAGGTGGGATTTTGATATGGAACCCAGGGCTGACGCCGTCAACTGTGACATAGGGTTGATGGCATCCCACCAAGCAGTGCTAAGTATGATCTTAGAAGAAGAAGTCCAAATATGCTACGCCGATCATCAGTGGGATATTGTTGATGACGCGATCCGCAAATTTCTCAGGATGATCTTCATCTGACGGTGTTGCGTAATGGAGTTCCCATACAGCCAATTTCCGTCGACTTGGAATCACACGCAAGGCTGATTCTCCGCCGCGCGTGGAAAGATCCGCGCAGAACGATCTTATCGGGCGATTTGAAGTTCCAAAACCTAGATACCACGATAATAAACAGGAACAGGATGATTGACGCTGGGCCCATGAGATGCGTTAGGGACGTGTGGGGGCGGGTGAAGACGATTTGCATCGCGCGAGTTTAACATGGTTCACCCGGGTGGTGTGAGAGGATATTGGTGGAGGAGGTCGGTCAACCGGAGCCGGAGTGATATGTCGGTATTTTCAGGAAGATGGGTATCCAACTTAGGGTTATTGATCTGCAGATGAGGTGACTATATAACCAGCGCAATCCTTCTCGAATCCGAGGAGCACATCAAACCATTCGCTCACAGCATTCTCTTCTCCTTTTCAGACATCCTCATAGGACCCAACGGTAGCAACAATATGGCGGTTGATAACTTTGATCTCTCCCCAGCGGTGACCATCATCGGCGCAGGACCTTGCGGATGTGCCTTTGCAGCCGACCTCGCCAGTCGTGGCAAGTCGGTGATGTTGTACGGACACCCTGACCATCGCGGGGCCATTCCCATGATTGAGAAGAATGGTGGCTGGCTCAAAGCCAACGGGGAGATCAATGGGACATTTCAGGTCCAGACAACCAGCGACTTCGATGTCGCGGCCCGACACTCCGCGTTCCTGGTGAGCACCGTGCCCTCGTATGGACAGGAAACCATCCTGCAGGCCCTAAGCCCATGCGACCTGCAACACCACACCCTCATCGTCAACGTCGGCAACTTCTTCTACCTCGCCTCCCGCCAGAAGATCAATCCCAAAAACGTCCTCGAAACCGATATTTCCCCCTACGCCACCCGCATCACCGGGGACACGGTGTTCGTCAAGGGGGTGAAGAAGAGCCTTGCCATCTGGGCCGAGCCACCCACCACCGAGTCCGAGGCCTCTTACTACAGCCAAGCCGACGTCGCATTCCTCCACCGGGAAGTCGAGTCCATTTTCTCGCAGCGTCTCGTCTGGTGCAAAAACCTGCTGGAAGTCGGCCTGAACAACATCAACCCGGTCGTGCACTGCCCCGCGGCGCTCATGAACGCAGGCTGGATCGAAGCCACCCGAGGCGACTTCTTCTTCTACGCGCAGGGCATGTCGCCCGCCGTGTCGCGCGTGACAGAGAAGATCGATGGCGAGCGTTTGGCCATCGCACGGGCTTACGGCCTCAACCTCGTCTCCATCACCGACTACATGAACCTGAACTACCGCCACGACCAGGAGTTCAGCGACTACCACGACTTTGCGCGCGGGTCTGTCATTCATAACAAGACCAAGAGTGCGCCTACCTCAATGCACCACCGCTACCTGCTCGAGGATATCCTGTACGCCATGGTGCCGTGGTACGAGCTTGGCTTGAAGGCTGGTCTGTCGTCGCCGACTATCTACTCGCTGATCGAGCTGGCCTCTGTTGTCAGTGGGTTTGATTACCTGACGCATGGGAGGAGCTTGCGAGCGGCGGGCTTCGAGGAGTTGTCCATGGAGCAGATCCTGTTGGCGCTAGGTGGGCCGGCAGAAAATGCTGTGGCTGCTGTGCTTGCCCCGTTGCCGGACTCCCACGTTAATGGTAGGGTCAACGGGGTGGACTCGCATGTCGCGTTGCCCAAGACTCAAGTGGTTGCTTGAGGTTGTCTGTTTATTTCATGTCGTTCACGTTTGTACATACTTTATACCTCTTGTTCGTTGAATTTTCTGTCAAAAATTTTGTTCGTTATTTGGCATCTGTCAGTGCATATAGATTCGCTGAATGATTCTTGATGCCTATTTCTATTGACCCTGTTGCCACTGTAGAGTATGCCTGGGGAATGCAGCTGCACAGACCCGTATTCGCGAGCGATGTGTCGTATCTTTAACAAGTGACCGTTGAACGGTGTTAAATTACCATTTGATCAGGCATGCGAGTGACTTTGAATCTAAGAGGAGGATTGATGACTATCGAAAGCGTTGAAAATATGCGTGAAGATGAGTCTATTGTGACAGATCGACAACCCAAAACGGCAATATCAACACGTGACCGCGCGACGGAAAAACGGGCGGTCGCGTGGCTGGCGACTTTTCTTCCTGACGCCATACTCTGATTTTGCGACCAAATCAACGAGACACGCCCGGAATGAATATATAATGCCAGTACATAATACAAGATATTAAAAACTTAACACTACATAACACCTGTCAACTCACTCCTTTGACGTCTCTTTGGGGGTGACGCCGTGACGCCTCCCTCGCCATCCCCGCACGCCTCCAACTCGACCCGACCTACCCACCAAATGGCCGGCTTCAACCAGAAAAAACCCTCGACACCTGCCCGGTCGTTTTCCAAGTCCAAACCGCAGAGCGCTACCAAGCGCAACGCCAGTCTTCTCAATTTCTTCCAGAAGGCGGACGGCCCGCCCCAAGCTACCTCCCGACAGTCCCGGATCACGCAGTTCGCGACACCGAGCGAGGGGTCCAACGGCAGTCGCGGGAAGAGTGCAAGCAGCTCACCTGGTCTGCGCAGATCTGTGACCTCGGTGTCAGGCGCTGGCACGGGCGCTGGTGGGCTTTTCCTTGAGGATCGGAATGGGAAGCCTGCGGCGCGGGTAGAACGAGCGCGGTCCCGGTCGCGGACACCTGATGATATCTGGGGCGAGGGCCTCGACGTGAAGGAGGATGATCCGCAGAATGAGGAAGCGTCGTCCTCGGTAAAACGACGTAGGGTGGACGTGACGGAGGAGTCCGAGGGCACCAATGAGAAGAAAAAAGGCGATTCACCTCGTCCTGTGTCGGCTAAGAGTCGACCGACTAGCGGGCCGTTCATCGACGAGTCGGATAGCGAGGATGATTTAGACGCCTTCAGAGATCTCGGTGACGACTCTTTACCCGCTACGGACCTGAAGGATACGCCGTCTTGCGCCGACGAGCCTGTGACTACTATCGACGCAACGGATTCGGAGCGACCCCCCGTGCCACCACTGGTAAGAGAAGCCACGAGCCATGCCGCAGATGATGAAGATACGAATTTTGACGAACTAGAAGAGGATGAATTAGGAGTGGACCCATTGCAATTTCAAGGAGAAGAATTTTTAGAACCCCTAGATGACGACATTAAAGAGGCCGTGGTGGAATCCGATGGGCTGGAGGACGGGTGTCTGGTTGGAGAGGGTAGTCTGGGGGATAACGAAACGGTGTGTCCGGTTTGCCAGACCCGGCTGATCGCGCTGAATGAAAGTGTACGTCCACTTGATATACTGGATACTGGTTCCCATGGCTAACGGTCTGACAGGATATATCGGTACATGTCAACGATTGTCTAGATGGGAAGCCGAGCATCATCCCGAAAAACACCCCAACACCCGCAAAAAGGTCCTCGCCGGTGGAGCGTGCCGCCATCGCGAAACCACCCCAACCCGATCCCTACAACTCTGGTGAACCTGCCGCTGGAACGGCATTCTCCAAGTTAATGGCCGGGAATGCGGAGGACACGGCGTGGTCCTCGGCAGCCGCTAACGAGGTGGCATCACGAGGCAAACAAGCCTACCAACGGACTTGTCCGTTCTACAAGATCATGCCTGGTTTCTTCATCTGCGTGGATGCTTTCCGCTACGGCGCAGTAGAAGGGTGCAGCGCCTACTTCCTGAGCCACTTCCACAGCGACCACTATATCGGGTTGACAGCATCGTGGCGACACGGTCCCATCTACTGTAGCAAGCCCACAGCCAACCTCGTCCGCCAGCAGTTGAAGGTGAATCCGAAATGGATCGTGGCCCTAGACTTCGAGAAGCGGACTGAGGTTCCAGACACCGGCGGGGTGCAGGCCACCCTAATCGAGGCGAACCACTGCCCCGGCAGCGCCCTGTTTCTATTCGAAAAGCCCGTCGGGCCGCAGCGGACGCAACGCATCCTCCACTGCGGCGACTTCCGCGCCTCCCCAGCGCACGTCCAGCACCCGCTTCTCTGTCCCCACCCCGTCGACCCCACGACAGGCCAGCGCCGCCGCCAACGCATCGACACTTGCTACCTAGACACCACATATCTCAGCCCTAAATACGCCTTCCCCAGCCAGAGCGACGTGATCCGCGCCTGCGCCGACCTATGCGTTAGTCTCAACGACGGATCAACAAACAGCGTCGTCCCACCCGGAAAGTCCACCATCAGCTCAACAATGATGAACCGATTCATCTCAACCGTAACCGGATCACACCCCACCACACCCGCAGAACCCCCACCCTCCACAACCAACAGCCGCCTTCTAATCGTAATCGGCACCTACAGCATCGGCAAAGAGCGCATCTGCCTCGGCATCGCACGCGCCCTACGCTCAAAAATCTACGCCACACCCGCCAAACAGCGCGTCTGCGCCTGCCTCGAAGACCCCGAGCTCACCTCCCTGCTCACAGACGACCCGACAGCCGCCCAAGTCCACATGCAAACGCTGTTCGAACTCCGCGCCGACACCCTAGCCGACTACCTCGACTCGCTAAAGCCGCACTTCGCCCGCGTCGTCGGCTTCCGCCCCACGGGCTGGTCTTACCGCCCACCGGCGGGTCGTACCATCGACATCAACGCCCCGCCGCCGGTATCGGCTGTGCTGCACGCCCCGCAGTGGCAGTCGCCGTTTTCGGTCGCGGATCTGATGCCCCAGCGGGGGAGTACCCGGGAGAGTGCTTGCTATGGGGTTCCGTATAGTGAGCATAGCTCGTTCAGGGAGCTGACAATGTTTTGTTGTGCGTTGGATATTGGGAGGGTTGTTCCTACTGTTAATGTGGGGAGTAAGAAGAGTCGGGAGGTTATGAGGGGGTGGATTGAGAGGTGGGAGGTGGAGAGGAGAAAGAGTGGGCTTTATCGGTGGGAGGGTGATGTGTAGTTTAGTTGATTTTTGTCATATATGATATGTGGATAATAAGAGACTTTTGGCTCTATATACAATAGTGATAATTCAAGGGTGAAGCGTCTCCGAATGTTAGACCAAGGTTGATCTCCTACGGTCGTAATACCGGCGGTTCCTACCAGACGACCACGGTGCTCCCGTCGCCCGGCAAATCCATGATGTTTGTTTCTAGACGTGCTCACAGATACCGGTGAATCCATTCGTCCTCCGCGAGTTCCTTCGCGGAGCTACGCTTGCCGGGCTCCCACTCCAGCATTTTCCGCATGAGGCGGAAGAACGCCTCTCTCCCGGTTTCTCCTACGAGGGTGTTTTCTCGTTGTTCGAGCGGAACCGGGTCTTTGAGTAGAGATTTGGGGAGGAAATCGCCTAGAGATCGGACAGTGAGCGGTTTGGGTTACTGAGGTCACGAGATGGCAGAGACCTACCGTCATTGGAAAAGAATTTGTCGCTTAAGCTGCCCTGCGCGAGGAGGCTCGACGGAGGGGGACCAAGAAGGGTGATCATTTCAGCGAGGTGGGCTCGGCTTCGATATCTTTGATATTCTGGGTCATGGCCGGAGAACAAGGAGCCGCCTTGGTAGATATCCCAAATCTATGGCCTTGCTTTAGGGGTTTTCAAATCAATAATATAGGATGTCCATCATACCATGCAACCCACGTTCCATATATCGACACTATACGTCCACGGAGCCCCGAGAATAACTTCCGGGGCGCGATAGATGTCAGGTTGAACGAACTCTGTGAGGGGCCGATTGCTGAAAACCGCGGACCCAAAGTCGCAGAGGATTGGGGCACCCAATGGTTTGGGCATCTTGAGCTCCTGGGACATGTAGAGGAGTCTCCCATTGGGGTCTACTTCTTTCCTTGGAACGGGGTGTTGGAGCTCCCTTTCTTCAAAGTCGCTGAAGACGGAATCGTCGTTGATGCCGAGCATGATGTTGTCGGCTTTGATATCTAAGGGGAAGGAGTTAGTAGATTACTGTGTAGAGAAGGGTATGCACAAACCAGTGTGAATAATCTGGCACTCCGTGTGAAGGTAATCTAAAGCCAAAAACAACCGTCGAAGAACGACTGCCACGATTACTGCAGGCAGTCTCTCGGCGGGGTTGCGACGTAAGAAAGCCAAGACACTTTCCCACAGTGGCCGATGGACGAGACACCGGTGTCTGTCTTCTGGCCCATCGATGTAGAATGTATCCAGTAATGTCCGGACCGCGTCACGGCCCGGATGACCTTTTGAAGATTGCTCGATGCGTCTGTACATCGCGATCTCGTCGTCCACTTGGTTGCCCATGGACGAAGCCTGGACGAAGATTTTAAAGCATTACATACTGACGGTCGCTGAATTTTGGCACGTAAGCATACTGGGATGGGTGGACATGATCCAAGTGAGATCTCACTTCATGTCCCGTGCTAGCCACGCGGTGGAGGTGGATCCAAATCCTAGTTTGCCTACGACTTGATATCGCTCTTGAATGACTTCCCCGATTTGAGTAGGATAGTACGAAGAGGCAATATACTCTGGGAGATTTTCTTCTTCAATCTTGTGGTAGTCGGGTATACGAACGAAGTTTGGGTTGGAGAAATCAAGGGGCTTCCATCTCCGTCCAAGCCGGGGCAAAGACCGCAGAAGGGATGAAAACATGCCCAGAAACTAACGAAAAGTGTGCTGTGTCATAAAGGATAGAAGGGGAGACTGGATGATCCATGAGTGTTGTATAGGGGCGTTCAAGACGATGTGATTGCTCAAAGCCAGGCCAAGGATGTCAATGATAAACAAGTCAGGTGATCACCAACAACCGCTGCCACAGCACGGAGGCCAGAAGGGCCATATCGCAGTCTTTTCTTGTCATTTCATATGAAACGCGGACTATGGAGGGTCGAATTAAGTCTACTGGAGTATGTATCGCACAGGCACTAGTACTTCATAAGATAGATTGACGTTTACTTCAACTGTCTCTCTAGGAGTAGGGAAATATATAAGTATAATCCCAGTACGAAGGACATCGTCCAGCTGTATCCAATCAACAGTAGCAGCAGTGGAGTATTCTCCGGTGCTCGAGATGGGGTTGTTTACTTTTTTCACCAGAATGCTCTCTCGATGTAGACCTTCGTGGTTGAAGGTGGGTCGGTGACCCTTGAGGACAGAGGGAGATGACGGGTAAGAAAGCCCGGCAGAGGACTAGGCAGCTGATCTGGCTGTCGGTAATAGGGTAGAGAGAACGGCATTGCCAATGATCACTCAGGGTCACGGACGATGCGACCAAAACCTTGCCGGTCTTCCGGTGGAAATCAAGTCCTGTTTATACTGTAGAGCCACGAGGCCCGTGCTGTTCCATGGTGGGACTGGAGTTCGGTCGGCCAATCATCTCGGTTTTGGACGGCAAGGGTTGGCTGACCGACAAAAGGGAATCTGATGTTCAATTGATTGCTTCGTCTCGGTGGAGAGCCACGGAGAAGCTATGCAGATCGGCAGGATGAAGCTACGCCATGGGACAATTCGCCAGTTGTCTCTGTCAGGTGATCATTCGGGTAGTCTTGACGGTTAATCCTGGGACAATTTTATGTTTAGACTATTCACCAATGCGGGGGATTGTGCCTCATTAGTGCAAGTAAATAATGTGATGATTAATACCATGCAAGATAAACCAATGGGAGTCCACGTGATGACCTAGCGGGTCCACACCCGAGGCGGCCCGACAGTCGGCAGGCAACACCGGCTGCCGGACCCCATAGCCTGAGGCAGCGACGCCTGGTCAACTCCACGATTGCCAGGCACCCAGGCACCCAGGAACCCCAGAGTTCCCGACTTCGCCATCCGTTCGCTTTCTCTTTGCCTCGGGGTTGCTCTTCTGCCCCGTCATAAATATCCCTTCGATCGATCATCTGTCCAGATTCTTCTCGATCTTCCTCTTTCTTCTGTTTATCCACTGGAACGCGAGGAGAAAGTCTTTGATCATCTTCACCCCCTATCCTTGTCGGGATCAGAATCCTTGTCTCTCATCTTCATCTCTACCATCTCGCTGTCTTCCATCTGAGACCCTGACGACAACCGTTCGTCTTGGCGCTCGTTGTGATCGGATCCGATCAGGTTAGTGCCCTGGTCATGTGCCTCCCCACACTTCCTCTCCTCTTCTGTATCCCCTCAACTCCTCACTCCTCATTTCTCTTCCCTCACTTCTCCCCGCTTTCGTGTCTTACATGCAATCATGGGCCCCACTGACCTCTCTCCAGGCGACTGGTCATCATGCTCGCACAACAGCTCATCGAGCACCTCTTGACCCCGCAGGGCGCTGCATCCGCCCTGGTCGGTCTACTCGCCTTTTACTACATCCTGCCCTATCTCCAGACATGGCGTCTGCGTGATATCCCGACCCCCTCATTCGCCGCCTTCACCAACCTCTGGTTGCTCGTGCAAGCCCGTCAGGGTCGCCGGTTTGAGGCCGTTCACGAAGCCCACCAGAAGCATGGCAAACTCGTCCGTATCGCGCCCCGTCATGTTTCCATCGCCGACGATGGCGCTATCAACGCCATCTACGGTCACGGCAATGGCTTCCTCAAGGCGTATGTTGATCTAATCTACCTACCCCCTTATCTTTCTATCCACTTATCCAGATACGCGGTGAGAATTGAGGATTCCAGACTAACCCCCACAGTGACTTCTACGATGCTTTCGTCTCCATCCGTCGCGGTCTGTTCAACACCCGTGACCGTGCGGAGCACACGCGCAAGCGCAAGACGGTCTCCCACACCTTCAGTATGAAGTCTATCGGCCAGTTTGAGCAGTACATCCACCACAACATCGAGCTCTTCGCCACCCAGTGGACCAACCTGGCCAAGTCTCAGGGTAATCCCAAGTCCGGCTATGTCACCATCGACGCCCTTAACTGGTTCAACTTCCTGGCCTTCGACATCATCGGGGATCTGGCGTTCGGCGCCCCCTTCGGCATGCTCCAGAAGGGCGAAGATATCGCCGAGATGCGCAAGACCCCGGAATCCGCCCCCAAGTACGTCCAGGCCGTCGAGGTGCTCAACCGCCGCGGTGAAGTCTCCGCCACCATCGGCACCCTCCCTGCCCTGAAGCCCTTCGCCAAGTACATCCCGGATCGCTTCTTCAAGGACGGTATGGAGGCTGTCGAGAACCTGGCCGGTATCGCCGTCGCCCGTGTCAATGAACGCCTGCGCCCCGAGGTCATGGCCAACAACACCCGTGTCGATCTGCTCGCCCGTCTGATGGAAGGCAAGGACAGCACTGGCAACAAGCTGGGCCGCGAGGAACTCACTGCCGAGGCCCTGACCCAGCTGATCGCCGGCTCCGACACCACCTCCAACACTGCCTGCGCCATCCTCTACTGGTGCATGCGCACCCCCGGCGTCATCCCCACATTGCAAAAGGTCCTGGATGAGGAGCTGCCCGGCGATATCGACGTGCCCACCCACGCCATGGTCAAGGATATTCCTTAGTATGTCTCTCCCCGTAACACCTTTCGCTCAGGTCACAAAATGTCCATGTCACTAACTCGTCCCTAGCCTCCAATGGGTCATCTGGGAAACCATGCGCATCCACAGCACCTCCGCCATGGGTCTCCCCCGGGAGATCCCCCCCGGAAGCCCCCCCATCACCATCTCCGGCCACGTCTTCCAAGCCGGCGACGTCGTCTCCGTCCCCAGCTACACCATCCACCGCTCCACGGAGATCTGGGGCCCCGACGCTGAGCAGTTCGTCCCCGACCGCTGGGATCCCGCCCGTCTGACGCCTCGCCAAAAGGCCGCCTTCATCCCCTTCAGCACGGGGCCCCGCGCCTGCGTCGGCCGCAACGTCGCCGAGATGGAACTCCTCGTCATGGCCGCTACCGTTTTCCGCCTCTTCGAGTTCGAAATGCAGCAGGATGGACCTATGGAGACCCGCGAGGGCTTCCTCCGTAAGCCTCTGGGCTTGATGGTCGGCATGAAGCGTCGTCCTTCTACTCTGTAGTGGACACCGTCTACTTGACCGTCTTCTTTCTTGTTTATTTCGGATGACTTTTCTTTTATTTTTTCTTTTTCTTTCTTATTGATTGATTGATGGATGGATCGTTTCCTTCCTGATTTGCTCGTACTTAAGCATAGACAGATATGGATGGGGACAACTTGGGAGGAACACCTGCATACACACAAACACAAACACAAACACAAACGCGAGGATATATATATGAATGGAATTGAATCATGAATCATAACCTACTTGTTGACTAACAACTTCCTTAGTAGTATAGTGCAGTAAAGCGCAGTAATGTCCATGATGGAAAATGGCGAACGATGGATGTCCTTTTTTCTCTGCTTATATTCTTTTCGTTCTTTTCTTTTCTTCCATTTTTATTTTTTTTTATTTTTTATTCTCGTTTGAATATACAATATATATAAAATGGAAGGAGTATAATCGCATTTTATTGAAATCCGGGCGGAATTCCTTGCCCTACATGTGTATCTCTCTGTGGAAGAAGAATCAACAAATCGATCAAGATACTGATGAATCTGAAGATTCTTATTACTACGAAAGGATTTGAATAGTTGCGTAAAAAAAAAGGGGGAATGAAGAACCAGAGAAACAATACATGTGAGAAATCACTGTTCAAATCGGCGGACAGGTTCAAAGATTACATTAGTTGGTCTACGATATCTACTCTTTTCTAATTGCTGCTCTACTACTCTTGGCTCCTGCTCTGCTACTCTTACCCCAGCAATACCTACTTATCTACCACACAAGAAAAGCAAAAATTCCGTGCAACTAGTATTAAGTATTCATGATATGAAGTGGATGCAATACATGAGGACCGTCACGTGTTCTGGCTTCCTTCCTCCATCCTGATACCATATTTCGGGGGAAAAAAAGAACGCCAGCGCCAGCAGGCGAAAGGAGTATCAAACCATACGAAAGGAGATAGACAAATGGATAGATCACCACGTCGCAGGGCCAAATGTCTTCCCACTGGGAATCGGCTCTCGCACGGCGGTGCCGGCCGCGTCCATCGTTTCGACTGAAATCCGCGTGCCCCACCATGACGGGAATTCCGTCTGCGTGAGCTGCAGGGCGAGGAAGATTAAGATCGTGCACAGCGCCAGTCCGACGTCGAGTCCGGCGGACACGGTGTAGTTGTACTGCATCCACCACCCGCGCCACTTGTTGCGGATGTACTTGTTGAAGACGAGACCCACGACGCCCCAGGACAGATAGTTGAGCGGCGTAGCCGGGGGGATAAGCCCCGTACCGCCGAAGATGAGCGGCGCGTTGAGGAACCTGATGCGCGTGCGGGGGAACATGCGCGCGCCAAAGTAGATGGCGACGGGGAGGATGGCGCCCACGAGCCAGAACCACATCAGGAAGGAGTAGATCTGACCCGGGGAAAACATGCGCGCGGGGCCGATGACACCCCAGATGACAGAGGCGTTGAAGAAGACCCGACCGTTCGGGCAATTGAAGTGGTTGGATTGATGTGCCGTGCAGACGTCCTTGATTGCGCCCAGCGCCCAGTTCATGACGCCGATCTGGACTATCGATGACCAAAGGCAAGCGACCATTTGCGCCGCGAAGGTGACGCGTGGAGGCACTTTCATGTAGTGACCTGTGGGAGTGGACTGATGTTAGTATATAGAGATGTACCGATGAGGAGGGGGAAATAATGGACGAACCGATTTTCATGTCCTGGGAAAAGTACAACCCCTGGTACATGGTCATGTACCCATACGTCTTGAAGAGCATCATTGCCATGGGCCGTCCCGGTTGCATATAGCCGATGATAAACTCGGTGAGCACGTTAAGTCCGATGGCCACGTTGGTCGACGCTTGAACGATCCCGATCGGCACGAACCACACGCCCGCCATGATCAGCGAAATGAAAAATGCCCACCATGACAGCTCTGTTGGGAAGCCGATCACGACACCCAATCCCATACCGGTCATGATGAGCGCGATGGCCAAGTACCACCACATGGGGACGGGCTTGAAGCGAGCCATCAGCCGACCGTGCACATCCTCCTCCTCATGGCCGAACCGTCGGAACCGTGCCCAAATCTCCTTCCCGTGGAACAGTCCGGCATTGAGGAGCACGGCAATGATACTGGCGAATGACAGACCGTAGGAGAGCATGAAAGTCGTCGACAAGAAGAGCGGCGAATACTCCTTGTACTTGGCCTCATCAAACTTGAACTCTGGGGTCAGAATCCGTGACACATTGTAAACGTTCCCTGTATTATCATAGCTGTTGGAATCGCTGATGGGGAGATGCTTCGACCAATAGGCGCCACTGTAGTGGAGGCCCGCCGTGGTGATCCAAAAGAAGACGACCAGACCGATCAACGTGTTGGCGATGGCGTGCCACGGCGAAATGAGCGGACTGAAGTTGAACCCCGAGATCTGGGTCCAGTCGAAGGTGATAGGCAGCACCGACAGCCCCGTCCATCCACCGAATACTTGGTTGATCACCGCGTTCTGCGGCTTGATCCACGTCACGAAGGCGAAGACACTCAAGAACGGCGCGATGTAACCCGGGAAGAAATACCAGAAGAAAGACCCCAGCATGCAGTACAAGAACATGCGGTACTTTCCAATCGTCCACCCCGAGACCTTGCGCGGATCCGGCTTGGAACGATCATGGAGGGCCGCAAAGAGCGACGTGTTAATCAGAGTACTGGGCCAGATCATCGCCGCGGGAGTCACCAGGAAGCGATGGAAAAACCCGGCGAAGCCAAAGCCCAGCATTTGGGTCGATATGCACATGAAGATTTCGAAGGCCCAGCCGAAGTGTTGGCCGTAGAAGGCTCGCTGGGCGAGGAGGACATCCGTTGCATAGGCAGCGCCACCAGCGAACGTAGCGTTAGCCATAATGACAACCATGGTATGTTCCTTCTTGCTGAACGGACCCGGGTTCAGGTTGAACTCGAGACCAAACACTCTGAACACCTTGTTCGGCATCACTTTGGCCCACCCCACCCCCACAGGGTAGGAGACAACCTGGGCGACATACGACGGAATGACAATGTACGGCTGTCGCATGGAAAAAAGCATGTTCAGTGCCGACCCAATAGTCGCAAACAACAGACCGATCACCCAGGCACGAATGGTGTTGCTGTGGCCGCCCTCATCGTAATTTGGAACCGCAGCGCGAACTTCCGGATACGGGGAGTTTTCAAGGAGCTCGCGTGCGACATCCACCACACCTGCCTTGCCGTCAGTCTCCAAGACCTCGTCAATCTCTTCGGCGACCTCATCAGGTAGGTTAGGATCCCACTGATGTTGCTCCTTCAGATTTCTGAGGTGGGCCACGGCGTCCTCGGGCGCCGCCTCGTCGACGGTGGTGTTAAGGGCCTTCCCCTTCATTGTTGCATAAATGCCACAGAGGGTAACTGATTAGAAGTAAAAAGTGAGAAGTGATCCTGCAGTGCTGTTGGACCAGAAGCCAGATCAACACACAGGCTAACGATCCAGGCGTGGAAGAAAGGATAGACCCAGACAAAACCAAGGAAAAAGGGAAAGAGACGAAGCACGACGACACATCAAGGAAAAGACAGTATATGTACAAAAAAGGAAGGTGAGCGCAGACCCTGTCCTCTGTAAGGCAGGGTGCAGTTACCCTGACCGAGTGAAGGAGGGCCGACGGTAACCCGGCGCTCTTATCATCGCAAAGTTTAGTGAACGATGAATAGATTAAGCTAGTCGACACCTACCAGCGCCACTCACTATCGACCCCATCATCTTTCATTCCGTGACCATATGGTTAGGATATATAATGTAACCCCGGAGACTGTGGCACATGGTCCCTTCAAGGATGAGAGGCTTCAATGGCTTGAGATCAAGCGAATCAGGCGGAGACTTTGGGTGTCTTAGGTAACATCAGGGAACAACTGAAAGCATTCACCGCAAGCGAGGAGACATACCCCTCCCCCTGGTAACATCCAGTTCCTCGGTTTCTACGCAGATTGACTGGTCCGAAAGGCACAGAGCAATCGAGTCGGCTGATACTCCCGCTGCAGTGGTAGTTGGACAGCATTGAGGACAATCAATGGTGGGCACCGCTCGTCCACACCAACCTTCAACACAGTGGGTATCCTTACATATATGATGCAGGGGGAGTGTTGTCGAGGGTGTTTGGCTCCGCCACTGATAACAACCCTAGCTTGAACGGCCGGACCAGTCGGGAGACGAGAAGCGGGTGCATGAATGGGTCTTTGCCGTGTATGGCGTTGCTTCATTAGACCTGTCCGGGGTAAAATCCTAAAATTCGCCAGGTCACAAGTTAGCACCGGCTGAACGAGCCTTAGTGGCGTCGCCGCTCCCTCGTCTCCTGTCTCGAGAACCATGTCTGCTTCAGGGCTATCTGGGATTGGGGATCAGATCGCTCCGACCATCAATGAATTGAAACACCTAGCAGGAGGCGATACTTCATCTGTCAAGGAGGGTTCGGAAAAACTAAGGTTGATACCCGTTGCATGGCACCATTCGCCAGTTCCACCCGGTCAAGCTTGTGTCTGATAAGCTAGCGAAGCAAAGATAGCGGCTGGGCCGGGAAGCACCCACTGGAGATTCGAGACTCAACGTGGTCTGAACGTGTTGGGGCGGTGGGACAAGCGAAACCCCCCATCTCCATTAAGACTGGACCCATCGAGAGATCATTGGACAAGACACATCGGGGCGCTAACCCGTACGCCAACTAGTATTTCAGTGGTGGTCTAAAAGCCAGCCGGAGCTGATCGGGGAGGGGAGCTCAAGCGCCCTACTGAAACCCACCCCTAATCCATGTGGCAAACGGACAGACCGCTGAATTTGATAGGATCGAGCGACGCATATCATGGTGATACGAGGTTCTCCACTTCGCGCGAGAGGCTTGACATCGCCTAAAACCGTTCGGGCATGTGTCGCATCTGGTGGTATAAAGCGATAGGGGTGGCCAAAATCAGGATTACACCCCCTGCCACAATTGATATTAGACTGGTGCTGCCCGAGTCAATCAAAGGTAGTGTTTATGCTGTCGAACTGTGCTACTGCGAATCCTTTCGGAGGAAAGAAAAACAAGTCTTCTCGCTAGCTGCTTTCTGGGAGGAGCATTGCGGGGTGGGGGGGGGATCTCGATTGCGCTTGACCCCTGTTGTTTTCTTTCCTTTATCCTTCTTTTTATCGACTTATCATTTTTTGTCGATCGGCGATGACAAGCGATATTGACCAACGGAAATAATCAGCCGTAGCAATAAGCTGTACTCCTTTGCCCTGCGTGTATCCGAGCTGTTGGAGTGTGGATCACGTGGGTCGTGGAAGAATATTCGATTGCATGACCCCGCAAGGCTGATATGGTAATATTGCAGCAGCATGTGTGGTGAAGAGTCCATTTGCTGGTTTGGGCTAGTCATCGGTCGTTATTGGTTTGTCGTCCTTGTACAGTTGCCCAGTAACACGAGGACAGCATAGCCTCTTGTTGCGGTCGTGGAAGATAACTGTGTTTAGAAGATTATAAAAAGCATTGACTGGCTGGACAGATGAGGGGAAGACAGACAAGGGTTCATCAGCGTAGTACGATGGAATGTCACCCTGTCAAACTCTCCTACATACAGGCTTGAGGTTTCCTAAAAAATGTGTCTCGGTTTGTGTAGATAGCCAGAGGCCCCGAAGACGCGGCGATGTCCTGTTACTGGGCCAATTGCATAATATATTGCTAAGAAAGGTCACGGACTTCATAAAACCGCCCCGGTGGACGGCAGTGTCAACCCAAAAGGCTCGGTAGGAACTAGAATGCCATTATCGCATAACGCCCATTCGAAATCCGCGAGAAACTGTTCATCAAATAGGATTGGCTCCTGTCGCTCAGGTAGATTAGGTATCGCACCGCCGCTTACACGCGTGGCCTTGTGACTTGTGGGGTTACCTAAATACACATGTTAGCGCTGTCAAAGCGTACAGATGGACGGTAGTTGAGAAATTTAGTACCATCTGATCCAACGCTTTGCGATGGATTAACGGCTCGGCCTTGGATGTCATACTCGTCTCGCCACCACCACACTGCGTCGACAACGGGGCTTAGAGCTAGACGGCTCCGAATCCGAAGTACGGTGCATATCGTCCCATCTGGCCTGCGGAATGCCTTTTGGCTATTCCAAAGTTGGTTTAAGATATGCACAGTCTTCGCCGAGGTGTCGTTGTTGTCTACTGACATGAGTTTGAGCAGGTTGATTGCAGTAAAATAGCCGGACCTAGCGCGCTCTAGAGATAAGCTTTGTGAAGAAAACACCTTGATGATACGGAGAAGAGTAATGGCGGAGAGGAGAAGACCGAAGAAAACCGGCTGGGGCGCATTGGCGAGGCCACCGAGACTCTGAGACAAATGGTCGGTAGCATCTATGACGACACAGGACGTATTCACCAGTCGAGGAAGGCAATTCGTGGTGACGATTGTGTGGTCTTTGAAAAAATGGAATGCTTGCACACTGAGTCGGCACACGCTGATATGAAGGCGGTCGTTTGCTGCAGCAATGAGCAATTGGCCCCGTCCTTACTTTCTCTGACAGAAGAATTACCTGAGTCTGTATGGACACCCAAGTCAATCACCTGGTTTTCAAATTCGCGCAAAAGGATATCCAAGGCTTTCTCCTGGTGGGTCGTCATGGCTCGTACGCCGATTTCCTGTACGGCTCCACTGCATCGAGCAATCACATCCTGGCACTTCATTTGCAGAATCAAGGACGGCTCGATTCTGCGAAAGAGAGATTGACGTTGGCCAAGATCATGCTCGAAGTCTACCAACGACCGAGGTGCTTGCCCTTTGATCATGCAGGACCTGGTTCCGTTAAGCTTGTGACAGCCAGTCCCCCACAGGAGCTCAACTTACCGCTGATATGTAATCACACAATGTGCCCAAAGCTCAGATCTCCGAACCATGTCGGTTTCAGAAGGGGTAGGAAGCTTGATTTTGGAAAATTCGTGGCTGGACATTGGAATATGCAATCCATGCTGCATAGCAATATGGAGAAGCAACCCGCTCAATATGAACGTCAGATCCGGCCTGGCAGGGTCTTTGGGAAAAGGCCAAGTCAACAACAACAAGAGACCTTGGATAGTTTGCCACGGAATCAATGTTGACCCCACCGAGAGCAATGCCTTGTCAATGATACCAGCCGCAAGAGCCGTGAGCAGTGTCGGATTTTTGGCATAGGTTCTGCATCCTACACCGATGATAGCCCAAAATAAGAATGGCGACTGCGTATAATAGGCGTTGGGTGTTGATTGTGGATCCAATATGGGCAGAAAATGGGCATACTGCTGGAAGAACCTTCGTACCCGGTTAGTACTGCGCGGACGCAAAAGACTAAGGACCTAACGAACAATTCAAAGAGCTCATTAATTTCGCTGCCTGACAAATCAATGTTATCGAGGGCGCGCGACTCGGTTGGGTCAAGAGCGTAGTCCGCTGGCATGATCTGTCCCACCATCCTCGTCAAAGACGGTTCAATACCACCATTGCTGGGCGTTGTTTGTCGTTGATGGTAGGACACAGGCGGGACTATATGCGACTGAGGGGTCAGTGGCAGGTCAGTGCCGCTGCTGGAACCATGGACGCCCATCTCCGCTGCGACGGTCAACATTGCAATGGGCGACTGTTGAACGTCTGAGGCGCTCGAGGACCTCAATTTCCGTCGCAGCTCATTGGTTTCGTGCTGCAGTTCGGACATCCGCCTGTTCAGTCCTTTGATCAGCACGATCCCTCTTTCTTTCGAGTGTAGTAATACGGGGTAGCATACCGACGCTTATGCTCTCTCCGAAATGGGTCGGAGATGACACACTCCGTCTGCATTTTACGGCATCGGGAACATGGTTTTCCGGGCGTCAGGTGAGCATCACATTTTGCCTGGTCGAGTTATCGAGTTAGCCAAGCTATTAAAGGCAAGCTATGGAATTGAAATCGACCGTAGGGGATCGAACTAGTCACCTTCTGTTGCCGACACTCTGTGCAAGCCTTTTTAGCTCGTTTCGATACGGGCCTGGTTGGGTGTGTTGTTAGTAGGATAGAACATTGATCTTCTAGACTTACGAGGAACGTACGCGTTGTCTGTTTGATCCATCATGGGACGTGGAGGCGGAGGCTGACAGGATGAAGGGACATGGTCATGATGTTGGTGATGGCCATGATGTTGTCGCAGGTGGGAGGAAGTCAACAACGGCTGTAAGCGTATTCGGAGATAGGCCATAATCTCCGGCGGTCATCCAATCCCCCGACAAAGACCTATCGTTATAGTAAAAGTATTTTGCCGGGGGGGCAGGTCCAACCATGATAATATCCCGAACAGATGTAGCAGAATGTCTTAATGATATACCTACTCAGTGCATGTCTGATCTTGCCGGTGTTACCGGTACCGGGAAGAAGGTATAATTGATTTGATTCCCGGCTCCGGGCTGGTTCCAGCATATTATATACTTGTACTGATTTTATAGTACTTCAAAATTTATTCGTTCGAAAGCTCACTAAAAATTATATTTCCACCGCTAAATGTAAATGTACAACACTCATGGGGATCATAGGGAAAGTAGGGAGCAGGAGTCTTGCGCTGGGACGTGATATAGATCTGAATGAGCGGAAACGCCCCTCGAGTGTCACCCGGTCTCGCTCCTAGTTCACATAAACGGACGTCACCTTGTCCTTTTTTTTTTTTTTTTTTTTTGCTAATAGTGAATTATGTTTGTAAGATATATCCGACATGATTGAAATGACAGGTAATATATGAGTAGAGAATAGTAACATACTCACACAAACCATAGGTTGTCCAAACAAGGTAATGAGCAGTAATGAGCATTAGAAGATCATAAGGAAAATTGACTGGGGTTGTTGAACCACTAACGGCTTAGAAAGCAACTATAATTGCACCAAGAACCATTGCACCGGCGAAGGAGGAATCAACTAGCTGCCTAGTCGCCGCTCCAGTAAACAGGGGAGTGTCCGGTGCGGTCGAGGTACCGTGGCTGGTCCCCGAGCCTGAATCCGTCCCAGATCCACCTGGGACAGAGCCGCTATTGTCCGATGGTCCTCCAGTGGAAGGGTTGGATGAGCCGGGCGAGTCTCCTGTAGGCTGGGGGGCGGGATGAAGAGTGGTGGCAACTGGTGGAACAGGGGGGTTTGAAGAACCAGTCGGCTCCTCAGGGGTATTGGAGGTCGAAGTCGTGGTTAAACTGCATGTCTCGCATGGTGCCGCGGTAGTGGAGGTCGTGGTTGAGGAGCATGCCGTGCAGGGGATAGTGATACTGGTAGTGGTGGCGGAGGTCGTGGTTGAAGAGCATGTCTTGCAAGGGGTGGTAGTAGTGGTAGTGGTGGCGGAGGTCGTGGTTGAGGAGCATGTCGTGCAGGGGATAGTGATACTGGTAGTGGTGGCGGAGGTCGTGGTTGAGGAGCATGTCTTGCAGGGGGTGGTAGTAGTGGTAGTGGTGGGGGAGGTCGTGGTTGAGGAGCATGTCTTGCAAGGGGTGGTAGTAGTGGTAGCGGTGGGGGACGACGTGGTTGAAGAGCATGTCTTGCAAGGAGTGGTGGTGGTTGTACAGCTGGTGGAGGTGGTGGTAGAGGATGTCGTGGTTGAAGAGCATGTCTTGCAAGGAGTAGTGGTAGTAGTAGCGGTGGTGGAAGTTGTGGTAGTGGTAGTGGTAGTGGTGGTAGTAGTAGTGGTGGTGGTGGTGGTCGCAGTATCTTTATACGCATCAATGCCCTTCTGGATTGCCTTGTTGATACCAGAAGATAATTCTCGTGCAATGTCAGAGAGAGCGTCCGGAACCTTCGAGGTGATGGTATCTGCAAGATTCTGCGCCGCAGCCAACTGCGACTTCAACTGCGCGAGGATAACCGCTCCAGACCCCGCAGTGACCACCAGCGGCTTTTTGGCAATGAGGTTCTGCACGGTGGCATCTACCTTGGCGGTCAAGTCCTGGATGGTGCTAACAAGACGCAGACTCTCGCTTCCAGTGAGGTCACCGGAAGCGGCAATGGTGGTGGCTCCGGCGCTGATAGTTGAAACCAGGGCATCGGAGGCCCCCTTGATAGCAGAGACGTCACCGCCGCTGTAGGCAGTGATGTCCGCATCGAGAGAATCAACTTTCGTGCTTATTTGTGCAACTACATCTTTAACCGTGGCGAGGTCACGATCAACCAACGAGGGAGACCGGGCGGCCTTGGTGGGCGTCGCAAGGGTGCTTGTAATGGTGCTCAAGGCGACCAACAGGGACGCCAGATGAAACCTCATAGCGTGCTAAAGAGACAAGAATGGCTGAGTATAATTCAAATACTATATCAATATAGAAATATATCAAGACTCGACGGCAATAAGAGAAATGGGGAAAAATGCCTAAGAACGAGCGTGGATGGCAACGAGTGCAAATGCTGAATAGTCACCGTGGCTGTCCAGTATCATCGTTGGATTGAGGCCCAAAGGCCTGTATTTAATCCACCACGCCAAGCGGATTTCTCATTTCATGGACTGCGTTATCACGGCCCCGGGCTCTACCCCATTCTTCCTCGGCCGAACTCCATCTCATACTGACCTCGTAATCCTCCTTGGGCCGGGCGTCCTTGGCAAAGACCAGAACAAAGCCAACGTGCGGACTGATAGATTGTCCCCGAATATTGACGAAGGGTAAAAAGGAGATCTGTATGTGTCTAGGTCGGCGTGGCTGCCATGTCTCAGTTTTCTAGCCTGTATATGGTGGATGGCTGGATGTATGATTGTTGTGGCTCGCACATCTGGAGTGTGGTGTCGAGATAGAAAGTTAACTTCGCAATAGTAACAGCTAGACCATCATTTTGGGATAAGTCATGAGGTACTAATGCAGGTTCCATGGCGCAAGGTGAGACATGCTTCCATTTTAGAGCAATTTTCATAGCTGTGGTGATCAGGTTCAGACAACCATTGGGTCGGCCTAACCGTCCACAAAGCAGAAGGGACGAAGGTCGATGCGAAATGTCTAGATATCAGAGCTAGCATTCTATGACCAACAAAACCAATAGAACATTGCAGGCCCGAGCGTGAGTGTTGTTGTATCAGCCGGCAGGTCAGAGTATTCGCGGGGAAGTGAGACATTCATCTTGATGTCTCCACTATGTCAGTAGTGGGTAAACTCCGAGGATTGGCTTTACCGCCGACAACAATGGCTCCAAATAACATTGCCATCGGAATTAGGCCCTAGCACAGGCAATTCGAGAAGGTAGGGTAAGAATAAGCGAAACCGCCAATGGTTAGGGGCACACTAGCTTCGCTGCTTGGCATCATTCTTGAACTGAATGTTACTTTTCAAAGCCACCCAGAACGCCTTTCCCCCCATCACATTACTAGCATCTGTCCCAGGAAGCCTAGGTATCGGATTACTTCTTGTCTACCAAGAACCATGTGATTGTCTAGCCTGAGTAAGTAGATGGATGTTATCTTAGTGTTTCTTCTGGTCAGCATATCGACGCTTCTTCGCTCTCAAACATAAATGGGATTCTTGGTAACGCTATTTTCAACAATCTCCAAGTTACGGGTGGTACTTATATTAGAGAATATAACATTTTCAATGTAAGAGTAAGGTAGTTAGACTTATAGCGCAGCATACCTATATTAATTCATACAAGAAAGCACTGTGGTAGTGCATGCCGGGTTTTCTGAATAGTGATATCACATACCGGATGCATATGCCCAGGTTACTCCACTGTTGTAGAATGTCAGACCCCTGAAATAACCCACGATGTCAACTTGACCAACGATAAGTGTCTAGAGAAACTGGTCGAGTCGCGATCCCCCAAAAAACCAAGGTTATCGACCAAAAGCAACACGCATCTCTAAGAGTCAAGTCTAGACCAAAAGTGATGCAAGAGACAGGGACTACCCCAGAGGCATATAATGTACTGTGATCAGCTAAAACAGGTGTTGTAAGTTTGCCACAGACCGAGGAAAAATACGCGGTGGAAACTCAGCTTCCTGCGAACAAACCAGTGTTGCAATGGTGCCAACGCCAGGTTTTCAGTTTCAGGGGGATGGCAGTCAAACAGATCTAGTATTCTCACTGCCACTGGCATCGTTAAGTTGACAGTAGGAATCCAAACTTACATAACCCACGAAACTTTCTTCTGAGTTCAGAGGTTTGACAGATGTGCCCATGATACTAACAACACGATTAAAGAGAACTTTATGAGAGCGAAGACCCCTTAATGACACTCGGCCCGGAAACTTGGAAATCTATAATAGGTTTGATTGAGAAACTCACCCAATTCGCTAAATATAGACACGGTGTCTTTTCTATGGATGGCGCGTGATGTGATCCAAAGTATTCGCGGAACGTTACCCCTGAATAGCAAGATCGTGGTATGTTGTTTTCGGTGCGTTTTTCGGCATCATTTTGCTCGCAGATTATCCTGGATATGCTTGTTCTCATTGCCATATATCGGGTGAGCAGACTAGCCACTAGACATAAATTCACCCGCAAATTGGATAATGCTACCGTGTCATCTGGTTCCTGACGAAACTTTCTTTGTTCCCACAGGTGAGGTTGTACTAGATGGTAGCTGTAAGCGCAGCATCACAGGATGGTCTTCTATGAGCCCTGTCACACGATCCAAGCAGTATCGGGTGCTGCTGCTTTGGGCTGTTTTACCGGGCCAAGTCATCCATGTACAAGATGTCTTATTGCTTGACTGCTTCAACAAACTCAAAGCTGGTTCACGGATTCCTGGATCCGACGGGCCTGACGGCTTTTCCCCGTTTGTCGCTACTTTTTTCTCTGTTGGGTAACTGCCAAAGTAACATTTAGTATGGACCCTACTAGTCCTTTTGGCTGCACATTTAGTCTCATCGAGAATGGTATTCCGTGACTGGGGCATGCCACAGGAGGAAAATATCACCTAGGGTTTGAATGCGCATCGTCGAAGCGCGAAGAGAAAGTGCGTTCGCTGATAATAAGAGCCACCACCTTTCCATGTGCGGGAATATCAAGCGTCGCCTGTACTATCTAGATGTATGTGATGAGACATGCTGACAAGACAGAAAAATCGCAAAGATCTGTGTTCATTTGTGATGATAATGGTGAGGATTGACAAAGTAAGGGTTATGGAGATGTTGCAAGTCTTGAAAGATCCTATCAAGGAGGAAGAGCATTGCCGCATGGGGTGTCAGGATGGAGCAGGATGCTTTGGAGCCTGAGGAAAGTGATGAAGATTGAATCACTTGATCTGATTGTTTTCTCTGGTGTTGGCATGTTCTTTTCTCATTCTAAGTCCTCCATGTATCCCAGCAAACCAACAGAACACACTGATATCAAATGACCATTCTCGGGAATGGAGTTGTTAAGAATTTGTTGGGATAATCATTCCAACTGATTATACGAGCTGGTGCTTCGACCGTCAACTGGCTGATGATGTTCCTCAAAGAGAAAGGACTACAGAGTGTCCACACAGGCCGGGGCCTTGTCAATAAGAACTTTTCACGCTCTCATGGCGATGGTGTTGGGGATGAGAATCGATGAGAACAAGATAGGATCAGACCAGATACCGGCAAGGATACCCTGATCACGAGCTATAGCGAGAGTGACCTGCACGGAAACCATTCTCCTGGGCTTCCCATCTTGCCGAATTGGTCAGAGCCGAGGAAAGACACACTGCCGCAAGCTGATAAGGACAAGTGCCCTATAGGTGTTAGCACTCTTGAAAGCGAAAGTGGAATCTGATGGAATTGTTTCTGTTCCTGGCACTTCCAAAGTGCTTATCATCGATCCCCTGAACAATGGATTTCACGCACTGACACCAGGATCCTCTGTCCTCTGTAGGGTTTATCGTGTCCAATTGCCAAGGCCCACGAAATCCACCGGTGTCCACATAGGGCGTGGCATTTGAAATGGGCGGTACACTACGTCTCACTAAACGATCCCTTCTCAGCTCGGACCACTGTTATAGTAAAGAATAAGGTGATAGAAGATCTGCAGATCGGCCGTATTTGAGGGTTTCTGCCTATCACTGCGCGAGTATCCCATGCTTCACCAAGCCTACAAGCCCCATCACTGCCACCCATACCCGGTGAATCCAGGCCATGACAAATCATTGGGGTATTTGGAAATTCATCTGCAGGACAAGGTTTCCGACCGCTCAACGTGACAAATTAGCTTTTCGTTTGGCTGGGCGCAGGACAGTGGAGAGTGTCAATCCCAGCAACCAGAAGAAATGCCCCTCGGGGTCGTTTCCTTAATTGTTATGGTGAATTCAATCAGATCCCAATAGTTGAACCAAACAACAATAACCCAAAGAAGGCGAGTAGGAAAAGGGTAGGAAAAAATATTTCAATAACTGACTCGACATTCTAGCGGGGGAAGAAATGTTTCGAGAGCCACTGACACCTTCACCAGCTTGCGTATTCCGACCTGAGCCGAGTGTGTGCGCCTCAATACTGACTGCTGTGGGAAGACGAAAGAGCTCATCGCAAATGGTCGCATGTGGGCCCCGATGGATGCTGTCGTGACGCAACGGCGCATCGGAGGGGGTGCCCCTCATTCCTTCCTGCCCCGCTGCGCGACACCATGACAAATTCTCCAATTAATCTCCAATACGGTGGATTCATCCGGGCGTTTTTACCAGCCATATGGTCGACCGAAGACAGAATGCTTGACACGGTTCGACTAACATTGCAGTAACATGGATGGAGGGGCTCGGAGGCCACCTGGAGGGTATAAATGGGCGGCCCACGGCGATTGTTCTTCCAAAGGTCCTCAATTCGTGAGCACCTTGGTCGCATTCCTTTTGCCATTCCTACCAATCACACCACTTCATTGTCCTTAAGTTGATGCTAGTCTCCATCTCACTGGATTAAACATGCCTTTGTCCGGACACTGTCTCTGTAAAGCTGTCACCTATACGGTTGACGTCGATCAGCCGGCGCTGACAGCGTACGATCATTGCGATGACTGTCAACGCCAGAGTGGCTCTACTTACTGTATGTTTCATTCGGTCGTTTGATCGCTGCGTATTGGACAAAATTGGATCGCCGACTGACACAACATGCTGCCCATATAGCTCTCGTCGCCGTGGTCCCAAAAGATAAGCTGAGCATCAAGGGCCCTATAAAGAGCTGGGCTGGTGTGGGATCCTCAGGAAAGAAGGTGCACCGCGTCTTCTGCTCCGAATGCGGTTCGCCTATCGCCCACGATCCGGAGGCTGCCCCGGAGATCATCGCCATCAAAGCGGGTACTTTGGATTGGGAGATCAAGAAGCAGCTGAAGCCCGTATGTCCCCATACCACTGTCATAGTGGACCGTTTAATTCTGATTAATGATTTTCGGTCACTAGGATACCGAAATCTGGACTGTCAGCAAACTCCCCTTCTGCCAGGAGCACCTCGCAAAGCCTTTCAACCATATGCCTGAATAAATGATCGATGGATGTATGGGAGAATTATCATGATTGACCGCTATGACACGACCAGAAACTGGATTCAATGTCTCTAATGATATTTATAATAAATTGGGTTGACCTTGTATACAATCTACGAATAGCTCTTCGTGTATCGTGGCCTAGGTAATATTTTTGGCGTCTAACGCGATCCAGCATGTACGACCAGTATGGGATATCATTTATTGTGTTAGGAAATTTTCAAAGACAGTTCCTGGAAACTGTTTCACGGCGAAACAGAAGTATATATGCCCAATCGTCGTAAGTTTCATCTTTTACAGCCCCTTGGTTACTCGGGTTCAGTACATTGAGAGCAGTTCTGTGCAATGTCACCGTCCGGGTGATTAATTGGCCAGAAGAGATATAAGGTCGCTGACCTATATTCTACACCAACACTATTATCATATATATCTGGTTTTTGAAGCGATTCGAATGAATTTGCTAGTAACAATGTCGTCCGGCACCCTTCATATCGTGGACTCGCGTACCAGCGCAAAATACCAGATTCCAATCAAAAGAAATGCCGTCTCGGCGTTAGATCTCAAGAGGATTCGAGGGCCCAAAGATGGAGCTGACAGGGCCGACCATGTCGCTGGTGGGCTCCGTGTCCACGATCCAGGACTGCAGAATACGACCGTTGTTGAGACAGCGATCAGTTTCTCGTATGGCGTATTCCACGGTTTCCGGGGCTAGCTAACTGCCGCAGAGACCACGATCGGGGAAAGCTGCTCTTTCGAGGATACAGCCTGGAACAGTTGTGGCACAGCGACTTTGAGGACATGCTCCATCTCCTCGTGTGGGGGACGTATCCCACTCGGACAGCCCGCGAAGGCCTTCGTCGTGAACTGGCGCAACAAATGCGATCTGTGCCGTCTACGGTGCAAAGGACCGTAGAAAGCTTTCCGTACAGTGAATTGATTTGAGTTTGAGTCTGTACCTCCATTTACTAAGAGAGACAGGAAAACTGCCCCTCCCTTGGCTCTAATACTGGCAGGCCTCGCTGCCTGTCTCGCCGCCATGCCAGAAACGATTCCCGCATCCACCGACGCAAACCTATACCAGGGAAATCCAGAGAACGTGGACCGTGCCATCATTCGGACGGTTGCACAATACACCGTGGTCTTTGGCCTAGTCAGCAGTCATCGCAAGGGAGTTCCATTCGAGCCACCGTCTGCGGACAGAAGCTACTGTGAGAACCTGTTCGCCATGGCCGGCATGGTCGATCCATCCACGTGCCGTCCAAGCCCTACCCATGTCTCCTGCTTCCGACGCTTTGCGATGCTCAACGCCGATCACGGCATGGCACTCACAGTTTTCTCTGCCCTGGTCACGGCGTCATCCCTGACAGATCCCCTATCGTGCTTAATGACGGCCGTAGCATCCGCCTACGGTCCCCTCCATTTCGGGGCCACTGAGGCCGCCCAGCGCGCTCTCCGTGAGATCAAGTCCCCAGACCAGGTCCCAACGTTTATCGAAGAGGTGAAGCAGGGCAAAAGAAAGCTCTTCGGGTACGGGCATCGGTCCTACAAGGGTCTTGATCCGCGAGTGCGGCCTATTCATTCCATCCTGCAGGACCTAGATCCGTCTTCAAACCCGCTGCTGGAAATCGCCGAGCGAATCGAGCGGGTAGCCTCTCAGGATGAGTACTTCCTGACCCGGGGATTGTATCCTAATGCGGATTTATACGGGAACTTTGTGTTTACTGGGATGTGGGTTGTTCTTCCCGTCGTCATGCTCTCCTACTAATGGTGGACAGGGGCTTTGAGCCTGAAATCATACCGGCTGCTATGCTGGCACAGCGTATTATGGGCATCATGGCCCATTGGCGGGAGTATATGCGTGAGTTTCTGTCAAAGCCTCGGCGAGATATCGGCGCTTTCTGACGGAGTGGCAGTGACACGCGGCAAGTTGTTTCGACCGTTGCATCTTTACACGGGGGATACCGGGGAGAAGGTCCTTCCCCGGTTGTAGATGGCTTGAGCATGGGACATGAGGGACCGGACGGTGCCACATGGTGTATCGCATAGGATGGAAGTGCTAAGTTAGGCTTGTAGCAGTGGCAAGCCCTTCATAAGCGTGCATTCTGGATAGGAGTGGCCGTCCATCCCCGTCTTGTTTCTGTATAGCCTCAACATCGTATAGACATCCACCATGCCCCCATCCCCAACAACAGAAACTACTCCCCTTCTTCCCCCATCCAAACCACCCTATTCCACCTTCACGATTGCCCAAAAGCGCCTCATTATTCTCACAGCCGCTCTGGCATCCACCTTCTCGCCCTTCTCCGCCAACATCTACTATCCCGCCCTCAACTCTATCGCCGCTGATCTCCATGTCTCCATTTCGCAGGTCAACCTGACCATCACGACGTACATGGTATATCAATAGTTTGACAGATTCTCCATGCCCAATAGCATTTTACAGATTCCCCAAACAACCGACTACTTTTGGAAATATTCCCTGACTTATGGAAACCACCAGATATGTCAAGCCCTAGCCCCAACCCTAACCGGCTCCCTCGCCGACCAAACAGGCCGTCGGCCAGCATACCTCCTCTGCTTCCTCATCTACATTGCCGGCAATATCGCCCTGGCCCTCCAACACAGCTACATCGCGCTGCTCATTCTCCGCGCGGTCCAAAGCTGCGGTAGCAGCGGAACCGTCGCCCTAGCATCCGCCGTCGCCGCGGATATAATCACCTCTGCAGAACGCGGCACATACATGGGCATCGCCTCGCTAGGCAACATTCTGGCGCCATCGCTGGGTCCGATCCTTGGCGGCCTCCTCAGTCAGTATCTAGGGTGGCAGTCGATCTTCTGGTTCCTCGCCATCGCAGCCACGGCGTTCCTCATCCCGTTTACGTTGTTCTTCCCTGAGACGTGCAGGGCTATAGTCGGTGATGGAAGTATCATCCCTGACAGGTGGTGGAACCGGTCTGTGCTGGTTGCATGGCAGGCTTCTCGACATAGAGAGGGAGGAGAAGAAGAGGCGATATCGGGCGGAGTGTCTACTCCTACAACGACAAGGAGACGGCTCTCCCTCCCCAACCCCCTCACGACTCTACGTCTCCTGACTCATCTCCCGACGGGTCCTCTGCTCCTCGCCAACGGTCTCGTTTTTGCCAGCTACTACGCCGTCACAGCCGGTCTGCCTGCCCAGCTGAAAGACCTCTACGCGCTCGACGACATGTCTATTGGTCTGAGCTTCATTCCTGCTGGTGTGGGTTCTCTCGCCAGCGCGACGGTCAACGGGTTTATCGTCGATTGGAAGTATCGCCGTGCAAAGGCGAGAGCTGATATAATCTCTTCTAGCACCACTGCAAAGACTACCAAAAACCATCACCGCAGCAGCACCAGCAATAACCCAAAGACGAAGAGCCTCTCGAATCTCCAAGGAGAATTCGACATCGAGAAAGTCCGATTATCAATCGGCACTCCTATGACTGTATCTTCCTCTTCTTTTTATATCCATACTCAATATGACTCTGATATCAAGAGAAACATGAATAATTAACTATAATAAAACCAGATCCTCGCAGCAACCGCAATCCTCACCTACGCATTCCTCCTCCCCCTCCACCCTCCATTCCCCATCATCCTCTTCCTCCTTTTTATCATCTCCTTCTTCATAACAGCCGCCTACAACATCATGAACATCCTCCTCGTAGACCTCTACTACTACACCCCAGCCACCGCCATGGCAGCGAACAATCTCGTACGTTGCTTTCTCGGCGCCGCCGCCACGGCCCTCGTGCACCCGCTTGTCGTCCGCTGGGGGCATCGCGTCACGTATGCTGCTGTCGCGGGTCTGATATTTGCTGTCGTCCTTCCGCTTTTGGGGGCAGTCTATCTATGGGGGTTGAAGTGGAGGAGGGGCTGGGGTGGGTTGTAAACTATCATCGTTGAACTTTTACTGCGTTACTACTCTTACTTACTTTATGAAGTGTGTCGGGGTCTCCGTGTGCCTTTGGATTCTCCTTTTCTATATCCCGAGGTAGTATACTGACAAAAGCATCTTTTTATACTTTCTTTTCTATGAAAATCGCCCTATGGGATCATTCGTTTCCATCTCGTTACAGTCGGATTGACCGATCGTTACACACATCAGCAGCCTTCCTTTGGAGAGATGTAGTATTTCTTTCTTTCTTCCCCCTGACAGGGTTACCGAATGGCTGGACAAAAACTATAAAGATATGCTATAAGGACTGGGCTGTGGTCTGTCTTTGACTTCGCCGAAGTTCACCCGTTGACTTGGATATCAACACAGAGAAAAAAAGACTAAACATAGGGGGAAATGAAGAAGTACTTTCCATCATGCTGGCAATAATCATAGTCAACGCTCTCCTGTGCACCCTGCTGCCATTCAACCTCGTCGCAGCAAACAGCACCCCTCCCCTTCTGCCTCTCCCCCCGGAAGCCACCACCCTACAGCTTCGATACCCCTCCACGCAATGGGTGACCCCGGGTGATACGCTTTTGATGTCAAGTATGTATCGATCATCGCAATTTATCATCCATGCTCTCCTGGTTGTACCGCTGACCCAGCCCAGAAACCCACCCATTGCCTATAATTAGCACGCACGGCCTGGACCCCGAGTCCAAATACCTGTTGCTCTTCGTAGACCTTGACGTCATCTATGGCTCTCTCTCCACCGTCGTACTGCACTGGTACCAGCCCGGAATGGAAGCATCCCCGATCGCGGAGCCCGGCCCGGATCGATATCTTGCTCCGGGGACTGTGCTCCAATTACCACCGCAAGGTGGTGTGCTCGTCAACAGGACATCGGGTGCTGAATATATTGCGCCTCAGCCGCCACAAGGCCAAAACCATCACCGATACGTGTATCTGCTCTTCCGACAGCCCACGGCGTACGTCTTCCCCAAGTGCTTTGCGCATATCTTTCCGCCTACCCTCGAGGCAAGAGTCGGGTTCGATGTGCGCCAATTTGTCGAAGTGGCGGGTCTGGACGCACCCGTGGCGGCGAGCTATTTCTTCGTCGAGAGGGACGAGCCCGTGTCCGGGACGCCCACGGCGACGGTGACAGCGACGGCAACGGGAACCCGGTCCCCCCCTCTGACGAGTCCAACGACAACGTGGCTGAGACCCGCCCCATGTGAGACTGCTACCTCCACCCGTTCATTGGAGAGGATGAAAGAGGAACGATTGGGGCCTCTGGTTGGGTGTCATGTTGCACGGACGATGTGATGGGGTTCTAGGTCCCTGCAGGGACAAGGAACTAGAACTCATCCCCGTAGGGAAGCAGCCTGCAGCATTGGTCGAGAGTCGGTTCTTTTCTTTTTATTTAATCTCGTGTTCGGTTGATGTTTTCCTGTCTTTGTCCTCGGATTGGATAGGCGTAGATGTAGATCACATAACGGCCAACGTAAACACATACCAGAATCGCCTCTGTTGCTAATTTCGTTCATTCATCTCCGTGGACTCTGCTGCCGCCATCCGTATCCAGCGAAGGAAAAACCCCACCAGCTAGTACCTAGCTCCCCGTTACTTTCGCGCGTCGTACAGCTCCCAACTATGGCCGGTATGAGGGGCTCGATGCATCCAGGCTGCGACAGTTACCGGTTCATCACGACCAGATCTAGACATAACGCCTTTTGCTGCGAACTGGCCAGCAACTGCCTGTGAAACGAAAAAAACCCCCATGTAACCCGACGACCGGACAACCATGTATAACCTCGGCTGCCGCCCTCCCCAAAAAAGCATGCTCGTGTTGATTGTGGTTGAGGGTGCATCAAGGTCGTAGTGGAATAGAATTTTGTCACAATCCCTCATGGGATACTTTCCCCTGTGGTATATGGGCTATTGGGGGTTCCTTGTAGAATGCTCAAATACAAATCTATCGCCGTTGTGGAGACAGCACGCACCGCTCCGCCAGGACCCTCTCCACTGATATCACCTAGTGACGGAGCTCACAATGAACCGAGACAGAGTCGCCAAGCTGTCCCCCGACCTCCAGACGAAAAGTGTTAAAAGGCGCTCGACTTGTAATGCTTGCCAGCAGGCTAAAATCCGCTGTAGCCATGATAAGCCCTCGTGCCGCAGGTGCCAGAAGAACAATTTCGAGTGTGTTTACAGCATGTCTCGCCGACTAGGAAGACCAGCGAAGAAAAGAGACGGCTTGCAGAATCTCATGGACCAGCACCCTGGTGAATGTGGCAGACATCAGCCCGTCAAGAGAATCAGGTACCCCAAGAAAAAGAAAGTGAAGGAGGAGCAGTCTCAAGAGAAGCTGAGCGAGGATTCTTTCTTGGACGATGGTGCTAGCATTACTTTTGATAAGATTCCCTTCGACGATGGGGTTTTTGGGACCTTATCCGGGGATGATGCTGGCTTGCAACAGTCCTTGATAGATGGTGATAGAGAGCCCTCTTTTGTAGGTTCGTCGGTTTCCTTCTTTTTCTTTCCCTTCTTTTTCTTCTTCGTTCCTTTTTGTCTATTCCAAAGCCCCTCGCTAAGATCACGCGTTGGCAAACGCTATTCAGTTCCCGAGCCTATTGATTTCTCTTCCGATACGTGGTTGCAAGACTTTGCACCCCATCCGATACCCGACTCGACTCAAGAACCCAGCCTCCTTGACACCTTTGGCGTCAGTAGTCCGAAGCTGGATATCACATTTGCCACATTCTCGGCCGGACTGAAAGACCTAGCCACTCCAGTCCGAAACTGCCAGGATACCCCCTCCGACGCCCAAGGTCAGCCGTCAGGGGGCTATTACGCACCGCAGGCGGGATTTACGAGTCCGAGCGAAGCCCCACCACCGGGTGCCAATGGCCCTCTATCCGTATATCCCGAGAACATGGAAAGAGATCTGTTCGAGTGGTCACAGTCCTTATCTTCTTCCATGGAGAACCTCTCTTCGCGACAGGCCACGGCGACGGATTACACGGGCGTTTTGGGCCACAGCAAGATACCCGCGCGACAGGGGGAGTATACTAGTTTCACGTCCGAGGAGATGAATGGTGCCGGCCCGTTCGACGCCATTCCACGGCAGAATCAGTGCCAATGTCACGAGCAGACTATCGGAGAACTCATGCGCGTCAACATGTGTGCCTCTCGCACCGGGCCATCTATAACGATCGATTCGGTCCTGAACTGCCAGCGACGCCTACAACAATTGTCCGACACTATTCTCCAATGCGCCGTTTGCTCCAAGACCAGGGTCAACTTTCTCATGGTGGTGGTAGTTAGTATCGACAGCCTCATAACGACCCTGGAGGCGATTATCTCGGTCGAGAGCGGTCGGTTGGACGGACTGTTCCCGGAATATTCAGAGCAGCTCTTGACCAGCTACCGGCAAGACATATCTACCAGTACGGATACTCGACGGTTCAAAGCCGGGGCCTTTCACTTCAAAGCTCACATTGACTCCTGTCCGTTGGTAGTTGGGGGCTTCTGCGTGCCGTCCGATGAAAAATTCTTCTTTGTCAAACAGGTTCTTCATACTAGACTGTCTGGGCTTCTTGCTATCGTGCGGAGAATTCGCTCCTGTACCCAGGAACTTTTGGCTATTTCTGCGTCGCGGGGGAGATTGATTATGATGATGGAGACGGACAGGCGACTGCAGCTCATTATGATGAAGATGAAAATGCTGACTAGGCGGTAGTGGGTTCATGTGTAGAGACTTTGTCAACCTTTGGTTGGGATTTGCCATATTGTTTTGCGTGAATGAGTTCATGTGATGATATTTTCAGTTCATGAAAGAGCGTTGACTGCCGATTATGTATCTTTATGACCGGGGATCTTGAACAAAACCAATCGCAACTAAAATAGCTTGTAGCTACTCCGGGATGTCGCACGCCATTTGTTTCATTGAAACTCATTTACTTTTTTCCCCCCGTTTTCTTTTCTTTTCCTTTCTTTCATCTTGCTTTTCTTGGTCTGTTTTTCCTCTTGCTTTGTGTTTTCGGCTCCCCCTCTGGGCTCCGGGAAGAGAGGCGAATCTGTAGACCTCAACTCCCCTTGGTGTATAGGTATTGAGTTTCATTCCATCGCGGGGTCGCATCCAGGCACTGACGTTCCCGGTGTTGATGGCTGTGCGACCCTAAAGCGGGTCTGCAGACATACGTGTTCCACGATGGCAGGACCTGATAGGGAGATAAGAGCGAAAAAAGGATGCCCTGAATATAAGAAAATGTGAGGCTGTTTTGAAGTTTGCCTTTTTGGTCGCATCACAGGTCATTGTACGCTGATTGGAGGCAGTCGTCGCAACACCCGTGGGCTTTCATCCATGTGACTCGGGCTAGCGATGAGGACGTCCTGGTTGGAAAGGCACTTGGTCATTTTCCGGAATGGTGGTGGTGGTCGTTGGGCAATTACGGTCAGAAGTGCACTTGGAGGTGTGGTCTGGTCTTGAGATGGCTGCAACTACCATGCATCAGGAGGTTTTTCAACAAGAGGCAAACACTCCCTTGCCCAGTAGACTACTCGATCATATCTTGCTGAATTTTTTTCCCGCGACGATGGAGGGAGAGGGTGGTTGCCGTTGCTCCATGGACACGTTACAGACTATGACCGAGATTCGCAGCGTTCATAGGGTGGTGGAGATGGGGACTATCCTCGATCTGGTCCAAAGGGTCTATAATCAGGGTGGTGTGATGCTCAAGTGCAAGAACTGTCGAAAGAGCCCCCAAACTGTATTTCCCACTCTTCCGGCGCTGGCCGAGCAGTGTCTCTCTCTGTTTGAAGCGGTCTGTCTCGCGTACGGTGTCACTCGCAAAAACGCGCTATTCGACCCGAACGTTCTGACCTTTGACCAGCCATTGCCGCAATTTATCTGTCTGCGAAGCAAGGTGCAGCTGGGTCAGATGGAGCTAGACGAGGGCGAGGCTGTCATGTTGATCCGCACGTTACTGAGCCGTAATTCTGTGAAAATTCTGGAAATTCTGCAAGCTCTGCAGGATATTCTCCGATCACTCTTGAAAGATTCCGGGCAGTCTCAACGGGCGGGAGCGGCAGGTCTTCGAGCGTGTGAGGCTTCCGTCGAGTCTACCATCCACCGGTTCGCCATCTTCATGGAGCAGATCGACGTTGAGACGAGTAAGTCCATTGGACTTCCAGGCGTTGGGAGGGGCTAACAGAGCAAGTAACTTGAGCACATACCGAGTTTTTGGTCGCCTAGTATACTCCGGTCTAGATATGGGTTATAAGAGGGACGGTGGCTTCAAATTGAATAGAGATCCGTTGTCATCACGCAAGGGTGTAAAGAATACAATAGAAGAAAGTGAAGACTAAAGTGTTACATATTTTGGAGGATACCTCCAAGCAAATTTTGTTACCTTTGATCGAGGCCGGTATCCCGCACTGTAATCGCAGTAGCCGGAGTGTGAGAACACGAATTCGATCGTCGCGATCTATGGCCACGGACGAGCGAAGGTACCGGTCCACTGACCCCAGCCAATTACCTTTCCCATGATAGAATCCCGGATCTGCTTCTGTTTGACTTGGTCGGCGTGGTTGAACTCGAGCGCCTCGCACAGGGCAATAATGGTGAAGACGTATCGATGAGTGCCATGGCCGAGAGGAGGTGCCGGGCCAATGTATGGCTTTTTCATGATGTTCGGAACGTATCGCCATCCCGAAATGGTCATTCTGTCCTTGGTGTCTCCGTCCGGCTGAACATCACTGTGGAGAGCCATATTTGTGGAAGGCGGAATGCCGTAGAAGAGACCGTGGTTGATGACCATGGAGGGGATTGGAGGGTCGGGATCTTCGCAGAGGAGGATGTACTCCTTGACAGGGACATCGACTGGAGGAGAAGACCAGCACAGTTTTGGGAATCTGCCTATTCCATCTTCCGCAAGGCATGTATGCAGGGCCAACATGGCAGACCCGTTTATCCCGCACTCGGGCGCCTCCAGAATCATGTTCGGCTGCGGGAGATAAAGGAACGCGAGGCTTTTGTCGATCAGTCTGTTGTCATGGCCACGAATGCGGTACAGCAGTCTTCCCAGGAAGTACTGAAGATAGATAAAAAGGAAGAACATGATGATGGACCCCAACTGGGGCAAGATGATGAGGATGATGATCGGGGAGACAGTTCACCAAAGCACAATTGTCACAGTGTGCATCCAGCTGTGTATTTGGTTTAGAAAGACGCGTATGTCAAGAAATGAAGCCAGGCAGAATAAAGGAGGAGAAAGAAGTGAAAGAGAGGGGGGGAAGGAAAATCACAACAACAATAAATGGACCAGTGAGGCCTGAACCGGCCCGAAACCGGCCATCTTGTTGTTGTATACCAAGACTTCGCCCTCTCACCACTGCAGTTGTCCGGTAAATCAAATTGCTTTAGAGTTCCCCTCTTCTATTGGAAAAGGGTCGTTTTATTTCAGAGTAACTAGTTCACGGCATATGACAGCTGCCAGTGGGATTCAGGAGAATGATATAGTAGTATGGTAGATACGGGCATCAAATGTAGCAATTGATGCTGTGATTAAACCGTTGTTTTAAATATGGAATAAGATGTGTTTTCTATATTATTCATAAATCTATGTAAAACTTTTCAGACCTCTAAGTATCAAATACCATAAACTAAGATCTTAGTAAAGAGTCTTCGACCAGAGTACAATGGTGACTATATAATTTATGCTAAACCTGAGCGCGGATTAGATATATAATGCAGATGATTAGAGAGGCCCATCCTATCAAAAACATAACAGTAGACCAAAGTGAATTTCAGCAACAAAACAAAAGTAGCAGGTCTACACTTGTAGTACTCGTTAACGTCGTCGAAAGCATGCCTGATCAATCGGAAGTCCAAGATATACTTGATTTTGTACGCTGTGGATGACCGTACATTTCTCGGGCGTCAATGATGCCAAGCATCCAACTGCCCGCGTCAGCCTGTCAGGTGATCTAGAACAGCTGACGAATCCCCATTAATGAACAGCACAGCTCACCTAAGCGGCATAGAGCTGTTGGCCAATGACGTCGGCCCCGGCATAACTTCTCCAACCGATGACAAAGATGATTGGACCGCCTGAGGCCTCCACTGCCCTGGCCCCACTCGAGGTACATCCGTGCGATGCCGATTGTGCCTTATTGCCTTGGTTCCCCCCATCCCATAGTTAATGGTACGCTGTCGGTTTTTTGATCTTCCTCCTCTCCCTCTCTTCTTCTTCTTCTCCTTTCCTTCTTTTCTCCTTCACCCTCTCTAGCCCCTCCCCATGGCCTATACACCTCCCTCGCTGTCCTCGCAACCCGAGGACGCCCGTCAGCGGCCTCCTCGTTACCCCGGTGAAGATACCACGCCGACGAGCCGGCGCGAGATTCTCGGATGGTACGCTTATGGGATCGCGGCCGAAGTGTTCGCGGTCTGCGGCGTTGGTAGGTCCACGCGACATGCTGTACTAGATTGGAATTTGATTTTGACATTCATGGTCCACTAGGATCGTTCCTCCCCATCACCCTGGAACAATTGGCCCGGGAGAGCGGCACTTTGCAGTCGAGCCTTCTGCCCTGTGTCGGCCCGGGCTCGCCCTCGGACGGAAAGGGAAGCGCCCCGGCCATGCTGCGACGGGATGGCACGAGTGATGAGCAGTGTGTGGTCGGATTCCTGGGCCTGCGGATCAATACGGCCAGTTTCGCCATGTACACGTTCTCCCTCGCGGTCCTGGTCCAGGCCCTCACTTTGATCTCGTTCAGCGCACTCGCGGACTACGGTATGCTCTACCACCGCCTGGAATGCCGGTCGGCCGTCAATATTGACGATATTTTCCTCCCTCCACAGAAAGTAACCGGAAAATGCTCCTGGTCACCTTCGGGGTGGTCGGGTCCATCACGAGTATGCTGTTTGTCTTCATGGCGCCCCCGGTGTTTGCGCTCGCCGCTGTTCTAGTTGTTGTGGGTGTGACTTGCTTGGGGTCGTCTTTCGTGGTGCTCAACTCGTACCTCCCTGTACTAGTCGCGCATGATTCGTCCGTCCAGAGCGTGTCGAAGGAGCAGGACTCGGAGGAACTACATGACCTCGACCCCGATGGGGGCGATCGGGATTCCTTCGATGATGGCGCTGCCGAGTCCGCCCCACTTCCAGCAGCCGGATTAGGGCTGGGCTCCCCACCCCCTGGGCGAATGACGCCGGAGATGCAGCTATCGACCAAGATCTCGTCCAAAGGCGTGGGACTAGGCTATTGCGCCGCTGTGTTGGTCCAAATACTAGGCATTCTATTGCTTGTGACACTGTCCAAGACGTCCATCTCGAAATATTCGGGCACCCTTCCGATGCGACTCGTTCTGCTCCTGGTGGGAATTTGGTGGTTTTCGTTCACGATGGTGAGCCGTCGCTGGTTGCGCACGCGGCCGGGCCCGCCCCTGGACACGTCGCGTGGCGGAAGCCGGTGGCGCGTCTGGTTGCGACTGATGGGCTTCGCCTGGCGGTCACTGTGGAAGACCGTCAAGGTAGCCGTGAAGCTGCGCGAGGTGTTAATGTTTCTGGTGGCATGGTTCATGCTCTCAGACGCTTTGGCAACCGTTTCCGGCACGGCGATCCTGTTCGCGCGGACGGAGCTAAAATTGAGCACGACCCTGGTGGGGCTTTTGTCCATCACCGCCACGCTATCCGGCATGGCGGGAGCGTTCCTGTGGCCCGTGGTGTCCCGCCGTTTTGGCCTCAAATCCAACCAGACTATCATGCTCTGCATCGCGTTGTTCGAGGTCATTCCGCTGTACGGAATGCTGGCTTATATCCCGCTTTTCAAGCGGTGGGGTGTGATTGGGCTGCAGCAGCCGTGGGAAATCTACCCCCTCGCGATCGTGCATGGGATTGTAGGCGGCGGGCTGTCGTCGTACTGCCGGTCGTACTTCGGCTTGTTGATCCCACCGGGCAGCGAGGCGGCGTTTTATGCCCTGTACGCCGCCACGGACAAGGGGAGTTCCTTTATTGGACCCGCGATCGTGGGGATGCTCGTCGACGCGACGGGCCAGGTGCGATCGGGGTTTTTCGTCATCGCGATTCTGATCGTCATGCCCATTCCATTGATTTGGATGGGCAACGCCGACAAAGGTCGGCGCGAGGCTCTCGAGATGGCCGAGCGATTGACAGGATCGCAGGCCGGCAAGGCGCCCGAAAGTGGAGACGCCACCGAGGAAGCGGAAGGTTTGCTGGCGCGCTCTTAGCGCCATTCGTATAGATTCATATGTATATATCAACGGTACTTTCCTTGTGTACTGGTCATCGGTGGTGAATGTCCGACCGCGACCTACGAGACCCATGAGATAGAAACGTATAGAATGACCACATCATTCCTGGATTCTTCAGCTCTAGACTCCGTGGGGGATAGACTCGGATGTATTCCCTCTTTCCCAATTGGACTCCTCATCACGCCCTCTGGCGTGTCTTTCCAAAGGGGCCGTTTTCGTAGTCTAAATGACTCGTTGGCATCGAACGGTCGTCGGGTGATCCATTATGGCAAATCGAATCCACGTCGACCATGGGATCCGCAACTGCATCATTGAACCTGACCGAACTCGACTGCATGGGATAAGAAATCTCAATCGATCGATCGCAGGAAAATGCGGGCCAGTTGTGATTTCCTCCGTCAAATAATATCCTTTCTCAAGGACTGCCAATAGCTTGGTCCGTCGTCTGCAGATCATACGTCAAATCATATAAGCGATTCCGCTATTGCAGCCGGATGTCCATGAGGCCGCTCCACCGAGCATTGGTGATGGAGTTGATCAATCGATACCACAGCTATCAGCACTTCCAGGAAAGGAGGAAAAGGCCGTTTAGTCCGTGGTCAAAGCCTTATAGATTGATATTGTTAGTTTCCAACTACACATTTCCTCCATGATGATCGGACCCCCAATGACTTACGGGTTCTCTTGCTGGGCCGAAGTGGAGGAACAAGGATAAGTGGAAAGGTATTATAATAAACGAGTGTTCAATTATTAGAGCTGCAAGATTGGAATAGAAACGCTAGTATATTCGAAGGCTTTTGGTCAATAAATCAGGAGATAACTTTTCGTAATCCGCTTGCCTGTACATAGGCTATGAAAGGGTGAGCACCAAATATCAGGGTGTGTAGAGACCCGTCCACGACCTCTAATTCAACATTCGTGATGATGTGCTTTCTAGCCTATTTATTGTCAACCAATTTAATATTGATTTTAAAGAAAATACCTTTGATTATGTAGCCTGAGTGTCTGGAAAGGCATCATCGCTGCATACAATGTGATATCACGTGATGATTAGGGCTGGCAGCATCTCCCTCACTGTCGGGTTGATATTCCACTTGATGTCTCCAATATCCACCATAGTAGACTACATGTTGAATCCTCCCTGACAGGTGGTGGTAGCCACTGGGACTAGCAGTGACATCAAATTAGGTGGCCATGACAGAGTTTGGACTGCAGAATCATTCACTGGTCTCTTGTGTCATCTCCAAGATCACAGACCCTTTACCATGTTGGATTAGGATCAACAAGATCACTGGGATCAAATCACTGGGATCAAATGACAGAATCGATCAAATTATCCTTCTGTCATTCACTGCAATTAAGTTCCTATTTGGGTCGTCCACCCTTTAGATCACGCCCCCCTTCCTAGGTTTAAATACCTCCTCCTCCCCTCTCTCCTCTTCTTCTTCTTCTCTTCTTTCCTCCCCATAGCCTTCTAGTTATCCCATTTCAAACCCCTTTGCAAACATTCCCCCGTTTACAATACTCTTCTCATCGGCTTGAGTGTTCCCCATGATGAAGACTCCTCTTCCAGGACATGGAGAGGTAGTCGTCGATAACCGACAGCGATTCACGGTCCGTTCTGGGCCACGCTGTCAAATCTTCGATATTTCTGAGGCGGTTGCAAAATCCTGGGGGACAATCCGACGATGACTGAGATGGTTTGGCCTCCATATCGACTTTCGTTTGGACCCTCTAGGTACGTTCCATGACACTTCACATAAACGCATATACCCGTGACTATATCGCTGTTTTCTGTGTTCTTTTCTCAGTTCATTGACCGTGTCTTCCCCAATGGTGATTCAAATTCTCCCGAGACTTTCAGAGAGGAGGGGCTGGCTGCAGGGCCGGATACTGCATTGCCTCCAGTCTTCTTTCGTACGCTGAGCGACCGTGGTTGGTGTGGGGTTGTGTAGTGTCCGACAAGATGCAGGAGCGCTACGGCCCACTTCTTGTCAGGCCCTGAAGTTGGCTAACGGTCAATGTTTAGTCTCATTTTTCCTGATGATGAGCAGCATATCTGGTCTATCAGACTGAGCTGACTCTGAGGGGGAAGATACCCTAGGTGGGGTGTTGGTATGGGTGTCTTCCTTTGTGCACGCCTCGATGATGATATCTTCAATCCTCTGTTTCTGAGAGGCATCTTCCCTTTCATTCTAGTTGTTTCCTCGTTGTTTCTTGTCTCTCCTCTACCTTACTCGTGTTGATCTTCATTTTTATCTTTGCTATTCTTGTCTTTCAATCTTGTTATTCTATCCTTATTTGACAGTACTTTAAAGAGTTGGAACTTTTATGTACATAAGACAACCAAGTCGTACCATCGGGCACTTGTCATGGTATAGCATAGCATAGCATAGCATAGCATCAGGTGCAGTTAGTAATCATCCATATGTTAAGACTCTTCCTCCAATTTATCTTCAATTTGACATTCCCTCTCTGTCTTCGTTGCTCATTCCGACCTCTAGTCGTCTCTTCTGTTCATCTCCATACTTCTGTCTTCCCTCACACAACATCCTGCATGGTATGTGGGCCATGAGCAACCTCATTGCTCACTCGGTTAGCTCCCTCATCCGTAGTAGATGCATTGCTAAACCTGTTCGTCGCACCAGGTCCCAAACTTTGATTCGCACCATCAATAGCGCCCTCCTTCTCTCGCAAATCCTCTTTATCGCTGTCCGGGTCTGCAAAGGTGGCTTCACGCATGAACGGGCTTCGCGCCCGGATGGCCGGCCCCTTGATCACCAGCACGATAGGCACCACCGACAGTGCCGCGCCGATAAATCCCAGCAGTGACCCAGCCCAGCCATACCCGAGATTTTCGAACAGCTGATAGGATGCCAGCGGCAGGAAGGCGCCGAACGTGTTACGGCCCAGCGAGGCGGCCGACAACGCCGATGCGGCGTACTTCTCGTACGAGTCCGTTAAGTAGTTGACGACCGCCATATAGATGGAATAGATTCCTAGACCCGTGGCAGCGATCCCCATAGTCGGCACAATCCAGGGAACATGTGGGAAACTCGACCAGCCATACCAGAACAGTCCTCCCGTGAACAGCAGACTCCCTGGGATAGAGGTGTACAGTCGGGCTTCGGGGATCGGATGGCCGGGTTTTTCAGGATTGCGACTCGCTGTTCGGAGGTAGATCCAGTCTTGCAGTGGGTTGATCAACGTGCCGATCAGGGCACCCACCGAGATCGCGAGCTGGATCATCCCCGTCTGCAGCGTGTTCATCCCGTAATTGTGGCTGAAGGTCTGCACCACGCTCGAAAAGAACAGGAAGAGAATACCCCAGGCGAAGCTGATCCACAGCGTGAAGAAAGCGACCACGGGCTCTGTCAGGAGCATGCGTGTGGGCCGCTCAAATGATACTTGGAGGAGCTTCAATACGCTCTGGTGGTTGATTTCAGCGCGCGCGTATACCGGCCGTCCTGTTTCCTGGCGGATCTTCTTGGCCCGTTTCGACAGGATGACGTCCTCTCGCGTCTCCTTTAGCAGAAGCCAGAACACCGGGATTAGCGCTGCGTTGTAGATGATCTGGATGTAGAAGATCCAGCGCCATGGGCTTTCCTTGTGGATTGCCTGGATGGCGGACCCGACGAACGGACCCAACGCGATGCCGATGACACTGGTCAGTCCGAACAACGACATGGGAATACTACGCGCCCTCTCCCCACGCCAGACATCGCTAATACTGCCTCCGACGATGTTGATCGCCACGGACGACGCACCACCGCCGAAGAACCGCGTCACGACTAGCGTCGCAAAGTTCTGCGCGAACGCGGACGGGAAAAGAGACACCACGAGGATAAAGTACGCCACGAAGTACCCCGGCATGCGACCCGACGACTCGGTCAACGGCACGAAGATCAGCGGCCAGAACGCGGCGCCCATGTTCCATGATGCCGTGGCCCACGCCAGATTGGGAAATGGCACATTTTGGACGTGGAAGCGCTGCGCCATGTATTCATTTCCCGCGCCATACGAACCGGCCGGGATACCGGTGAGAATGGAGCTGCAAGTGGTACGAGCTTTAGCCTTTCGTCATCAAAGAACCCACCCATCGCACATACATTATACATATCGTGATCGTCAGCGTCCACTTGTACCCGCTGCCCCAGTTGAACGGGTTATCGGGGTCGTCTGGTCCGCGCCAGGTATGTACTTCTAGATCCTGACGATCGCGCAGCTCATTGTAGCTGACTTGGCCGACGTGGGCATCGCGGTGGAAGAAGGCTTTGACACTTTATGGCGTTAGTTCCTATGATCGGCGGGGTAGTGATCGGCAGAGTGATCGGCGCTACAACATACCGTCCTAGGAATGAATCATTGAATTCGTTGGTGTGCACTCTGGTCAGGCCATGCGAGCCGCTGGGCTGAAGCTCGCTGCTCACTACCCTCGTGGCCATTTCAATTGAATTTCGATTCGAAGTATAGGGGTATGTCGGGTGATACAACAGCTGCACCGGCTGGATTCTATCTACTCTACATTTCAGGAAACCACAGTATGGTGCCTGGGTCTGCAGTGCTGCACCCAAGGGTCATGTCGTCATCGATCTCGACTGTGCCCAGAATTCCCTATGGGTCGCGGCCAACAAGACATGATGCGGGACCTGACAAGGAACCCCGCCAAACAGGGAGAGATTCATCACCACCAACAAGAATCATGCGTAGATGATATCATAGGCTGACTCACCATGAGATCATCACGGCCGGTGTCACCGGAAGCTGTCCTATATGAATGCACGACTCGTCCTTTTTTTGTCACTCAGTAACTCAATAACCTCACCAACTTCTCCTCTCATCGAAGACCTACTCTTACCAACCTTTCTCAATTACAACTCCAGAGCACCATCCGCTCTCGAATTTCCCTCTCCTCAATCATCCAACCAACCAATCCACCAACATGCCTCAAGGAATCCCCCCTCAGAACAACCTCCTCGACCTCTTCAGCCTAAAAGGCAAGACAGTCGTCATCACAGGCGCCTCCGGCCCCCGCGGCATGGGCATCGAAGCCGCCCGGGGCTGCGCCGAAGTCGGCGCCAACGTCGCCCTCACCTACGCCTCGCGCCCGCAAGGCGGCGAGAAGAACGCAGCAGACATCAGCAAAGATTTCGGCGTCAAGGCCAAGGCCTACAAGTGCGACGTGGGCAACTTCGACAGCGTGCAGAAACTCGTCGATGACGTCATCAAGGAGTTCGGCCAGATCGACGCCTTCATCGCCAACGCCGGCAAGACCGCCAACTCGGGCATCCTCGACGGTTCCGTCGAGGACTGGATGGAGGTCATTCAGACCGATCTGACGGGCACTTTCCACTGCGCCAAGGCGGTCGGCCCGCACTTTAAGAAGCGCGGGACTGGGTCGCTGGTCATCACGGCTTCGATGTCCGGGCATATTGTGAACTTCCCGCAGGAGCAGACGAGCTACAATGTTGCTAAGGCCGGGTGTATCCATATGGCGCGCTCGTTGGCGAACGAGTGGCGTGACTTTGCTCGTGTCAACTCTATCTCGCCGGGTTATATTGATACGGGGCTGAGTGACTTTGTGGATCAGAAGACCCAGGATCTGTGGAACAGTATGATCCCTATGGGTCGCAGTGGTGATGCGAAGGAGCTGAAGGGTGCGTATGTGTACCTGGTTAGCGATGCCAGTACCTATACGACGGGCGCCGATATCTGCATTGACGGCGGGTACTGCGTGCGGTAATTGTTTATAATACATCACGACTATAATTTATGACGGAATAAACAAATTTAACATAGTTCAAACACATATAATTGAAACTGCATAGCACGTGGTGATTGTAAAATGAGGAGGGAGAGAGAAGAGAATCTACACCTCCTTGGTTATCTCCCCACTCTCAACATAAACCCCGGACCAAAACCAATCCTCAACCCCGCCCCCTGCAGCCCCATTATCCAACCTCAATTCCCCAACGTGCCAATCCTGGGAATTGGTCTCCGTAGCCGCGGAGACGGCATCGTCGCCCACGCGCGCCAACGGCTTCGCCCCCTCTGACGCCCACAGCGCGACCGTCTGCCCAGAGAAGTCGATCTCGTATGCGAAGTTGTACCACACCCCGGCCTTGAGATCCGTATCCCAGTGGGACTTGCCGCCGGCCATCCAGCGGAGGGTGGGCTCGCTGCCGCCGAATTGGAGTTCGGTGAAGTGGCTCTATTCCATTGATTAGTAGCATGTTCTCTACTGATTGGTATTGGTGTGCTATGTTTGATACTGGTAGGTATGGATGGAGATGGGTACCTCGAAAAACGCAATTTGATGCTCAATCTTTGCATTTGGTGGATTCTTCTCGCGCGTCTGCAGCGAGAAGTGGTAGAAGAGCGTGCCGGATCCCAGGTCGGATGTGGTCTGGGGGATGAGCTCGGTTCGCATCATTGTTTGGCCATTCCAGGAGGCGGTTTCGTCCTAGATTGACATGTTAGTGCTGTTTTGATTTCCACGGAGATGCGGAATGGGGAGGAGAATGGAAGTACAATTGTCATGCGAATACCCTTCCCATCCTTGGACGCTGGATTTTTGAGATCCGGGGATACCTCGAGGTAGTGGTTTGTTTTCTCGCTGCCGTGGATGTACCATTGATAGGCGCCGACTTGATTGGACCAGGACCCTTTTTATAATTAGCCTCACTATATGCAAACGGAGGAAGAGGAGTAGGTACATTCGTCGAGTTGGTCCACGGTGGACGTTTCGTTGAAAATTCCGTTCCAGATGACGGTGCCTGCTTGGACGGCGGGGATGAGGAAGAAGATGGGTTTCATATTGCTTTTCTGTACTTGAAGTGTCTGTTATTGGCCTTTCTTTCTTCTTTCTGTTTGTATTTTGTTGGCTGCCTTCGGCGGAGTGGATTGGCGCCATGGTTTTATATGCCGTAGTTATATATGCCGTGGACCAAGATATCAAAGTATACCCGGATAAATATACGGCGTTTCGAATTCAGTATACCATTCCGGAATCGTCACGGAAGTAGTTTCATGTTGAATTAAATCGGAAGAATTCCTTCTGTTTCACATTTATCCATATATCGGGCCGAGTGCCGTAATATATCCAGGATCATCGACATGGGTCTGAGTCTGAATAGATGTACAGTTGAGACTAGTATCGGATGGAAACACGTTCTTTCCGAAGCCTTTGAATTTCCTGCAGAAGATTATCCACTATCGCTATCCTTGAATTAGTGGTCTGGTTTGATGATGAATATAGATAATGATGCGAGGGTCTCACCTTGGGAGCTTCATCTATGAGCGTCTGCCCAGCTACAGGATTGCAGCCTGGCGCTGACAACGAGGAGTCTGCTGAGAAGAGTGACTTGGCAACATTGTAGATGATTTCATGAAGAATAATCAGCGTTGGTGTCAGTAATGGTGTTGATCTTGAAGGTCCAGATCAGCCGAAGCCGTGCTGGACCTCGGTATTTCCCGATTCGGGTTCCCCGCACGACAATCTACACAGTATGTCCTACTACTTCTATAACCTCATTTCTATACTTCTTTCTCTTCCTTCTCCTTCCTCTAGTGAGAGATTGACTTCTTCGCAAATTGCAAATACTTAACCAACATGCCTCCCTGCACTCTCCACCTACTCACTCTCTCCCCCCCCTGGACCCCCTCCTCGCTCATCTCCTCCCTCCGCAACGACCACAACCGCCAAATCATCGTCGCCTCACGCCCGCGCCAAACCATCGTCCCCCCAACTCTCCTCGACAGTACCATCCTCACCTCCAACTGGGACCTTCTCCTTCTCATCCAGTCCCACCCCACCTCAAGCGAGCCCCCCATCCCCGACGCCCTCAAATCAGCCATCCAAGCCGAATACCGCGTCAATGTCGGCATCCCATCGCGTCTGGTCTCCTCATACGACGCCAATGACACAGCCCTAAAACGCACTCCTCCCCCGCCCCTCACAGGCAGCCTCGACGCCCTGCTATCTAACAAAGATGCAACACCATCTTCCTCCCAGAACTTGGAACTCTCGCCGGACCTCCTCCGCTTCATGGAGACCTTACCCAAGACCCACCCGGGCCCAGTCACAATGCTCAACCTCCTCCACTTCAACCACCCCGACGGCAAGAAGAGCTACGCGGAGTACGGGAAGGCGTTCGTGCCCGTCGCGCGCAAGAGAGGCGGCGCTGCAAAGCTAGTGGGGAATGTTGTCCCCCCGCGGGATGCATCGTCCGTGGATTCGCGGGGCAAACTGGATAGACCTGGCGAGGAGTGGTGGAATGAGATCTCCATCGTCCATTATCCGTCTATTCGCCATTTTTGTGATATGCTTGCTGGGGAGGATTACCAGGCTGTTAATGCGAGGTATCGATTACAGGTATTTCTCTTCACTCCGCCCCTTCTTACATTTTCTTCCATATCGGGGCGTGCGCCGGGGGTGCTAATTCATGCGTTAGGCTTTGAAGGATACTTTCCTCTTGTGTACGACTGAGTTTGACATCGAGGAAGCGACCGCGAAGCTCTAGACTGGTTGCATTTGTCACTGTGTCCCAGCAACCAGGAGGATAGATCATTGTGCCTTACCATAGACCTCATTCCAGTACTGGAAGCAGTACGAAGAACCAGCTCATTGAAACCCTGCATGGAAGACAAAGAATATAGGACGATACGCCTCTAATAACGAGATCCAGTCATCTGCATGCTTTCTGCCCTGGATTCGACCGCTCAAGCTACCACCACGCTTGTATGGCTTGTTTTCTGCTGCTGGGCTGTGTTGATATACGGTGGTTGGATGATATTCGGTCTGTGGAAGTCATTCACATGGTACAAATTTTTTTTTTTCTTTTACTACGCTGTTTGGCTGTTGGCTGTTGGTTGTTGACTGTTGATTGCCGACAGTCTTACTATACCCTTGCTCCCATTCCACTTTGTTTCTCAGTTCACTCGGACTTTATACATCGAGAAGTTTTATTTGATTCCAACTGCAAATCAATGCCATCCATGACGTTGCATTGCGACCCTATCAATATACCCAATTCAAGACCATTTGTCGGATGTATGTACAACAGTATGGCAATATATACCCAATCAACCTCATCCAAACCCATCATACAGAAGACCACCAAATTATTAAGCAACGTTGGCGCACGTGAAGCTGGCGCTGCTGGGATTGTCGTGGATCGCCTTGCCGGAGACGTAGAGGCCTAGTCCGCACTATCATACAGTCTCAGTTAGCTGAGTTGACGCTTATCTCGCAACAGCGTGCAAGTCAACAAGAAAACGTACCAGACAGCCACCGATACCGACAATAATCAAATTGAGTACGGTCAGCGTGATCTTGCGAGGTGACGCAAAGTACCGGCCCCAGTTCATGAAAAGCCAGAATATCCCGCTCATTCCGTCTGTGTTTGTTAGTTTCCCTTTTTTTTTTCTTTCCTTTACTTAAAGAGGGAAGGAAGTAAGGATGCACGTACAGGTAAACCAGCTGGCAAACAGCGCCGTCTATGGCAAGTTAGCGCGAATCATATGCATAGCCAAGGGGCACACCTACAATCAAACTCAAAAGATTGTTGAACACCGGAATAGCTTCGGCGATAATCCAGGCAATCGTCCACAAGACCAGCCCTATCAACACCCACGACCCGATCGATCGCCAATTGCGCTTGTGCATGTGGTCGGTGCCTCGGAAGATTCGCACGTATATGTACTTGCACGCTACGTGGCCGTTAATCACGCCAGCGATAATGATCTACATTGTCAGTTCAATGTCTTGTCGTATGGGGTTTGAGGAGGGAGACGGACGGTGGGGATGGCGATCCCGTACGCGATCTTCGAGACCAATGGACTGGTAGATCCCAGGGCTGGCGACTTGACGTCTCGCCCGCCGTAGTAGTATATGACTACCGCTGCGACTACGTACATGCTTGTGTCGGTGAACTGTAGTAGGTACAGGGTCTTGGGGTAGTCTGTGGGGGTTTTCATTTCGGAGATGAAGCCGAAGAAGGCGACATGTCCGGCTGGATTTGTGTTAGGGATAATAGCAGAGCAGAACGAGATTACAAGCGAGCATACCGTAGGCAAAGACGATGTTGGTCACCGCTAGAAACCCCTTGTACAGGCTGGTATCCACGGTCGTGTCCACCTGCCCGTTCCCTGGTTTTTGAATGGCGATTGCGATCATGGTGATCAAGACGGCTGCCACGATGCTAATGAATGCTGCATGAACCGATCAGTATGAACCCCCGCGGACTGGATCTCTCCCCGAACTGCCATGACCTACAGGAAATTGACATCCACGACACCTTCTTCAGCGTCCGTGGTAGCGTCAGCACAAACGACAGCACCAGCCCCACAACCCCAAACACGATCGAACAAGTCCCGTGTTCCGTCACAGTATTCATCATAACCATAAAGGTCAGGATATGACTCCCCATGATAAACACCAGAAAGACCACCTGGGCCGTTCCCAGCAACTCGCGACCGAAAGCCCCCATCATGACCTCCCCGGCATCCGCCATGCTATGCACGTGTGGATACCGCAGCTTGAACTGCCCGATGACATAGCCTGTATAGGTCGCCAGGATGCCAAGGCCCACGATGAGGACGACAGCGCTAGAGATGAGGGCAATCGCCAAGGTCAGCCACCAAGGCTTGAGAGGGGTAGTGCGCCAATCGAGACTCACGGTGCCATTCCAAGGGCCGCCACAGCCGACGGGAGGGACAGGATCCCTAGCGAAATCGTTTCGGCGATCATGACTGTCTTGAGTTAACGACTGGTTGTGAGACGGATTGATTGGGGAAACGAACTCATTCCGCATTGCCTGGGGGGTGGACTTCCTTAGTTCGTCCCTGCAGTCCGTGGGTTTCTTCCAACCTACCACCATGCCATCGTGCGGTATTTCACCTCTGCAAACTCCTCGTTGCCGAAGGGGTCCTCAAATTCGGGAGCTGTATCCGTATATTCATACTTCTCGTCGCGACCGATGGGAGGATCCTCGATCGGATCGATGGGGGAGGAGTACATGGTGGATCGAGTTAACTGTCACTTGATGGATTTTGTGTCAAATGTCCAACTGAATCAACCTGACGACAGAAAAGACAGGACAGAAAGAGAAGCGATCGATAGGGAAAGAGAAGGGAAAGAGAAAGAGAGAGGGAGAAAGTGAGATGCAAGCCTGATATAAGACGAAGCCACCAACATGGCCTAAATCTCTCGGCGTTGGACTACTTCCCTGAGCAGTATCAGCACGGTAATTTACTGTCATCACCACGAAGTCTACCATGAAGTTAGTGAGACATCAATGCCAAGGGCGTAAAATACAGGAAACATGGGGGGATGTCGATGCGGGGAGAGCTCATCATCATTCGGTTCCCTGCGGCTCATCCCGCCAATGAAGCCATTGACGGATCTGTGTCTCCGCTTCCAGGTTACATGGCCAATGCAACCTTAGCTTCGTGGCGTCGGGAGGATTATCCATTGATCAGGCTTGGGTTTGTTTGGACAACTTCTCTGGGGATGGAGAAGTATGAGCTGGGGAACAATATTCGAAGTCAGAGAATCAAACGTCTAGTGTATTTCTCGCAATCGAGAACCTCGCTTTTCGCGCGGTCTGAATCTATCAAATCTAAGTGGGTATTATGCACATATTCAAGGTGAGGACTGGACGAGATAACGTTAAACGCGTGCCCGTCGACAGATCAGAGAAGAAGAAGGTAACCAAATGCACGCAAGGGGAAAAAGAAATGGAAAAAGAGAATAAGAATGGGAAACTATCGCATCGTATCAACACACCCACGATCACGCAAATGCAACTCAACACCCGCTTCAACACAAGCAACGCGCAACGGGTCAGCAGTTTCATGAACCCGTGGCTTGATCACCTTCTCGCCACCGGACGCACCCCCCTGATAACCAGACGACGCCTCATCTTCCTCCTCCTCATCGTGGAAGCATCCCTCGATATCGAGCCGTTGTAGCGCCCGGAACTGCGTCGCTCGCTTGTTAAGCACCTTGGTTAGCTGCGCCACCAGCATCGCCAGCGAGCTCTCCTTGCAGCCTTCCACGTAAACCGATTCCACCGACGCCGGAAGACAGCCCGTCAGCGCGATCGTCGGCTCCGGCTGGTAGCGGATGTCGAGTAGGTTTGGCAGGCGAATGCGGATGTCTTTCAATGCCGTGAAGTCCGCTAGCGATCCGAACCACTCGTCGTGTGACTCGTTCGCACCTGATACCGTGAAGGGGAGGTGCTCGCCGCAGTTGTCTAGCCAGAGGGTTTCAATACTCTTTTTGCTGCCGGCCAACGACTGGTAGAATGCGCTAGGCTGGTACCCCTCTGCCAGGAACCGCGAGTCCGAGTGCTGATACTTGAACACTTTCAGTTCCCTGCATGACCCCACCAACTGCTGCATCCCCTCGTGCCCGTTGCTCGTGTTTAGCGTAATCTCCGAGATGGATGAGGTTCCTGGCAACGGCGCTTCGGGGGCCCGGTCCTGCTGAGGTTTCTCCGCGGAGCTCGTTTCCAACACGGCATCCGCTGAAAACACTCGCATAGAGGGTAACTGAAAGAAGGGGAGGATCTGCGCCGGCAAGAAGGTACCCTTCTGGTCCGCATCGCCCTCCTGGTGGCTCAACGCAACTTCCCTCAGCTTCCGGAATGCCGGCTGGGTGTTGAAAGGCATCTCCCCCTTCGTCGCCCGCACTAGCGAACGGTCCAAGTATTTGTTGTCCCTGGGATAAACCAGTAAAAGTTTCCGTAGATTGGGTACGAGCGGTAAAGACAGTGCAATCCAGGCTTCTTCTAGACCGCTCTGGAGGTCCTGCACCCATTGCTCGTATTCTCCCTCTGAGGGACTGAGCGTCCGGGTCCAATCTTTAAACAGTGAGAGGTCATTATCGGGAGACGGGGGGGACTGACACCGCCAGTCGCGAAACTCCAATTCACGGACCGCCCGAGCCAGCTCAGGACGCCGGAGAATAGCAGTGAGGAAGGATTGCGTTTGCGAAAGACTCTTCAGTACCGCCGATCGGTAAACTAGACGCAAGAACAACTCTTGAAACCGATGGCAAACAAAGACAAGGTTGTATCTATCCTGGTGGTCTTCGAGATGGTCTCCCACCAGAAGGAAGACGTCATCGGGGAGAGACAACGGCATTGTGGATGTAACGCGGGGCGTCTAATGCTCAGGCATGGAATCTGTTAAAACAAGGCAAAATGCAATGCAATAATGTACTCCGCAATGCCAGTGGATGCGAAAAAAAGGCGCTGATTGAATCGAAGTAAAAAGAAAATCGAATCCATCGAATTTCCGTGCCTTCCGGGGGATTTTAATACCAGTGCACCCAGCTGCGAATCCACCTTCATCAGTCATAGTAACTTTAATTTTTATTCGCCTTCAAGGTTTTTAAGGCCTTTTCTCGCAATCGGCAGCCCTGCGCAACCTTAGTTGAGTAGCAGATCAACCAGAAAATAAAAGCGGGCCAATTGAACTCTACCATATAGGCGGAAAATAGCCACGGCCTTTAAGTATTTTCATTGGAGATCGCTTGACCTGCTCCAGTCAGTGGTTGGATCGGTGCACTTGGGTCCAAACGAAGAATCTCCATGTATCTTCAATCTCATCCATGTTGATTTCTCTGTCTCTGTGCTCAATTGCATGCTTAAGGAGACTTCCGATTCGACAATGGCCCAACTATCCTTCATTGACGAGCAAATTCACAGATTGAGTAGTACATTTTTGCGGAAGGAGCGCCGGACCGCACACATAGCCATTCTTTTGCAAGACATACTTGCAGTAGTGAACTAAAAGGGATTTATCGGCGTCAATGGTCGAAACACAACAATTTCGCCAATTTACCCGAGCCCATCACAATGCCAGCATGAAAATGCTAGAGGCAGTGATAGGCAGATTGCCATCGTCGATTGGGCAGATTGTGGTTGTTCTAGATCATTGGGTGTAAGGCTCCATCCATCGCCCGACCGCCCCTCTTGCTCTCCACTGGGTCCCACGTTGAGGGCCACCCGATTGATTGTTCCGAACATCGAGCGATGGAGGCAAGATGGAGGCGAGCTTCTTCAATAGCCGCGGCAGCCTCGGAAGATTTGCGGGTAACAGCAAACTTTGTTTTTCATCGAGCTTAGGAAGGCGAAGCGTGAGGAAAATACATTGAATACTCCAATTGCTTAATCCAAATCTGCTCTGAGAACCATATGGTTCCATTGGCCTGGCTGGCGCAACTAATCCTATTTGTTTTCGCGTTCAGCCAAGACATTATTGGCTTGCGCTGGCGTAGAGCAATCTGACCAAACAGAACATCAGCAGGTCCGCCCTGACATCAGCGGCGGTATGCTATATGATGTTAAACTGACTTAAAAACGCCCATTCAACTGTTCCTATTCAAATTTCGACAACTCCGTACCTTATTTGGAAGATTCCTGGCTGGCGGCGTTATCCCTGGCGCCACTACCAGTGGACCCTGATTCGGCTGGCCTGCTTCTTTGGGCCAGGAAGCGGGCCCGTCAGCCTGTCGTTTCGCCATCGTCCGGTGTGGATCTTCAGTTGACCGGCGTTGCTCCCCGCAATCTCCCACGACGACATGGATTATACGGTGACGAGTTGCGTGGCATCGTGGATTTTGTTCGACCGCGGCTGTTCACAAGCAGTTACTTTGACCCGAGGGAAGTCCATCGACATGAGCGTGTTGAGTGGGAACGGGGAGTATATTGGGGGTGAGTTGTCCGACGAAGGCATTGAATTTTGCTGAAGAGATATTATACCTTTGGGAGAATAGAGTGATCAAGGCGCCTTGGGGTTGATGATCCAATAGGTATCACCGGTGAACTTCGCTATACCCACTGTCTCTCACCACGTCTCTGACACCCAAGCGGCATGTCTCTGATGTTGTAATGAAAGACATCCACAATGTTCACCGAGTTCAGGTAGAACACGGCTCACTGACTTGGCATCGCCATGCTTTTCGTGGTGCATAATTTAGTAAGGAACTCCAGCATCGTGGGGTTCTCGTCGCCAGAGTCATGTGCATCGCCAACTTTCCGCTAACGAAGCGTCTCCCCCCACATATTTATTTCGTAGTGGGTAACTAAACCCGTCAGCAAAGCACACATCACCTCGCTGTTCAATATAGTACGCACCGGCAATGCTCGCGTCGCCTCTCCTCGCCTAACCCAGGATCATCCTCCACAAATCTCGTCCCTCCAATAGTCTCAGGAGCCTCATCACCTTCCACCCAGGCCACCAAAGCCGCGAGCACATTTTGCTCTCTAGTAAATGGTATCCCCGCAGCTGACGACCCGCCGCCCTGGCCAATGACCCAAGCCCCAGGACCAGAGTTACAGTGGAACATTCCCGGGACGCGAAAGAAGCGAAGGAACTCGTCCATCTGCGCGGGGGTATATTGCATGCCAGCAGCGAGATGATCGTAGAAACGCGGCGTGTTGAAGCTGGTTATCTTGTCATCTTGCTGGCCGTGGTGGACGATGATCTTGCCGCCGAGGTTTTGGAACTGTGAGAGATCGTTTGGCCATGTGCGGATGTTGCCTGGGTTTAGGGTCTCTGCTACTTGTGCGTCTTGGAGATTGAAGCTGGTAGGGTCCCATGAGGGGTCGTAAATGACGTATTGGAACCATGACTAGAAGAGTATATTAACATACCGGGGAAGAACCATGTTGGAGTGGTAAATACTAACCTCAGAGTACATAAAGGGTTTCCCAGCGTAGAGCCCATCGGCAGATTTAAGCTCGCTTCCCGGCTGCATGGCAGGGTATATCAAGCTATTGTCCTTGTCGTGGAGCGGGGAGAATATCTCTCGAACAGTCTCCACCTGGGCTGGACTCAAGCAGTCATGCGTCTGATCTCCCTCACACAGCAGAATATCAGGTTGGAAATCGCACAGCGTGGGATCCTCAATGACGCCATCAAGAACACCATCAATGCCATCGCACTGCCGCAGAATTCCCGAATGTATCAAACCCTTCCACTGACCTTCGGTAACGTATCGCGATGAATTAACAGACCCAGTGATCGGAAAAAAACTAGCCCTCCACGAGACAAGGTTATTGAAGTCCACCGCCGGCGCGCCAGCAACTATACCATCGAAGTCCTCGGGAAATAAATCCGCGGCGTAAATCCCCTGGCGCCCGCCGAGGGAGCAGCCAATATAGTACGACTTGCTGTGTGCTCGGCCGTAGAAACGGGCCGTCAGCTCCTTTCCTATCGTCACGCCGGTGTGAAGGCTAGTAGAGAGTTCTCAGCTTTTGACGCTTAATACCAACAAATTAATGATCCGATTTTGGAAAACATACGCCCTCCAAGCGAAATCCATGATAACATCCGGATTACGGTATAAAGGCGCAGCAGTAGTGCCATTATGCCCGTTATTAGTCCCGATCGTCGCAAACCCGTTCGAGGCTCCGTACTCTACATCTTCGTACTTGATACCTAGGCCCAGTTAGCCCTATGTAGCCATCATTTTTCGAAAGAACTTACATCCATCTATGCCCCCATTTCCGGTCCCGAGAAACCGGCCGCTCCACTCGCGTGGTAGCCAAAGCTCTATAACTATGGAAGACTGGTTGGATGTCGCGACGGAGAGAGCGACTCGACAGATGTCGGCTGAGACTTGTTGGTATTGGCGGGAGCATGTGCTGTCGTTGTCTAGTAGTGTTAGGTTGGTTCCTCGGGGGATGTATCTTAGGATTTGGATGTGGGAGTTTGAGGCGTGTTTGTGTGCGGGGAAGGATAGGCATTGTTGTTTGAATTCAGCTGTGGCATGTGTGGTTTTTATCATGCTAGAAAGGCAAGCTGCGAGGATAGCGAGCCAGCTGAGGTGCTTTTCAGCCATGATACCTTTGGGCGAGTATCGGTAGCGAAGTGGGGGAAAGAGACGCGGTTAAGTTGTACGAGATGGATGCATGCTTGACACGTGCATGAGACAATAAATGCCAGTATTATTGGTAGTCTACAGAACGATCTTACCCGTGCATGGAATGTATGTATTCAAAACAATAGCACGGTATGATCCAAAAGCTTTTAGAATGTGATCTATCAAAAAAAATGCGGACCCATCAGATACTAGATACTATATACGGGGTACTATCGACTAGTCATTTCTCCGACAATAACAAGACGCCCGAATAGGCACATCCGCCGTAGCCGCCGCGAACTTCAACTGCTGCTTGACAATGTGCGCCTCGGCGACACGCCCCAATTTTACCAAACACTCATGGTACCCATGGAGCGCCCACACGTTATTCGGATGCTGCAGCGAGCGAGGCAACGTATCGTCCATTCCCAGATCGGCTCCGTAAACCGCAGCGGCCTGCTCGACGTGCCCCTGCTCTAGCAGGAGAGCGCCATATGCATGTCGCGTCGGCTGCATCCAGCCCCATGGCTCGTCATAAGGAAGCTCGTCGTCGCGTGAAATTGCGCGGCGCAGGTGCTCGAATGCGACATCGAAGTTCCCGCGGCGGTACTCGAGCTCCCCGTTTAGCATGGCTTCTGCGATCCCCAGGATATCGACGCATTTGTTGTTGAATAGCATTCGGCTGGCCGGAACACGTTTCAAGGCTTGGTCGAATAGGTTGCGTTGTTCGTTCGCACGATCTACCTCCCCCGTTGCGGCCAGCGCAACCCCCTTGCCGTAGTGCATCATGGCTGTCGTCACGCAGTATAGCTCTGCGTCCCGCGGCAGTTCAAGGTCCAGCAGCTCCTGCCAGCGTCCGAACCGGATCAACACGTGAACTCGCATCGTGAGGAACCCCTCCAGCCAGTCCGCCATCGGGGGCGACTCGACACGGAGAAGCTCCTCCGGGATCGATTGCTCAAGCTCGGCTGCCGTGTCCAGGGCTATCGCCGAGAGCCCAGAGAACATAGCCGCGTAGATCCGGAAGTGGTAATCGTGGGACCGATAGAGGGTGTAGAAGTTGACCGGGCCTGCACGAGCAAGGAACTTTTCATCCGCGCGGATAGCGTCCGAGTTGGACGCTATCGCCCGCCGGTAGTCGCCGCACAAGATGTCCAGGTGCGTGGGCATGTGTTGCAGATGTCCGGCGTCGGGGACCAGCCCGCGCAGGTGATCCGCCACCACCAGGGCTTTCTCCGGCGTTCCGGACATCTCCATCAGATGGATGTACAGGTGGAGAAGGCCGGGATGGCGGAGACCTCCCTTTTGTGTCAGTGCGCGGTCGAGAACGGCTTTGACTTCGTGTGTGCGGGCGCCTGGGGCGGGCTCGTTGGTGCGTATATCCCACAGCTCCCAGGGAGTCAGATTCATCAATGCGTCCGCGTACAAGGCTGCCACATCTAGGTCCTCGGGGAATCGTTGGTAGACTGACTGCATCGCATCGGCATACCCCTGGTTCCAGGAGGAGCAGTCCTCTGTTGGCTGATCCTGCGGGTACCTGAATTGAAGAGCGTCAATGAGAGCCGCTTCAACGGGTTGCGCCGTGGATGCGTATTGTCGAGCATCGTGGACGGCGCGGTTGGTGCGTTGAACAGTTTTTTTTAACTCTTTCTCGTCGAAGAATTGCCATGGCTTGTTGTAGTTGGGGCCGAGCGTGTATGCCAGTCCCCAGTATGCCATTGCACAGCTTGGGTCGTGGGTGATGGCTTTTTGGAAGCATTGGGCTGCCTCGCCATGATTGAAAGCGTATGTCCAGATGATTCCACGGTCAAACCAGACCTGGGCCCATTTGTTATTTGTTGTTACTTGGCGGTGGAAGGATCCCAGGTTGTAGTAGACGTCCGTAGACGAGGCGTCGCCAGAGGCTACATCCATGGCGTTTCAACCAGCCACTGGATGTTGAATGTATGAACAGTTACGAAAATAGCGCTTCTGATCCTATTATTGTGTTTGCAGGCAGGTGGTGATTAGGAGATTGGCCGACCAGCTAGCAACCATCGCAGATATGGGATGTTGATGGTGGGACGATTATGCCCAAGTGGGGTAAAGCGGAAGGTCACGACAATGCCGCAATCTACAACTATCGATGCCAACATATAACCCCTAATCTTCCCTACAATTCACTAAAGATAGCCCGCTACAAGAAACGGTATAGCACGAATTCTAATCAGATTAGGTGACTAAGTCCCTTCGAAGATAGAAAAATTGAGACATACGAGATGTCGCCTGCAGGAAGAGACAGCAATGATGGCCAGGAACCCAGCCAGAACCGTTCCAGAAGACCAAGCATGGTAGAACATTTCACTCCCTTCTCCAGGTCACACGTCGAGCCAGAACATTCGCAATTTGCCCTGCGAGGTCTGAGCGCCCCTTGTCCCCAGACCGACACATAGAAGCCATGTTTTTGAAACAGATACAAGAAAAGAAATGGTTTGCGATAGCCGGTTGGTGACGCCCTTGCGATAACTCCAGCGCTGTCTGCGTTGTTGCTTAATCCACACATATATCTTTTTGTTCGTCGAGAGAAGTCAGCGGGTATATGGTATCTGCACCCTCACGCGGTTCCGTAATCGAACATCCGATCGTTCCTCCTTTATCGTAACCCCAGATCCGTCATCTCCACGTTCTCTGCCGAGCCCATCCAGAGGATGTTGTTGCACCTAGAGAATGACATTGTTAGTAAATGGCGTTTCTCAATATCGAGCAATGGCGATCAGTAATGAAAGCCGCCGTCCATTCGAAAAAGGCCGACCCATCCCCCTGGATTGCAAAGCGTACCTAATCAGCACCAGACCCAGCGTGCCAGTGGGCTTGCCATCAATAAACTCCTCCGTGTCTCTCAGCAGTACATTCATGTACGAGTCAATGCTCTCGAGCGTGCCCTTGTACTCGGTTTGGCCCCATTTGAGACGGATGATAAGCTCAGTACCGACCCTAAACGCCGCGTTAGAGGTTATGTTTCCGCAATATTCATTGTGATAAAGGAGATGGAGTGATCAAAGGGTACGAGGAACGCGATCGAAGGGTGCGTGAAGGGATCGGGATTGTACCTAGCCTGCAGGAAAGGCCGCGGGTTGAGAGGTTGGAACTACAACCATACTTGTCAGTATCACCACACATAAGATCAAATCAAATAGAGCAGTGCAAAGCAAGAGGAAGAAAGGGCACAAAGACGGGGGAAACACGTACACTCATTCTTGGAGATGTGTCTATGGTCGGAAGTCACGAACTGCGGAATGACACTCTGTTCAGCCTTTCAAATGGTTTCAATCAATCCACACAGAGAGATTGTCCAGCAATTCAATCCAGTTATCTCCTCCGATCGAATAAGTTGGACTGGTCGTTGATTTGAGTAGTAGGGTCGAAGGAGGTGAGGTTGGTCGCAGCGCCCAGCTTGACTGAAGGACCGCGAAAATGTGATGCGGCGAGCACTCGGGCCAATCAGACTAGATGCTGCGTCACCGCCTTCCGGCCAGCTCAACTTCGGCAACTGGTCAGTTTGGCTGTCATAACTTTTGATTACCTGTTTTTCATACGACATACAACAAAGTACTGTCGGATATTGGCTACATGCGCGCAAACAAAGAAAGTTTACATAGTACTCAAACATCACAACACATCTCAAGATCTTCCCACCGTCCAGCTAATCTCCTTGATGGAGACCTCATCCCCGGCCTTCTCATCGTAGTCATACCACTCCTCCTCGGACAAATCAATCCCACTGAACGGAGAGCCAGATTCGATGCCCTTCGCCTCCCAGTCGCCCTAGAATAGAAACCCACGTTAGCAAGCAGTCTCCCCCAAGGATGTTAGTTGGTCATGACGAACATCTGCCTTGAACTCGGTAAACTCCAACCCGCGGCAATCAAGGTCAATCACCTTGGTGCCTTTGCGCTGGTCGTTTGCCTCGTAGCTGTGCGGACCGGCCACGATGGAGGCGGAGTGGGTTTTCTATATTTTGGTAAGTTAGTCGGGCGCATCATGCGGTGTCGTATCATGCGTTTTTCTCTGCACTGTTGGGGGGGATGCTGTCGGTGCGAAACGAACCTGGCACATCTTGCATTTCCAGACAAAGTTCGCCTCGCCGCGACTTCCCGGGATTTCATTCGTCTCCTGGGAGAATATCAGCGATAAATTCTCATTGTTAAGGGCTGGTATTTTTCTTCTCGGTTTAAAAAACGTACAAAGCGGTTAAAGCTGACCCAGTTCGGGTGCGTCTCGCGACAGGAAGTACATTGCACCTTGAAGGTATAGTAGTACGGCTCCTCCTCGGTGTCCTTGGGACGCAGATCGGTTACTCTATTTAGTTGTGAGCACTTATCTCCAGAAAGTAGTTATAGACGTCATCTCTAGGGAAAGACAGGAATAGCAGGTAGTACTGCGGTGCGGGGAAGATCCATGACGGATAGTGGGATGATGGATGAAATGCCAAACAGCATAAGGTTGACGGGCAGATGGGCCAGTCTTACCCGGAGAGCTCTGCAGAGAGAACGAGGGAGAGCATGGAGGTTGTCTGGTGTTGCGCTTTGGATCTGCAATAGATCTTCAGAGTGTACTGTATCTTGTCGGAGCTTGGATGAAGAAATCCAGGTCGCTTTATCGGGCCATGTGGGGTCGTTGCTCTAGTTGGTCATTCGGCCCGCGTTGTGCTCGCTGAGGGTTATGCACCTTGACGTCTGCCAGGATAGGAATTTTTCTGCTACGATTTTCCTCGATATTTTTATTGCGCGATACTAATGGTATTTAGAATCTATTATGCTACTGTATTTAAACTATTTCTACTCTTATTCCATTTGGAAGGTCCAATACTAGTCAAAACTCATATTGTAGGGATATATACAACGCCCAATCATGCTAGGCCAGTCCATTCCATGAACGAATCCAACCGAAGAAACAGAAAAAATGTGTACAAAGCATCGCATCGTCAAGGAATCCTACGCAACATAGATACACGCAAGACCAACGCTTACAGACGGCTCTGCTGGGAATCCTGGCCCACCGGCTTTGCGGCGAAGGCGTTGAAGTACGCGTTGAGCGCATCCACCGTCCCGCTTCCCTCGGTCAGCTGCACGGTACAGGCAACGTGGCTGTCGGGGCGGACCACCACCACGCCACCCAGCTCGGGGTTCAGGCCGAGCTTCTCGTGGGCGGCGAACTGGGCCTGAGGGACACGGACATCCGGGATGTCGTCGGAGTAGAGGTGGTGGTGGTAGTCGCGGAGGATCTTGGGCACGGAGTCCACGTCCACCTGGTTCTTGTTGGCGGCGTAGATCACGCACAGGGTGAACAACTTCGAGTGGGGCTGGTGGCGCTCGAAGAAGGACACGTCGGCGAGGTCCGGTCTCCGGAATGTCGAGAGGAATGAGCGCTCCTTCTCCAGGTTGGCCGCCAGGTCGGTGATGGCCTTCTGGGTCCGGTTCTGGTTGCCGGCAAAGATGAAGATGCGGAAGGCACCGTTGGCGGGGATCTCCTGCTCCAGGGCCACGAAGTTGGAGTCCGCCAGGCGCGTGACCTTGCTCGGCGTGAACGCACGCCCGGGGGTCAGACGTGCCCCGGGGATGTCGAACAGGGGAGACTGGGCGGGATGGCTGGGGGACCAGGTGAAAACGCTGGGCTTGTAGGCCACACCGTAGCCACTTGTGAACTCGCAGGACGACTTGAAGGTCTTGACGAACTCGTCCTCCTCACCACCGTCCTTGATCACGGTGTGGCTGGCCGATCCGACCTCGCCGGCATTCGGGCGGCGCTTGGAGAACAGGGCCGCATACTTGGAGTCGAAGTCCAGCAGGGTCTCGGCAATGTCCTTGCGCTCGGTCTCGTATGTGCTCAGAATGGAGCGGTCGGCCATTCCGGACTCGACGATATGGAGCTTCCAGGCCATGTTCAGCGCGTCGTGGAAGGCCGTGTTCATCCCCTGGCCGGCCTTGGGGCTGTGGGTGTGGCAGGCATCACCGCCCATGAAGACCCGCTCATCCAGCGTGTACTTCTCCGAGATACCCTGCCCGATGGGGTAGACCGAGTACCATTCCACGCGGTCCCACTCGAGCCAGTAGGGCTTCAGGATCTTCTTGGCGGTGTCCTGGACCTGCTCGACGGTCGCCGTCTTTCTCGGGTGGAAGTCGGCGTCGGTGGAGGAGGCGATCTGGACGTAAAGACGGACCATATTGTCCTCACGGGGAATCACCATGATCGAGCCAGCATCGGAGTGGATGGTGCACTTGGTCTATGGAAACAACAGACGCGGGTCAGCTAAACGTTCATCCCATGTAGACAAAAGGAAGGAAGAAGGGCTTTACCTCGATATCAGGGAAATTGGTCCTCACAACACCGTCCATGACACCCCAGACGTAGGAGATGGGGTCCTTGTGGTGGATCTTGATACCCAACTTTTCCCGGACGAAACTGCGGGCCCCCTCACCACTGAAGAGGTACTTGGTGCGGACCGTCTCGGCGACGTTGGTGTCGATGCATTTCAGCTGCACCTCGACCGGGTAGGTCGCATCGGCGCCATCATTTTGGAAGTCGACGATGGTCCAGGGTCGCTCGACGGTGGTGCCGGCCTTCTCGATCTCCTCCAGGAAGACGCGCTCAATCTTGCCCTGATGTACCAGGGTCGTGAAAGGATACCTCGTATCGATAAAGCGCGGGCAGCTCGGCCAACTTCCCGTGCGATGGATTCCCTGTTCCCCGGGAAGGGGATCCCAAAAGGCGACATCATACACCTTGGCGGGGTGGTAGGCCATAATCTGACGCTTCAACCCCAGGTTGCGCAGGATTTCCGTCGACCGCGGCTGGATGCCATCGGCGCGACCCGTGGCCGTGGGTAGCGGGCGGTTATCGATATGCTTCACCTTGTATCCCCATCGTGACATGCAGAGGGAGAGTAGATTTCCGACAGGGCCGGCACCCACGACAACAATGTCGTAATTTTGTTGCGAATGGGCCATTGCGCTGGCAGGACTGCGATCACACACGGACGCTTCTCGTTGGTCGACACTGATGTCACCGCTTCGGTAGTCTCGTATAGGTGGGGGTGAGATGATCGACACAAAGGCGGCTGGAGATGTGGTTTTTTAAGAGCGGATTCAAATCCTAGTCAAGGCACGCTCGTGGGAGGTATCAACCAGATGAATGAAAAAAGAAAGTAGTAGATACTGAAATAGAAAAAGAAAAAGAGAGAATCCATGGGGACGAAAGGAGCTTCATATATGGTGAGCATGATTGGAGGTGTAAGATGACGAGCTGAGCGGAGGGACCACCACGGCATTCATAGTCGGCTGGATGATACGGGGGGGGTTAGAGAGAGTGTGTAATGGTATAGGTTCGTCAGGAGTACCTTAGCTAGTGCTCTGGTAATACCAAGTTACCGACCAAAGCACGATGTGGGGGGAAGAAAAGGCGAATGAATGCCGGGGTCCTTTCCGAGCGGTGCTGGACATACTGGGCTTCAAAGCGGCTAAAGATTCGGTAGTGTGGAGTGGCCCCACGTGATCGGGCCCCCGGTCGGCATCATCGCCGGGTGTTTTTCCACCTTCTATACCAATCAGTACATGAGATCAGAATGGAGACTTACACCCTCCTGTTCCAATCAGGTTTCTTCACGGATCATGGTATGTACGGATTGTATCGATTTATTTACGATCTACGCCCATGGCTTTACAGTATATAATACCAACTAATGGGTGCGTATAGATGGAGTAGTTGCTTTGAGATAAGCATGTCGACGACGGAGTACAGTAGCAAGAACAAATCAACAGGATAAAGGATCCTGAACTGTCCAATGCAATTCAATACAACATCCAATGCTCTATGGCTGTGACTGAGCTTCCCCCAGCCCTAGACTCCAGCGATCCCGGTAAGGCATCCGAACCAACGACATTATAGTCTTCAGGAACCGTCTCGACTGCCCTGGTGGCTGTCAATACCCGACGGCCAATGATCGTGCATGCATCGGTCCATCGGTGGATTGCCTTTGGTTTCAGTTCTACTTCTTAGGCCTATCGCGGCTCGCCTCGCGCCCTGATAATGTTCATCCCGCGGGTAGTCTGATTCGGCTGTTCCTTCCGTTTGGTGCCTGAGGATTTGCCCTGCCATGTCGCATCCCGATTGCTGGCCCGACTCATCTCCGGTCATGTCTACCGCTTCAAGTGCCTTTGATTTCCCAGTCAACATGCCTACCATATCCCATATGGATTGTCTCCCAAGCTTATCAGCTAGCAAGGAACAATGGCGGTTAATGACCATCCGAGGCAGAGAGTTCATCAGTTGATGGAGACCCCACGGCATCAGCGGCGGCATCCCGAGTTTTCGGGAAAGGGCCCCATGGAAGAGCGTGCTCGATACCTATCCCCGAATCCCCGTTGGGTAGGTCTTCTAGCTCCGTGGGTCTTGACAATTATTTTCCTGGGGTTTTATATCATGATCCCAGACTAGATCAGGTATCTTTGGATCATAAACCCACCGCGGGAAGCTCCCGATCTAAACAGAAAACGCATCCATTTTATACAGCACCCTTCTTCAACTAGTCTGCAAAATATCTATTGAATGATCAAGACGTAGAACCAGTGGGACCATGGTATTGACAAGGAAAAACCGAAAGATATAGCAATTACGAAATCATATCGGGTTGGCCTCTTCGAGTGGGCGAATTGATGAAGGGCAAGCTACATGCCAAATCCAGTAAGGTGCGGGGAAAGAACATCATCAGCGCAGCAGAATAATCGACCACAACCGCGCCCCACACCCATGATCCTTGTTCGCGACGAAGACGAAGATGATACCACAGGAAGATGAAATCCATGATTCAAGAACATGTGCACATGGGGCCTCCGAGACACTAGAGATGCATTCCATCGCACAGTACCCCCCGCCACTATCAGAAGATCACCTTCTATCGCTATCCATCCAGATTCAAGACTGGCTGCTCAACCATGGCTCCCTGATCAAGGACATCAACACTCAGACCGTCCACAGTGTCCAGTCGCACCCGATCGGTGTCACCCTCTTTCCGACACTATTTCCTCGGCAACGGTTTCAACAGGCCCTAGAATTGCAGTCTATCTACAACGAGCTCTACTGTGCCGTGGCTGAAGATGAACAGTGGATTTTGAGCGCGATTGAGGATCTTCTACCCATCGACCCGCTCGCTGTGGCGCTCTGGAAAATTCACCAAGAGGTGAAGCAACTGGGAGGATACGTCCAGCCGATCAGTGCCGGCATATTCCGCTCTGATTATATGCTTCAAGATGAAAACACAGACACCAATGGCGAACCGTCCAGCATACCACACGGGTCACTTAAACAAGTCGAGTTCAATACATTCTCGTGCGCCGGGGCTTCCCATGCCAACAAAATCGTAGACATGCACAGACACCTTGCAAGAGCCGGCGTTTACAACGCCAACAGCACTCCGAGCGAAGACGACACAGACAGCAGCCAGCTCATAGTTCCCTCCAATCTCCCACGCAACCGTAACATCGAGACTCTAGCAGCCGGGCTAGCCTCCGCCCACGCAGCCTACGGCCCACCGAAAAGCAAAGTCACAAGCAAAACAGCAGTTCTAATCGTCATCCAAGACCAAGTATTCAACTTCAACGTGGCCGACGAACGGCCTATCGAGTACGCCCTCTGGGACCAAGACCCGCCAGTCCCAACCTACCGGCTCAACTTCGGCGACGACACCCTCGAAGACACGTCCCTCACAGCCACAGGAGAACTCCTCTTCCACCCCCCGTGGCTCAACTCCACGACCCCCATCGAGATCTCCGTCGTCTACATGCGCGCCGGCTACGAAGCCCACGAGTACGACAAGGTCGGCATTCGCGCTCGCCTGCGTCTCGAACGCTCCCGCGCCATTAAATGTCCTTCGCTCCTCGCCCACATCGCAACCTTTAAGAAAGTCCAGTACGCGCTCACCCGCCCTGGCACCCTAGAGCACTTCCTCACTCCCGAGAAAGCCGCCGCCGTCCGCGCCACCTTCGTTCCGATGTACCCTATGGACGAGTCGCCTGCGGGCCAGGAAGCCCGCAAGCTCGCGACAGACCCGGTGCTCGCGGAGGACTACGTGCTGAAGCCCTCCCTCGAGGGAGGCGGGCATAATGTCTACGGCGATGCGATCCCGGACTTCCTAGCCTCCCAGCCGCCGTCGAAATGGGGCGCGTATATCCTGATGAAGCGCATTCCGTCGCCGTTCGCGGCCAATATGTTGATGTCGTCTGTTGGGATGAACTCGGGCGGGGTGATCTCGGAATTGGGGGTGTTTGGATCGTGTCTGTGGCGGACGGGTGGAGATGGCCGGCCGTGCGAGATGTTGGAGAATTCGCTGGCTGGGTGGTCATTTAAGACGAAACATCAGTATACTGAGGAGATAAGCGTGGTTAAGGGGTATGGGTGTTTTGATACGCCTTTGTTAGTTTAAGCAAATATATGCATTGCTTATATCTTTCGTCGCATAGCCTGAGGGTCCTTCTACTTGTTTTACAGATGGGATCAAATCATGGTTTTGGTGCAACTCTATAGAAAGGGAATACATGGCCCGAATACCAATAGACATAAAACAGGGACAATAGGAGCCATTGCGAGTACTGCCTCTATTGAATAGTATTGTTGAAATGCCTTGCGATACACCGGATGACTGTCAGTAGAAAGGACAGGGACAGTGAGGTAAAAACATAAAATAGAAAAAAATGAGAACTCACAATATCAATAAAAATTAAACAAGAACATCTTGACAATAACACTGTCTCCATTGACCCATTGTCGTCAACAGCCTGGAGAATAGAATAGAATAGTCTGATCAATAGTATTCACCAGCGCAGAAGTATGTGCTCAACACCCTACAGTTATTGTCGCTTGAATAGAGTCTGTTCTGCACTGGGCTATTGTAACAGGGTTATTGTCCAAATCGGGGCTCTATACATCTCAATAAACAATGGAGATTCAACAGGATTGAATAGAAGAATAGAAGGATAACTCGAGATGGATGCATCTTCTATATCTTATTCTTCTTAGCTATATCATTCTTTTTGTTTCTTCGCTATACCTCTTTCTTTTGTCTACAACGTTGCAACTCTACTTGATTCTACATTCCTAGTCTTTGATCACAAATAGTCTTCAGTACCTTGATCTACCAAATCTCATTGCTCAATCGATTCAAACGTCTTGATACGAGATGGACGACCACACTTTCGAAGTCCCCATCATGCTGAGCGCAGAGTAAGACCTTCAAACTCTCTTGGGCTTCACGATACTAACCGAAACAAGGAATCTCACGTACAAGGATATTTCGAAGCTCAACCCCTTTTACGACGACTACAGAACTCTCTGGAACGCGTCTCCAGAGGCGCCCGCCAGCGCAGCCTCCTCCAACACTTCCTCAAGAAGCTCATCGCTGCGTTCCGTCCGTTCTCGCATCGAGTCATACTCGTACTCTCCGGAATTGGAGACTCCGCCTCTGCGCATCCGAGCTGGTGCTCGATCCACGGCGCCAAAGGCACCGGGCCTGGTTCTCCAAAATGGAAACCAGTACAAGCCGACGTACGACTCGCATCATAGGCCCACTCAGAGCCATGTTGCGGTCGTGGACTTTAATCTTGATAAGCCGCTGCCTCCTATTGATGAGACGAGGCTCTGCGAGGAAGATCTGCTGGCTCTTGACCTTGTGGATAGCTCGGTGAAGCAAAGGTTTTCTTCGCATAAGAAGCTCTTCGGGGTAGATGGCTGGCTTGGGGATCTGAGAGATGAGCCTGTTCAGAAGCTCAAATTCAAGACCTTTAGGGATTTGGGGAAGAAGATCAAGGACCATGTTGAAGAGATTGTAAGTTCTTTTTCGCCCTCGGAGGTACTCTCGCATACTTATATTGAACGCAGGCTGGAGATGTCAGGAATTACCCGAAGCAGTTCAACTTTCACCACGACACTCAGCGCATGACCATTGTGCCAAAGCCCAGCATTCCCATTTCACTGGATCCTCTCACACAAGCCAAACTGTACTCGGACCTAGAGGTCATCGTTTGTGTCAGTGCCAACCGGTTTCTAGTGGAGCAGTACAACGACGATCGTCTCTCGAAGGAATCGATCAAGAAGACCATCAACTTCTGGTACTCCAAGAACAGACCGCAGGTAGCTGAGTTCCAGTTCGACCAATCCACCCAGCGCCGTCTGATCATGCTCAACATATGTACCCTTCAGTTCCACGGGGAGAGCACTGCTAACCCGGTCCTCACCCACTCCAACCTGCACAACTGGAAGGCAATCGTCAAGGAGATGAGCGTCCGCACGTTCTGCTCCCCCGACAGTGTGATTCGCAAGCACATGCACGACATCCATAAGCTTCTCAATATGCTGGGAGCACCCGTAGCTACCTTTCTCGCCTTTGAGGATTTGCAGATGGAGACGCTTCTGTTGATGAAGCAGCGTTTGAGCGAGAAAAATCATGCGAAGCATGGGGGCAATACACTGGTTTGACTGCCGCTGCTTGAGACCCCTGTTGTTTGAAAGTGATATCGTCCTCTGGACTGAGCGCGGGGCGCCATCCTCCGTGACGCGAGATACCCTACAAATCATTCATGTTGTTCTTAGGGCTCCATAAGCCTACTAGCGAATTCTTTAGCCTGGTACTAGCGAGTTGTTGAGCTTTGATTTTTTATCGTGCGGGATGACCAGTGGTTTCGTTCACGTGTATTTGAACAATAAAATAAATTAATCAATCAAATCTTACGATTATAAAATCAGACAGGGTTTAACAATATGACCCTCCCGACGTGACCATCTATCCATAAGACGAGCTTATATAGTTGGGAAGAATGAAGCGCGACGTTTGTTTATTTTTCTGTTGTATGGAGAAGCCAAGGCACGTGGGGCGACGTCATAGGCCCGCGCGGATTCACAAGAGAGGGAAAAAAAACAACAACTCATCGTGTCCACCTCAACACCATGGGATCCATCCTGGTTGATGATCCTGTCCCGAGGCAGGACTTTCTTCCTTCTTATTTCGGTTATGATCTGTTGCTGCCTTCCCAACGATTCCGTGCTTTTGAGAAGCGCTGACCGCTGTGTGTTCTGCTCCCTTGCTGTGAGGCCTCTAGTGCCATTGCAATAACTAACTACTAATTATCCCTTCTCTCGCTATGACAGTCTGACCCTGGTTATCCCCGCTGTAGCCCTGTCGCACAGAGCTTTTAGCAGCGGTTTTATTATCTTGACCCACAGTACCGTTACCGTTCACGATGGCTGGTCCTATCCATACCTATGGCCCGACGTGCCTTTTACGCGAAGATGACCCGGAGCCGTCCGCATGGTATGCGCTGGACACGCCGCCCAAAGTTCGTGCTCAATTCTTCTATAATTCGTCGTTACCCATCGATGATCCCTTGAGTTCGCTTCCTCCGCCAGCGGCCGATCCCGAGGATGAAGACGGGCCACCCCAGCCCTTCTCGGTCAAGGACAATATCGCGCTGGAGGAAGCTTGGTTGTCCGCGCACGAGGCGGCAAAGCAGAAGGCATCTGGAAAGGCAGAGTATCAGGAGAGTTCACAATCAAAAAGAAACTCCGTGCTGTCGATACCAGAGCAAAATCCAGTCTTAGGGGCCGGGCACAACAAGCCTGCCAAAGACCTCGCGGGTAGCCTGGTCGGGAATCGACGAAGCTCAACAAGCGCTCCCGCGCGCTCTCTGGACTATGACGCGCCAATCAGACCTCGCACCCATCAAGGGACAGGTAGTGTCGAGTCGGGATCCGGGCAATACTTGGAAGGCTTACACACTCGCGCTTCATTGGACAGAAACGTAGGAGAAAGAGATAAGGCCGGCAATATCAATCCTCCCAAGAGAGATAACTCTCCGACTGGTAACCGTCATGCCAATAGGCGCCGTGTTAGTCAGTCCCCGAAAAGTGACGATACGGCGATCGAAGTTCCCGAGAGCTCCAGTCCTCGCGGCTACAGATCTCGCGAGGCGAGCATCAGTGGTTCCCCGTTTGCAAGGACTGGGTTTACTCAACCCCAGAGTCCATTAGGACGCTCCGTTGAATCTGCTTCGTCCAAGGATGATGTCCAGGCGCCCCGTAGCGAGCAACACACTAGAAGTCATAGTCACTCGGCTCCTAAACCGTCAGGACTCAGGACGAGTGTTCACCTTGAACGGTCTCCAGATGAGCCTTTGGAGGAGGAGGAGGAGGAAGGGCCCAGTGAGAGCCAGATCCCTCAATTCCAGATTCCTGTGGGTGTTTCTCGACTTCACCTAGTGGAGCTTCCAGATTTAAAGGTACCGTATGGCATGTGCTGCACTTCCCGTGCACAGACCCTATCACAGGCAAGATCTAATGTCTACAGATGAAACCAATATATTGGCGTCCTCTTCACGATATATCGAACGTCGTCCGATCTACGTGGTTCTACAAGAATACCATGTTACCTGTGGAGACCGAGCTTGCCAACAAGCTGGAGGACGGATATGTCTACCTAAAGCCGTGGACGGAGACGTGGCAAGATGAACTCAACAGCTGTGTTGAAAATGGGGCGGATGCTGAGATGAAGGTTATGCATCGATTATGGCCAAAGGACATCACCCGACCGCAGAGCAGGGCCACGTCTTCTCCCGAGCCCGGAGAATCGGGTTCTGCAGCTAGCGTGACGGATGCGGAGCACAGCATAGAGGTTGCGCTCCTTGATGAAAATCGCGCCGCTGGCGGCACAACGCTACACACTTCGGACACGAACCCTTATATCAACTCGAGTGTCATCTACGTTGGCGGAATTCATGCTCAGATTCTCCGTCCGAGTTTACTCCCATCGGCATCCAGGGGCCGGAGACCTCTCAGCGCAATCCGCAAAGGGCGGCAGATTGGTATCCCAGTGGTTCGTGGCTTCAGTCGCAAATTATGGGACCATCTGCATCCATCCAAGCCTAGCCCTGTGGATGTCCGGAACTATCTCCGGGGTACCCAATCTCGCTCCATGCCCAGAACATCCGGGCGACCAGTTTGCTACTCCTGTGCGATAGAGGAGTCGCGGCCGAACCCGACCGACTTGGTGCTCGTTATTCACGGTATCGGACAGAAGCTCTCAGAGCGCATGGAGAGCTTTCACTTCACGCATGCTATCAACGCCTTCCGCAGAGAAATCAACATGGAACTGAACAGCGAGCCAGTCTGGCCACATGTGCGCCCAGGTCACGGCGGCATCATGGTCCTGCCTGTCAATTGGCGTTCGACTCTATCTTTAGAAGACGCCAGCCTGGAAGCTCATAACGTTGAGGATCCGACTGCCAATCATTTCACGTTGAAAGACATCACCCCGGAGACGATTCCCGCCGTCAGGTCTTTAATCAGCGACGTGATGCTCGATATTCCATATTATCTCTCCCATCACAAACCCAAGATGATACAAGCGGTCGTCAAGGAGGCGAATCGCATATATCGTCTTTGGTGCAACAATAATCCCGGGTTCCAGGAGCATGGTAGAATTCATTTGCTTGCGCATTCCCTCGGGAGCGTGATGGCGATGGACATTCTGAGCAACCAGCCTACCAAAATCCCCCACTTTGATTTCTCCCAACCTGACATCCGCAGTGACATTTTCGAGTTTGATACAAAGAATTTGTTCCTCTGCGGCAGTCCCGCTGGATTCTTCCTCCTGCTGAACAAAGGTACACTTCGCAGCCCCGGCACTCCCTTCAATACTCGAGCTAACAGTGAATACAGCAAACTTAATGCCCCGACGAGGCAGAGACAAGCCCGGCAGTGAAGGAGAAGACCTGTTCCGCGGAGTCGCAGGCGAAGCGAACAAATACGGGTGTCTCGCCGTAGACAACATCTACAACATCATGCACACAACCGACCGTACGCAACCCACCCACCGCCATCTCCCCCCCAAATCCCACCTCAACTAACTAAACCCCCACAGCAATCGCCTACCGCATCAACGGCACAGTCGACAACGACCTAGCCCATACCCTCCGCCCAGCAACCATCCCCAGCGCCACCTCCTCCTTCTGGGCCTCCCTCGGCAGCGTCTTCCGCTGGAGCACCCCCTCCTCCCCCTTCCACACCTCCAGCTCCACCAACCCCGCCCGCCCCGGCGCCCTCCGCAAAATGCCCACCACCGTCGAAATGGAGACCCACGATTTCACCCGCGAGGACATCGCCGAGCAGCGCATGCTCCTCCTCAACGACAACGGCCAAATCGACTACTTCCTCTCCGGCGGCGGCGGGCCCCTCAACATCCAGTATCTGAATATGCTGAGCGCGCATAGCAGCTACTGGACGCTGACGGATTTCGTCCGCTTCGTCGTTATTGAGATTGCGAGGAAGCAGGGCAGGGAGTATGCTTTGCCGGCGTTTGCGGCGGTGAAGAAGGGCGGGTGGAAGATTCATAGGGGTTGGGGTGGTTGATTTTTTTTTTTTTCCGATTTTTTTCTCTATCTGTGTTTCTATCTATCTCATGCGTATTTACACGTGCGCTCACTCTCTCTCTCAGACATGTACTCCTCTCTCTCTCTCTTTTGACATGGCATGTCGCAGGTTTGGTGCTCGGTGTTTGATAGCACTAGTTAAAAGTCTCTGTTCTATCTAATATGCGCGTTGTGATATTGTCAAAATGCTGTTGTATGGATATTTTTTCGACATTTATGGCCTGGGTTGTCAGGCTTGTAATGAGACTACACAATTTGATCTAGAACTTGGATCGTCACAGGAAGCCTGACCAATCTATCTGTATTGACATGATATAATACGATATAGACAGTAAATAGTGATATCTCCGTTCTCGATTCGCGCTGCGATCTCTTTACCAGGTCACATCTTTTCCCCCGCTTATTTCAATAACCAAGGGACCCAACTAGTCTCCCCAACCTAGATAGCATTATATAAAATCCACCACATTAACCACGTTATATGCCTATGCCCCCGACAAAACACCCCCCATCATCAAAGCCTGCACTAACCCGCCCTTCTCGATGCGCCCCTTCCCAGGAGGAAGCACCACCAACGCATTAGCGCTCGCAAAGCTGCCCACCCGCGAGCTGCGCTGTCCGACGCCGTCGAGTCCCGAGCTTGTCGCACGCAGCCGGCCGTCGGAGCGAGACGCTACCACGATGGCGCGGTGGTACTCTGTGCGTTTGGTGTCTAGCGGAAATGCATGCTCCAAGGTGACTGTTACGAGGGGTAAGCCGAGGGATGGGCGCGCGCTGGGATGGGAGGCCAGCCCGAGGAGCTTGTGGAGGGAGGGGAGTACGAAGAGGTTGAGGGTGACGAGTGCGGAGGCTGGGTTCCCTGGGAGGGAGAAGATGAGTTTGGTTTGGCGCTCTTGTTGCTGGCCTGCTTGAGCTGGGGCGGACGGTTTGAAGGGGACGGTTGCGAACGTGGTGGGTTTGCCTGGTTTCATGGACACGCGGCCGAAGTGGATGGTGCCACCGAGGGAGCGCTCGATGGTTGGTTTGAGGAGGTCGAGTTCGCCCATTGAGACGCCTCCGGTTGTGACGATTACATCGACGTTGGTTTTGGCTTTGCCGACTCCGCGAAGGGCGTCCCGGAGACTCTGCTCTAGCTCTGTTGCTGGGGTGTCGCGGGCGATGCCTAGGTCAACGGTTGGGAAACCCCATGAGGTGAGACAGGCGAGGAGGGATGGGCGGTTGGAGTCGCGGATTTGTCCTCCGTGGAGGGTGCGCGGGTCGTCGTGTTCGACTAGCTCGTCGCCGGTGCTGAGGACGCCTACGCAGGGTTTCTTGTAGACCTTCACGGTCTTTGTTCCGGTTGCTGCTAGAAGACCCAGTTCGCCCCCGACGGGCGTGATCGTGTCCCCTTTGCGCAGGATCCTCGATCCCAACGCGACGTCGCTGCCTGGCTCGCGGACGTTTTCGCCTGGTTTGATGTCGCCGGTGAGGATCTCGACGGTGGCCTCCTCTTGACCGTCTGGTGTCGAGGTTGCCAGAACGGTGTCTTCCACCATTGCCACGGCGTTGGCATTGGGTGGGAGGGGAGCCCCTGTGGTGATTCGGGCAATGGTACCCGGCTCGAGAGGCGACAAGGTCCCTCCTGGGTTAGCATGGGTGATAGAAGCGACGGGAAAGACACCCTTCGTGCTTCTTGAGCCCGTGTCCGGAGATGCAGGTGCGATTACGGCGTATCCGTCAACAATACTGGCTCGGTAGGCCGGTACTGCCTCTCCGGCGTAGATGTCCTCAGCAAGAACAGACCCCACTAACGCGGTGTTCACCGGGGCATCGACTACCACTGGATCGGGAGTCTGCTGGCTGATGGCCCGTAGAGCGTCGTCCACCGACAGCATCGGATAGGGCGACTCGCGGTATCTCCGGGTAGGGTCTGCATTGGGATCGTTCGACTGTGGGCGCTCGGACGGCGACGTATGCGCTTTCGGGATAGTATGCCCATGCCCATGTCCACAGGAGTGGTCATGGTGGCCATGATGGTGGTGGTGATGATGGTGATGACCATGTTGGGGATCTCCTCGATCAGCCGTTTTCTGACTATCCGAAGATACACCTGCGTCGGCTTCAAGCTTCTTTACACCGCCTGCGTGGAGGTTTCTTGAGTTTGCACCGGCTGCTTGCATACACGCGTGCGGGAGGAGCTTGAAGACCGCTTCGAGATTCTCCTTGGCACCCTTGGGCGATCCAGGAAGAGTGATAATCAACGATTTGTCTCGGACGCCTGCCACTGGCCGGGACATCATTGCAACTATTTGACTGGTGAGTGATCATAGGATAATCAGGTGCGGTGATCCCTACATGGAGTGACTTGCAAGGACGAGGCAATCATGCCATGCCTATTTTCTTGTCAGTCGTTGCTCAACCATCGTGGAGAGCAGCAGAGCATGCAACTCACACTAATCCAGGCGCATGGCGATGAATGAGAGGCGATACAGCCTGTCCCAGTAATCAGTCAGATACATAGGGCTCCATCTTCCAGCATTAGACCACGAACCTCGGGTGTATTGTCCTTGACTGCAAACCCTGTCCCCCCGCTGAGCAGAATCAGATTGACCCTATTCGGGCCATCAGCCCAGTCACAGACGGTACGCTGGATATCCAGCACATCATCTGGGACGATCTTGACAAGCGGTCGTTCCCAGTTGGATCCCTCGGCTGTAAAGAAGGGCGTGAGAGTGTCCACCACTTTATCCGTGGATGGATCCTGGGAAGCCGTGTCTGAGACGACTAGAATTGCTGCTTTCAGGGAGTTACTATCTGACATTCTGTATATTGTTGGGCAATGGATGAGTGGTTGAGGGGGAGGTGAAGAGGGAGGAGAGTTGGGCTTATCGGAAGTGGGGTCCAAGTAAATATACTATCGGGTTACTTGCTCCGCGGAACTGCCCGATCTATATATCTCGGTCTACACAACAAAATGCAATTTGATATTACACTTGGAAATCTATTATGTCGGCAACAAAGAAAACATGGAGAAAAGCACTTTCGAAAGCTATGATCCTTTTCCCTATCCTCCATCAACCTAAGATACGGAAGCCCTTCGAAAGTCCATAAGCTTTGATCATTTCATTCCATATCTGAAATTGCCAGTTGGAATAGGCAAGCGTAGAGACCCAACGGCGGGGTATTCACGCCGGAACATGACCTGATCGTTCTTGTCGATCCCCAGAGGTCAATGCGATGTACAAGAAGAGACAACACTGGCACGGCCACACGCAATCCCATCGCCGATACCCTATCGCATGCCATCAACACCATCTGGTCTATCACCGCCAATTTAGGGGGATAGCCAGTAACGCACCCAAACGACCCTACAGTCAAATCGGACCCATACGCCTCAATGCGGTATATAAGAGGAGAAAAAGAACAGATAATAAGTCATACAAATGGTTTCTTCCGGCACCATGACGTCTTCTTCCGGAGAAGACATGCTCTCCGCTGTTTAAGCTCCAAAATCGGTCGCCTTTCCTCCGATCAAAAGTCCCACGATCAGGCCGAATAGACCGAGGACGGAGCTGAAGATCTCGATGACCAGGATCTTGACGAACCTATAGACCGAGTCGTTAGCTTCATGCACATCAAAGTTCGAATTAACGTGGATGGAGGACGAACAGGCTGGGGTCGGCGGCATCGGCAAGGGCCGCACCACTTCCGTTGATACCGACAGAGATACCGCAGATCAAGTTACATGCGCCGACGGTGATCCCGCCCCAGAAAAGAGCATATCCCGTATAGTAGCTGCTTCCCGACAGGATCTCATCATTGTCGACCAGGTTGAGCTTGGACGAGAACACGATCGCCATGATCACACCGTAGATAGCGACGACCTCACAGAAGATAATCGAAATCAGGTTCTTCGTTCGAATCCGGGGCGCCTTGACGCCTCCGCCGACGATCGAGGAGCCTGTCAGGAAGATACCCCTGAAGCACCGACTGTTAGTGACCGGACAGACACGACAATGCAAGAATGCCCATACCATGCGGCGCCCACTACCGACAAGCCAATACACATCGCAATACCAATGGTCGCCCAGGCGTAGGGAGACACCGACTCGAGGAAATGGCCGACCTAAAACACCGGTCAGTCAATACGGGGATTCCGATCGGACATGGAACGAGCTCGGACGATCGGGGTCGTACATTAAACTGTTCACCATCCCCATGGAATAGCATATCTACCAGCGAGCCTCATCAGTATCTCCTCCCCATCCAATTTGTCCACGGGGGTTCACTTACAGCCTCCGATCACCAGGAGTGACACGGTTGCAGCACCGCCGGAATACGCGAGAACCATGATGACTGCCACTCGTCGCCGGAGCTAGACAACCGACAAGATCAAACAGTAGGAGAAAGTAATCCTCAAGACACTCGGCGAAGTCACGAGGGACTGAGGGAAGTAGAACCGAGGAAGCTCTTCAGACGGGAATCAGCTGCTTTTCCTTGATAATCCCAGCCGCCGCTTCTTGATTATGGCGTTTGAGCTGGTCGGGTCGGAGTTTCATCCGCCCGGGCGGCAGGCGGTGGCAGTAAATCCCCGGACCTTTGGGATCCTTTTGATCCTTAACTATGATCCCGTTTGATCCATGGGTCTAACCAGAGTCCTCGTCAGTCCATTATTCGAACCAACTACTCCCTTCTATCCTCCCCAGTCGCATATCTCTCTCCCGCCCACTCCTCCTCTTTCTTTCCTACCCTATTGAATTGTTTCTTCCTTCCTTCCTTGCTTTTATATACCCCTGAGCTCGCAATTCAGCTGGCTCTTGTTTTCGTCGGGTAGATTATTTATTTTCCTCCTTCCCCGCTACCCCTGATTCTACCTCCCCCTCAGTCACCTTATCGTCATGGCATCCGCATCTGGGGTTGGGTCGTATTCGAACCCCCTGAAGAAGTTCAAGTATGGCCTTTCTATGTCTATTATGTCTTGCTTATGGAGCTTGGTTTACTGATCAATCACAGGTTGGTGTTTTTGGGAGAGCAGAGCGGTATGGTTCACCGCTCCGTGCGGAATACCCGGTCCCCCGCTTGATTGCTAACCCAGGGGTGGATAGTTGGGAAAACCTCCCTGATCACACGGTTCATGTACGACTCGTTTGACAACACCTACCAAGCGACCATCGGGATCGACTTTTTGTCCAAGGTATATACGATTCTCCCCGGCCTCGGTCCCTTGTACCCGTCCCGCGGTCACTCCAGTTGGCCACCGGGATGGTTGGATCCCACCCGTCAGTCCATTCAGCTAATGTCGTCGTGTTGATGTAGACCATGTACCTTGAAGACCGTACCGTCCGACTCCAACTTTGGGACACTGCTGGCCAGGAGCGTTTCCGATCCCTCATTCCTTCCTACATCCGAGACTCGAGCGTCGCCGTGGTCGTCTACGATATTTCGAACGCCAAATCCTTCCAAAACACCCGAAAGTGGATCGATGATGTGCGAGGGGAGCGTGGGAACGACGTGATCATTGTCCTGGTCGGCAACAAGACCGATCTGAACGACAAGCGCGAGGTCACGACCGCCCAGGGTGAGGAAGAGGCCAAGAAGAACGGGTTGATGTTTATCGAGACTAGCGCCAAGGTGGGCCACAACGTGAAGCAGCTGTTCCGGCGGATCGCCCAAGCGCTGCCCGGAATGGAGGGTGAAGGAAACCGGGGAGAAACCCAGGGTTGGTCTACACAGGTCCTAAGTTTCAGGAGGTTACTAACCGGTTGGACACAGTGTTCGATGTCAACGTCACGCCGAAAGAGACCACGAGCAATGATGGATGCGCCTGCTAAACGCTATAATCGATGTCTAATTTCTTTTCCTCCATACCCGGTCCTCGCGCGCACCCGCGGTTCGCCCTGTTGACCGGCAAGCCCAATGATGATGGTTGATTGGGATTGTCTATAATTGCGCTGTCGTTCTTCCGATGTACATTTTCCCTTTTCTTTTCTTATTATTGATTTCCTCTTTTCTCGTTATCCTGGTTGGGCGAATAGCGTGTCTAGATGAAAGTCTCATGAAAGCCTTTGTTTTTCTGTTCTTCCTTTTCATACGGTGGTCTCTCTTCTTGTTGCTTCGCTTGGGCGCATGTGGACCACTGGCTGCAATCTGGCTTGTAACAAAGATGTTTGATTATGTTCGTGATGATCCACAGGTCTTTTTGAGGGTACGTCTGGTCATATGTTGCATGTTTGCGTCATTATGAGTGTATACCCACGAGTCTATCTTCCACGTATCGGTCTCCAGCCGTGCAGTATAGTTGGGGTATGGTGTCTGCCTAGTAGTGAATCGCTCCGAGCGAGACTTGGAGTAGGTTGTAAAAATGACGGGAGGAGCCGTCATGAATAGCTCATTTACCTATCGTCGGGAGATCCGAATACATACTACGGAGTAGTCAGATGAAGACTAGTATTGATTATACTCATCCTCGGTACAGATTTATGACAGAGGGATAAATCCACTATACAGTCGATCGGGAGACCTTCTGTGCCGGGCCGACTTAGTAAGCTGACCCGCCTGAGTTATACATACCTAATTCGATTTAATTCGACATAATTAACTTGAGGGAAGCTCATTTCCAAGTCATCATAGAGAAAAAAAGGGAAGGATCTGCAGGCGGATCGACCGGGAAAAGCCTTTCGTCCCCTTAATTATGAGTCTTCCATTTTTAACATACCTTACTAGGCTACTAAGTACTAACTACTAGTTTAATGATTGTTGTACCACCAGGCTCCCAGCCCAGCTCTCTCTAAGCCTCCTCGTTTTTATCCTTCCATTCCTTTTCCTCTTTCCCTTATCCATCCCCTCCCCCCATACCTCACCCCCCCCCATCACATCGAGAATTCTTTTCAACTCTATATCACCGACGCCCCATCGGCGATATCGTATTTAATCATGGGCTTACTATCAACCCGTTTCCTCCGCATCCCGCGGCCAACGGTATGTTCCGGAGAATATCTTCCCCCGGTCGCTTATGGTAACTAACCCATGATGTGCCCTGACCTCACAGACATTCCTTTATGTGATGAGTCTCCGGACCGGCGCTTCTCTCATCACTTTGTCCCTCCTTCTCAATAAGATCAGTGGGCTCTATGGCCTTCTCGCCCTCCTGACCGGCTACCACCTCTCCCCCGTCCAACTGTCCATGTACCTGTATTCCCTTGTCGCTCTCGGTCTCGCCGCGCTCCTCTTCCCCCATATCCGGAAACAGACCCCCCTGCAATGTCTGGCCCTCGCGTGGCTGTACGTGTTCGACAGCGTCATCAACGCCGCCTACACCGCGGCCTTTGGCGTGACCTGGTTCTTGGTGATCTCCCAGCACTACGACAGCGACGCGGCATCCGGCCCCGGCAGCGAGACGATCGAACAGACGGCCGGCTTCACCAATCCCAAGTACGACACGTCCGACTACAGTTCCAACGATCACGAGGCGAGATCCGCGCTGGATGATGGGCTGAGCAATGCCGTGTCCCAGCCCGAGAGCTTCCAAAGCATCGTCTGCATCTGTTTGCTGTGGATCGTCCGCGCTTACTTCGTGTTTGTCATGCTGGCGTTCGCCCGCCAAGCTTTGCGCCGTTACATGGCGGTACCTCGCCACACCCAGCTGCCCACCCATAGCCGCAGCACCTCCATGGCCAGCGTCGCCAGCGTGGCCGACATCGACCGCGAGCCGTTCTCCCCCTTCAGCCCCGAAGGCCAAGGCTGGAAGGGTAAACTGGGTCGCGCCATGATCGGCGTCGGTCGCAATTACTGGCTGGGCGAAGACGAGGATAACAGCAGCTGGATGAACGTGGTCGGCCCCCGGCTCCAGCCCCGGGGCGAGCCCGATAGCGGGCTTCTCCCCGGTCCCCTCGAGCGGGAGCGGCGCCGTCGATCTGGGACCGGGCCTCCGCAGCCCTCCCAGTCCGCTGTCCAGGCGGCCGCCTTGCAACAGCCCATCTACGAGCAACCTCCGCCCTGCATCAACGTCAAGATGCACGACTGGAACGACCCGCGGTAATTCGTCGGGACTGCATGTCTGGATGCTCGGTGTGCGATCCGATCATCCAACGTTGTATTCGTATCGCCTCCGTTCCCCTAGGACGTTCTTCAATTTCTGGAAGATATCGCAGACCGGTTGGTCTGACTTTTCTCCGTCTAATATTCCCCCCCCACCTCCTTTTCTTTTCCCCTCGGTACAGAGAGGGGAACTGCTCTCCCGTCCCTTCGCTTGCACATGATGTTATTGGGTCGTATTTCTCTTGTTTCTATATATGCCGCAATGACCTACATACCCTAGTTGGGCCATCAGGTGGAGCGGTTCCAGAGATCTCGTGGTCTCTGGCAACCTCTCCGCTGTTCTCTTCAGATTTCATTATTGGGAAAGGCGTTGGTTTTTTTTGAGGGGCCACGGGGACGTCTTTTTGTTGGCGGAGAGGTCCGGCTTGGGCAGGGCACCTGGGAATTCTTGTAGGCTCCCGGACGCCCTTGAAGTCCTAAGGCATGACCCGGGCGTCTGGGGGGGCCTTGTATATTGTTGATCAAGATAAGGGTTTTGCCGTGTCTGTTGGTTCACTGGCGTTTTGGGATACTACCATAATAGGGATTGCATATTGCTGTACCCTGTCATCAGATAAGATATACATATTGATTCTTTCTTGACCTGAATTAATATTTCTGTTCACTCCGTCTTCTCGATGTCCCTGACTCTACTTATACTACTCCAGTTCTCGCCCGAGAGTCCAGACTCACGGGCTTTGGTGGCATAAACCGAACTGAGTCAGCTATGCGAGCAAACGCCGTTCCGCCCGGCAGAATAAAACTGACGTGCTCAGACAGGAGTCACGGGACTGGCGGGCTAAACCCGAATAGGCAGGTTTGCACCCCGCAGCCGCCCTGGTTTGCATCGATGTCGTGATCGTCCTCCAATGAAAACGTTGCTGATCCAAGCCCGAAGGCGGAGAATCACCGGTTGGAAGTATAACTATAGCTTGTATGAAAAAATAAAATAGCATTTATATTTTTAACAGGAACGAAGAGGGAGAGATTTAGATGACTCCTTGATTTTGCTCTTTTCCACTTCCCCCCCCCCCCTATCCCTCTCATCCATCATCTATCCTCCCCTTCTCATCTGAGTTGTTGCTTATCAGTGGGGAGTCACCGTGCATGGTGATATCCGATTTCGATTGACTTTTCCGTCCTTCCCCTCCCCCACCTTGCGCTGAGAAGTGCTTCTCGCTAGTCGCAATATGGCGCCCATTCAATCCGCTGGGGAAGCTGGTTAGTCTCCATGTTTCGTGTTGGTCATCCCTTATTGATTACTGACGGTTTCACTGTCTAGTGGCCAGAATCGCCTATCTTTCGAGCGATGTCGTTCTGTCAGTGCAGCCCTCCCTGCAGGGCGATTCGTGGTTCTCGAAGCCCCTCAAGGCCTTGAAGGCCAGCCAGACCCGCGGCATTTTGCCCAAAGGTGTCCCCGAGGTGAGTGTCAATGTGGGATTGGTATAGTGGGAAGATCGAGATCGGCGGAAACTGACCATGTGACTCGACTCAGGTCGTCCCCGTGCGTTTCAACGAGGACCCTCTCCTCTCTGCCTTCCATCCGTTGCAGGCGGGCAATGCCGTCTCCGTCACCACGAGCTCCTCGGTTCTCCTCGCCTCCGTCCCCCACCTGTACCGGCTGGCCAACTCGCCTGTCGTGATCCACGTGGCGTTGGAGCCCTATCCCTTCCCGGATTATTCCGTGATCAGCTCCATCCGCCAGTGTGGTTTCTCCTTCCTCCACTCGGAGACCATCCAGGAAGCGCAGGATATTGCGTTGACCGCCCATGCTCTGGCCCGCAAGTCCGGCAAGGGTGTCATCCACTTCTTCGATCCGGCTAATTCCGTGCGCGATGAGCCCATTGCGGAGGAGAATGTCGATATCGTCCGGACCCTGTTGACCCTTGGTGGCAACGCTGCGGTCCACTCGGACGGCTCTGGTGTCCAAACTTTGTACACGGACAACGGCCGTGAGGCCACCGTGTCCGAGGAAGTCTCGGCGAACACCGCGACGGAGCAGACCGAGGCCCCGGCTCCGCTGGCGCAGCCGTCTCAGACCCCGTCCAGCGTGAGCGTCGATGCGTCCTCGGTGGGCTCTTCGAAGCGGGACAGCAGCACAGACAGCCGTGCCCCTAGCTCGGTTGCCACGACCGTTGAGGCTTCCGCTCTGCGTGCCGTCAGCGCGGCGGATATCTTCGAGTGGACCGCTCAGATCTGGCGGGTCCTGTCCGAGACAGTGGGGCGCGAATACCACGCTATTGAGTACACGGGGCCGGCGGACGCCACCTCGGCGATCTTCGTCTTTGGCTCGACGGGTGTGTTCGTGGACATCTTGTCCAAGGAGGACATCCCCAGCGAACTCCAGAACGTCGGCTTGGTCACCGCGCGCCTGTATCGGCCTTGGGTGGGCGGTCAGATCGTCAATTCGATCCCCAGCTCCGTCCAGCAAATCGCCGTGCTGGAGCAGGTCCGCAAGACCACCAGATGGGGCCCCGCTTTCATGGATCTTCTGTCGGGCTCAACTCCCCCCACTGCCCGTGGATCCAGCCCCAAGATCGTCGGTTACCGATTGGGGTATGTTGAGCCGTCGACTGCGATTCAGGCTCTGCGGGGAATTGTCCAGAACTTGGAATCTCCTTCCCCGATCCAGAACCTCGAGATCGGAAGCTCTAAGGTCCCCTCCCTCGAGACTCCCCTCGAGCAACCCCACATCGAGAACGCGTACCTGAAGATCCTGAACCAATTGTTTGGGGAGCGTCTGCACATTGCGAACCAGCTGGGCGCCAAGGATGCCGGCGTGTCCTCGACCATTGCGGCGACCCCCGAATATGGCTTCGGTGCCCTGATGGCGCGCATGGAACACCGCCAGCGCTTCGTCAAGGAAGTGGAGGAGGCGTCCAAGGCCACTGGCTTCGCGACGGATGTCCCGAAGAACTGGCTCACCAAGTGGGCTCTCAACGTGGCCGACGCCTCCAAGGCCAACAAGCTCGCACCGGATGTTATTGCCCGTCTGTCGAATGACGGTTCCCAGGTTTCCCGCACCCTCCTGAAGTCCAAGCAGCTGTTCTACGATGAGTCCAAGTGGCTCATTGGTTCGGATGCCTGGGCTTACGATCTGGGCAACTCGGGTGTCCACCACGTGCTCGCCTCCGGCGCCAACGTCAACATGCTGGTGATCGATTCGCAGCCGTACTCGGAGCGTTCGGCGGCCGACCCGACTCGCCGCAAGAAGGACATCGGTCTGTATGCCATGAACTTCGGCAACGCCTACGTGGCCTCGGTCGCGGTCTACGGCTCCTACACCCAGGTTCTGCAAGCCATGGTGGAGGCTGAGCAGTACAAGGGTCCCTCCGTCGTGGTTGCCTACCTGCCCTACAACCAGGAGAACGACTCGGCCCTGACGGTCCTTCAGGAGACCAAGAAGGCGGTCGACCTCGGCTACTGGCCCCTGTACCGCTGGAACCCCGGCAATGAGGAGAACGACGAGCCCAAGTTCTCGCTGGATTCCGATCGGATCAAGCGCGAGCTGGAGGAGTTCCTCCGCCGGGACAACCAGCTCAGCCAGCTCATGCGCCGCCACCCCAAGTTTTCGTCCGTGCTCTCGGAGTCGTACGGCACCGAGGTTCGCGACCTGCAGAAGCGCAAGGCTAAGGACTCGTACGAGAAGCTGCTGGAGGGTCTGTTCGGTGCCCCCTTGACCATCCTCTTCGCCTCCGACAACGGCAACGCTCAGAATATCGCCAAGCGTCTGGGTAACCGCGGTCGCGCTCGTGGATTGAAGACCATGGTGTTGGCCATGGATGACTACCCGCTGGACGATCTGCCCGCCGAGGAGAACGTGGTCTTCATCTGCAGCACTGCTGGCCAGGGTGAATTCCCCCAGAACGGCCGCAGTCTCTGGGAGCACGTCAAGAACTCTGGAGACCTGGACCTGTCCAACATCAACTACTCCGTGTTTGGTCTCGGTGACAGCCACTACTGGCCCCGCAAGGAGGACCGGATCTACTACAACAAGCCGGCCAAGGACCTGGACGCCCGGGTGGACTTCCTCGGCGGCCGCAAGCTGACTGACATCGGTCTGGGCGATGACCAGGATCCCGATGCCTTCCAGACTGGCTATTCCGAGTGGGAGCCGCGCCTCTGGCAAGCTCTCGGCGTGGACAAGGTTGAGGGCCTGCCCGAGGAGCCCGCTCCGTTGACGAACGAGGACATGAAGATCCAGTCCAACTACCTGCGTGGCACCATCGAAGAAGGCTTGCAGGACGAGACGACCGGTGCCATCTCGGCGGTGGATCAGCAGCTGACCAAGTTCCACGGAACCTACATGCAGGATGACCGCGACGTCCGTGATGAGCGCAAGGCGCAAGGCCTGGAGCCCGCGTACAGCTTCATGATTCGCTGCCGTCTGCCCGGTGGTGTCGCGACCCCGACGCAGTGGCTGCAGATGGACGCCATCAGCAGTTCTCACGGCAACGAGACGATGAAGCTGACGACGCGACAGACCTTCCAGTTCCACGGCGTCATCAAGCGGAATCTGCGCGGCGCCATGCGTGCGATCAACAAGTCGCTCATGACGACCATCGCGGCGTGCGGTGATGTCAACCGTAACGTCATGTGCAGTTCTCTCCCCGAGCTGTCGCAGTTCCACCGCGAGACGAACGCCGTGGCCAAGAGGATCAGTGACCACCTGCTCCCGGCCACGACCGCCTACCACGAGATCTGGCTCAAGGACGAGAATGACAAGAAGGTCCAAGTCGCGGGTGACGCCGTCGTTGACCACGAGCCGCTCTACGGCCCCACCTATCTGCCTCGCAAGTTCAAGATCACGATCGCCATCCCTCCCCACAACGACACGGACGTCTACGCCCACGACATCGGCCTCATCGCCATCAAGGGCGCCGACGGTTCCCTGGAGGGCTTCAACGTCCTCGCCGGTGGTGGCATGGGTGCCACCCACAACAACAAGAAGACGTACCCCCAGACGGGCCGTATGTTTGGCTACGTGCCCGCGGACCAGGCCCACATCGCCTGCGAGAAGATCATGCTGGTCCAGCGTGACTTTGGGGATCGCAAGAACCGCAAGCACGCCCGTATGAAGTACACCATCGACGACATGGGCGTCGAGGTCTTCAAGGGCAAGGTCGTCGACCTCCTCCCGGAGAACATCCGCTTCGCGGAGCCCCGCCCCTTCAAGTTCGCCTCCAACGTCGACACCTTTGGCTGGATCAAGGACGAGACGGGCCTGAACCACTTCACCTGCTTCATCGAGAACGGGCGGATCGAAGACACGGCGGACTTCCGCATGCGCACCGGCCTGCGCGAGCTGGCCCAGCTCAACAAGGGCGAGTTCCGCCTCACGGGCAACCAGCACCTGATCATCTCCAACATCAAGGACGAAGACCTCCCCGCCGTCAAGGAGCACATGGCGAAGTACAAGCTCGACAACACCTCCTTCAGCGGCCTGCGTCTGTCGTCCTCCGCGTGCGTCGCCTTCCCCACCTGCGGTCTCGCCATGGCCGAATCCGAGCGCTACCTCCCTATCCTGATCTCCAAGCTCGAGTCCACCCTCGAGGAGGTCGGTCTGGCGCAAGACAGCATCGTCATGCGCATGACGGGCTGCCCCAACGGTTGCGCGCGACCCTGGCTCGCGGAGGTCGCCTTCGTCGGCAAGGCCTACGGCGCTTACAACATGTACCTCGGCGGCGGCTACCACGGCCAGCGGCTGAACAAGCTCTTCCGCCAGTCAATCAAGGAGGACGAGATCCTGGATATCATGAAGGGTCTGCTGAAGCGGTATTCGCTTGAGCGGAACACCGACGGCGAAGAGCCCGAGCGCTTCGGCGATTGGTGTATTCGTGCGGGTGTCATCAATGAGACTAGTGATGGCATGAACTTCCATGAAGGGGTAAGTTTTCTAGCATAGAATTGTCCTTGTAACTGGTCAGATTTACTAACGGTCTATGTGCAGGTTGCGGAAGAGGACGAAGACGACGAGTAAACGGACATTACAAAAGGATATTACAAAAGGAGCATTCTTGTATTTTGTTAAAGCTTGGACTTGAGGACTTGATCTCATGACTTTTATTTAGACAATGATATCTTTATTTCCATTCTATTTTCTGGAGCCATAATTCGATCGAGCATTTTCTTTTTTTGTCTGTTGGTGATGGACGATCTGAAACTGACTGCGATGTGGTGTATATCCTGTTTTACAGCACATCTGCAGGCTTACATTTCCCAGCTTGAAATACTTCTGATACTGACAACTTCGACACATTCGTAAATCAATAATCAAGCTTGTATAAAGTGCAAATCAAACGTCTACTAGAATATGAAGAAGGCGGTGAGCCGAAATTAATTCTGCCAGCCGGCTTATCAGTGACTGATTGCTTGCTCCACCGGAGTTCGTTCCGCGATCTTGATATCAAAAAAAAAGTTCCAGCGACATCCGACATTTACTCTTCCATTGAACAGACACTACACACCTCGCTCTTGAGATCTTCTCTCAACTAGCGGATATCGTCGATTCCAAACCCCACCAATAACAACACTCCACACCAAACACCCCCCTCTCTCAGACAGACCACAAGAGAAAAAAAAAAAAAAAGCGAACCCACACAATGTCCACAGAAGACGACCCCATCATCTCCTCCTACGACATCACCCTCAACGACTCCGACATCTCCCGCTACGTCCTGCAATACCTCGACCGTCCCGCAGGCCACAACTACGATGACCGGCACGGCCAAAAACCCACTTCGCTGCGCCTGAAGCCCCGCACGGGCCTTGTCGAGGTCGACGTCCCTGTGAACACGCGCGTTAACTACGATGTCGAGAAGGGGTTGAGGTATGGGGATGCGCTGAAGAAGAGTCGGGGCGCGAGGGAGGGCGCGGGGTATGGGATGGCGGGGGGGTTTAGTGTTGCTGGTGGTGGTGGGGGGAAGGTGAAGACGGAGGGGGGAGCTGCAGGGAATGGCGGGGATGTGGATATGGGGGGCATGGGGACGGGGGAGGCGAGTTTGTTGAGGGTTCAGACGTTGGGTGGGAGGATTAAGATTCCGGAGGAGGGGGATCCGGTTTATATGTTGGCTGCTTTTAGGGATGGTGAGTTTGGTTTCTTTTTCTTTCTTGCGTTTCTTTTGAGGGATGGGCTTGGCTGACGGATGCAGGAAATTTACATCTCTCGCCCGTGACGGCTGTCGTGCAGCTCCATCCGCAGCTGCATCATCTGGATGCGCTGGATGAGATCCCTGCGAAAGGACGAGGCGGGAAGGGAGCGCGGAAAGAAGGGGAGGAAGAGAGGCAGGCTGAGAGCGAAGCGCGGGCAATCGATGTCAAGATCAAGGCTGCTGAGGAGGGCGGCGCTGCGGTGGTTGCGGGCAACCTGGACCTTTTGAAGAAGATGCAGGATGAGAAGTGGGGGCGGTATGAGTGGGTTGATGCTGAGGTTGGTTTTTACTCTCCCTTTTCATGCTTTTTATCTTTGCATCCTTTCGTCTCTTGTTCATTTGAGTTGGGAGACAGCTAATACTAACGGTTCGATAGACGGAGGAATCGTGGGACGTGTACGAGAACTTCATGATGCATCAGGATGTGGAGAACCTCCCGCAGCTTGAGTCGGCGATCAATAGCGAGGAGTATCTCGACCGGATGAGTGCGCCTCGAATTGATCCTGCGCGGCCAGAGATGACGGGGTGGGCGATGAAGCAGAACCGGTCGACCCAGCGTGGGTAGTAGGGTTGTATTGCCGCATTACGAGTTTATCATGATTGTACTATTCTTCTGGGTGTATATATGTGTTTAGTTGTCTCTTCCATTCCAAAATATGTCCAACATCCTGTATGTCAACTATTATTATAAATACAATAACCGTGGCAAGCAGTATAAAACCCAATCAGGCAAGCCGATCGCCACTCCAGATGGTCCAGCCAATCAGACAGCGCAAATCCCTGTCCCGACCACGTGACCTCACGTGCCTTATCGGCGATCGCGCGCGGTGTTTTTTCAGCCCTTTTTCTCTCTCTCCTCCGGTCTCTGTTCGACTTCACCATCTCCCTCTCCACCTTCTTTTCCCTCCTCCCTCTTCATTCTTGATTCTCGTTGATTCCTTGGTGGAGGGCTGCCGGACAGCTGTCAGTCCCATTGACGACGTCCCAACAAGGGACTCAGCTTTCAAATTCTGTCCCTTCTACTTACTTCTTTTTAATGACACTGTCCATCGTGCATCCGATCCGTCGGCATTGAGCTTAATTGTTCTGCATCATTACTTATTTCCCGCCGTATATTTTATTTTAATTCTCCGTGTCAGTTATTCAGCGATCTCCGTGCGTCATGTTATCTCGTCTCGCGCGTCAGAAAAATGCGTTGTCACATCTCCGCCTGCCGCATGGGCGCCGGGTTTCGCCATCGCCCGCGGCCTTGCGGTTGTATTCCAACTCCCATCGATCGTCCTCGCCGATAAATACCCCGTCGAACCTGTCTCACGAACATCCCCGTCGCCCGTCCTTCCAGTCCAATCGCAGTCTGGCAACGGCAGCCGATCAGTCGGCAATGGACCAGGGGCCCTACCATTCCTTCGATCAGCCGGATCGACTAGCTCCCCTGTTTCAAGCGCCACCGAGGGAGTTCGATCCATCGTCTTTGATCATCATGGATGAGCTACTTCAAACAAAACCCAAAATGCTGAAGCGGAGTCGGGGACTCGGTGGCAATGAGGACGAGATGATGGCGAACTTGGATATCTCGATGAAAGTCGGCCGGTTTGACCGGGCAGCATCTCTGATCACGCGGTTGGGAGAGCTCTACCCCGTTGGATCGCCGGAATATCTCGCCCTGCATAATCGCTATCTGAAGGAGATGGTGCAGCATATGATCGTCACGCGGCAGCGCGATTTGGCCTTACCGATGCAGAGGTGGTTTGAGGTGGATATGCCTCGGGGTGGCTGCACGCCGGATGCGACGACTTACGCCATCATGCTCCGCATGGCACTGCGCATGCTCCACGGTGCGAAGAGAGACCGGACCGTGCGTCGGTACTGGGATCTCGCTAAGAGAGCCGCTCTCGAGGAGGAGGTCTTGGCTGTTCCTATTTTATCAGAACTGGAGCTGGGTGAACTTTCTGAGGTGAGGTTTTTTTTTTTTTTTTTTCCGTGGCTGCTTTTGCGATAATCTTAGGTACTGACTTCTGTTTCACTAGATCTGTGCTTCGGACCTTCAGCGCGTTGCCATCGGCAGTATCCATTCGGGCCCAGTATCGGAGACTCACGAGCCTTCCTTCGATTCCGTCCCTGAAGTGAGGCCCGTGGAGCAGAAGGGCGTGGGACTCCTGTCACTGAAGGAATCACTCGCGTCCTTCTCCGGCAGTACTGAAATCGACTTCACCCCCAACCCTGCCTATACCGACGCCGAGAACGAGGAACTATACAACCAGCTCAGACAGCGCCAGGTGGAGAGCGATTCTATCCAATCTGCCATGCACCGTTGGCGCCATGAATACCAGGAGAGACAGAAGGCGGGCCTTGATATGACCGCCGGGGGGAAGAAACTCGGCTACATCATGAACCAGTGGCACTCCGGCCTCGTCTCCAAGCTGCACGAAGAGCTCAAGCTGGTGGAGGAGGCAGAGAACAACCCTATCCGAACCATGGCTCAGAAAGAGCGCTGTGATTACGGCGTCTATCTGCGCTCTCTGGATTCGGAGAGAATTGCTGCCCTGACGATCCTTGCAGTGATGTCTGCCTTCAGCCGCGGCGGGATGGAGAAAGGATTGAAGTTGTCGGCAATTGTCACCTCCATCGGCAAAGACCTCCAAGACGAGCTGATTGCGGAGAGAGCTCTTAAGAGCCAGTCGGGAGATAATTCCGACGTACGGCGAGTGAAGGCCCTGAAGGAAATCCTGGCCGGTCGAAATCAGAAAGACGGTCGGCCGCGGTGGCAAGGCCTGGTCCAAAAATACCAAAGCGAGGATCCGACGGTCATCTGGTCGCCGCGAGTCAAGGCTCGCATCGGGGCTGTCCTGATGACTCTGCTCTTCCAATCGGCCAAAGCCCCGGTTGTCCAGGAGAACCCGGAAACGAAGAAGAACGAGGTCCTGATGCAGCCCGCTTTCCAGCACGCCTACAAGATTACCTGGGGCCGGCGCATCGGGTACATCCACCTGCATTCGGATATTGTCAAGATTGTCGCCAAGGAGCCCGCTGGAGAGCTCTTGGGCCGTCATCTTCCCATGCTCTGCAAGCCCAAGACGTGGGGCGGCCCCAGTGACGGAGGATATTTCCTCTATCGAAGCACTATCGTCCGCACCACGCCGGGCGAAACTCTGCAGCCCGCATACGTGAAGGCGGCGCTGAAGGACAATGGACTGGAGCAGATCCGGGACGGCTTGGATATTCTTGGCCAGACTGGGTGGAGGATCAATCGCGAAGTGTTTGACGTGATGCTCGAGGCGTGGAACTCCGGCGAGGATATTGCTAACCTGGCCCCGCTGGAACCCAGCTTGCCCTTACCTGAGAAGCCCGCCCCCGAAGAGGGTTACGAGGCCCAGCGCAAGTGGGACCACACCATGCGCGATATCGAGAATCGACGGACTGGTCTGCACTCCGTGCGATGCTTCCAGAACTTCCAGATGGAAGTGGCCCGGTCTTACCGGAATGAGACCTTCTACCTCCCTCACAACATGGATTTCCGTGGCCGTGCCTATCCCCTCCCGCCGTATCTGAACCAGATGGGCGCGGACAATGCCCGCGGTCTCCTCCTGTTCGACCAGGCGAAGCCGCTTGGCACAACCGGCTTGAAGTGGCTGAAGATCCAAATTGCCAACTTGTCCGGATTCGACAAGGCGAGCATGTCGGAGCGGGAGCAATTTGCCATGGACCATCTGGACGACATCCTTGATTCGGCAAACAACGGACTGCACGGGAAACGCTGGTGGCTCAAGGCCGAGGATCCCTGGCAGTGCTTGGCTGCGTGCTGCGAGCTGCGGAACGCCCTCCGGGAGGCGGATCCCACGCAGTATCTGTCGCGCTTGCCCATCCACCAAGATGGTTCGTGTAACGGATTACAGCACTATGCTGCCCTTGGTGGTGATAAAGTCGGTGCCCAGCAGGTTAACCTGGAACCGTCGGACCGCCCGTCGGACGTGTATACGGGTGTCGCAGAGTTCGTCAAGGAGGTGGTCGCGCGCGAAGCTGCCGAGGGCCACCCGACGGCGAAGCTCCTGGACGGCAGGATTGCGCGGAAGATCGTGAAGCAAACCGTCATGACCAACGTCTACGGTGTGACCTTCATGGGTGCCATGAAGCAGGTGCGCAAGCAACTGATCGAATTCTACCCGGATCTGTCCGCCGACGAAAAGAAACAAGGCGCGCTCTACATTGCCCGCAAGATCTTTGAAGCCCTCGGATCCATGTTCCACGGGGCGCACGAGATCCAGTACTGGCTCGGTGACTGCGCCAGCCGGATCACGCAGTCCCTGACTCCGGAACAGATCGAGGCCATCGGCAAAGAGGCGCTGACCCCCGCCAAACCCGGTTCGAAGACTTCCAAGCCGAAAAACAACGCTCTGACCGACAAGTTCAAGTCGACCGTGATCTGGACGACGCCTTTGGGCCTGCCTGTGGTACAGCCCTATCGTACTCGCAAAGTCCGTCGTATCGCCACTACCCTCCAGGCCCTGAGTCTCGTGGACATGGGATCGGACGATGCCGTCTCCCGGCGGAAGCAACTCCAGGCTTTCCCGCCCAACTTCATTCACTCTCTCGATGCAACGCACATGATCATGTCCGCCACCGCCTGCCAACGGGCCGGCCTCACCTTCTCCGCCGTGCACGACTCCTTCTGGACGCACGCGGGCGACGTCGACTCCATGAATCACATCCTTCGCGAAGCTTTCGTCCGCATGCACTCCGACGACGTGATCAAGCGACTCGCCGCCGAGTTCGAAGTGCGCTACGGCCAGAACCTCTTCCTGGCCAAGGTCCCCAAGGTCAGTCCCATCGGACGCAAACTGGCCGCCATGCGCAGCAAGAAAGGCGCCCCATCCGGCAAACTCCAGGAACTCCTGCAGGAGCACAAGCGCCAGCAGCTCCTGAAGTCCGATGACCCAGAACTGCAGGCCCAGGGTCGCGCCATGGTGACGCCCGCCAGCATGTTCGAGGAAGCCGGCGGCACCGACAGCGACCTGTACATCCCCAACTCTCTCGGCGAGACAGTCGTCGGCCACGTGCCGGAGAACCTCGCGCAAGCCGAGCGCAGACCCGCCGGCATCGAGGCCGACTCGGAAGACCCCGCGCTTCAGTCTCTCCTCAGCGACCTCGGCGACACTTCGCCCAAATCTGACGGCCTGGAGGGTGTCTCCGAGGCGGACGCTGACGAAGCAGACATCGACGGACCGGACGGCGGCCCGAACAAGAAGAAGAGCGTCGTCACCCTCTGGCTCTGGCTCCCGCTGCGGTTCCGCGACGTGCCTCACAAGGGCGCGTGGGATTTGACCCGTATCCGGGACAGCAAGTACTTCTTTTCTTAGTGTCTTAACTTTTTGTTCTCTCATGGTCTTCTCTCATTATCTGAGAGGGAGTCACGCATTGGGTTCGGCGTTGGGTGAATTTCACACAAAAAAGGAGGCAGGCAGGCAGGCAAGCATGTACAATTGAAGAAAGGGGTGTCCGGTTTGTTGTCACTGTCTGATGTTATAGATCAGACCCCTTCTTCTTTCTGTTTCTTTCTTCTTCTATTTG